AAAAAAAAATTCATTCTAAATCTAACTACGTGAATTGAGAAAAAATAAAGATAAGTAAAAATATAATAAGATATTATTTGATGCATTAAAAAAGATAGTGAGACAAAGTAGAGAAAGTTGCATCATATGTTAACAATAGTGGTGCCGTCCAATTACAAACCATCCAATTATGTCATCTCCTTGAACTTAGGTCCTTTGATGATCATTGAATTCCTAATAATAACAATATTTTGTAATATTGTCTTAGGTCACTTCAAAGAAACATATAAGTGCACTGTCTTTACTAGCAACGATATCACTCCCTATAAAATCAGCACTTTCTTCAATAGTTCTTTACAAGCATATAGAGTCATCTCAAATTTTGAGATTAAATTTAATTTTCACAATAATAGAAAATAGAATTAAACTATATGTAAACTATATGCAAGTAAATTAGCATAATGCCTCATAATAAAGTTAGTAGTTTTTTCTATCATGTTGCTAGCTCTATGAGATCAGCCTCATTGCTCAGTGAGATTTTTAATCAATATCTTATTCAATAAGTTTTTAATTGAATGACACTATTAGACTATCAAGAGATAGGCTACTATATTATCATGCCCACATCATAAAATTAGACATGCATAATAATTTTTCTTGGTAACTTTGCTGATTTGATATTGTCATGTATCTATTTGTGAAAAACTCATAGTGTAGTTGATTTTAGATAATGTATAAAATAAATAACGAAGTGTCACATGACACATACCATGTATACAATAGTGATTTCTTCAAGAAATTCACCATTTGATCCTCGATGTGTAATTTTTTATAGATGAAATGTTTACAATTGATGCTTATCTTTGTTTGACATGCTAGGAAAAGAGTAAAATGGTCTCACAAAGAATCCCAAAAAATGTTTAGAATGAGGACATAGACAAATCATGCACTTGTCACATCAAAAATAAATGTTACGATGAGAATGATTATCACAATTCAAGAGAGATCACATGAAGGTAAATATTGGGAGCTATAAATATTTATTGTGTTATAAATCAATATAATGAACCAAATATAATATAGAATCTAATGTGATGAAATCCAATGTAATTCATATTCACAATAAATAAATATTGTGATGAGTACATGCTGTTCATGTTATTTCTCAAAAGATTTTTTTTCTTAGCCCTATTCTATAAGCATGAGTCATCGTTCTATCTTAAGACATGAAATTCACAAGAGTCATTTATTTGCTACAAAGACTTTGTACGACTTCAACAAGCAAAAGTTATCAAATAAAAGATTTTAAAACATATTATTTGTATTGACTAACTTATATTGTAGCTATGAATTTTAAGAGAAAATATGAAGTCATCATCAATTTAATTTAGTAGGCAGGATATAATGACAATAGGATTTAGTAGTGTCGAAAAGGTCAAAAAGACTGGAGAGTTATAAGTATGATATTAGCTTTAGGGGCAATAGTAGAGCTGCACTTCAACATTTCAATAGGTAGAAATGAAGAGGCAAAGATAATGATCTAGAGCTTCAGACTTCTGCCAAAGAAAAGGACACATTGATTTTTTACACTGTCTATTTTTTTTTATCCAAATGACTAATTTGAGGTTTTATTCCATACAACTATATATTCTAGTGACACTTCTTGACCAACATGAATGCAATTGAATGAAAAGTAGAATGTAATAGAAATTATTCCACAACAAAGGCAAACATAAGAATAACAAAGATGACCATTCAAAACCTAACAAAGAGACATAAATAAGAGCTAGATTGAACATGAACACAAATGTTTAGGTATGTGAAATGTAGCGCAACAGCCACACATACCCCAATCATTCTTCTCTCATAGTAGAAACCTTTCTATATGTGGTTCCAATTTTTTGATAATTTTCCTAGAAATTTTAGCAACTCTATAAAGTAGTTCTATACCATAAAGCTAAAGAAACAAATAAAGAATATGGTTCTTGACCACTTATATGGGAAAATCATCATCATCCTTACAGCCTCCACTTCATGTAGTTTCTCTCTCTAATAATTTTTAATCAAAATAGAAACCTTCAATTGGGCTAGAATATCTAGGAAAACAAGAGTCCCACCAAAAAAGATTTTGCTAAGTGTACCCCACCAGAGTACAAAACATTCACTAGTGGTGAGCTGCCATTTGATGTGTCTCTAGTTATGGCCCATCATTAGGAAAGGCCATGTTGCCTTCTTAACCACTAGCAAGCACCATGTTGATGCAGACAATTAGTGAAATATTCTTTCCAAACCCTTTTCCAAAATGGCATTGGTCATGAGAATGATGACCTTTGACCGAATGTGTCCTATGCATTCAATTGCATTCATGTTTTAACATATTGAGAAATTAACATACTAGTTCTAAGGAATTAACATACTAGTTTTGATTTTTTCCATCCTCAAGAACATGAGAAATTCATTTTTTCCAATCTTTTAATTAATTGGCTAGCATATTGAACATTTTTAGATTAGTCATGAAAAATGAAGAGAAGACAAATCATAAATGACTATTGAATAATGAGCTTGGAATTAATCATCTTACTGCAAAAGAAAAGAACTGTCTTTTAAATATTTTATTTGATCAAGATGATTAAACATCTCTTAGTTCTTTGTAAGAAAGTAATTGGAAATATTAAAATACAGCAGCTTATTAGATTAAATTCTATTCAAAATATTACATCATTATTATCATCCGCATGAAATTTTTTGGAAAAATATTAAAAAAAATATTTACATGAGCAAATAGGAGTACAAATTGCTAAGAATAACCAGAAAATAGGAAATTACAAGACAATATGCCCCTTTTGGGCATAAACAAATTAGATGCAACTGTGAGATATAAATTGAAAATAATTACATAAAAAATAATGTGATTCATGAAGAAAATAATGTTACGGTTTATTTGCAAAGATGAAGCTTGAAGATTTGGGTTTTCGTAAATATTTAGGATTTTCAAAAGAATTCAACTTCTTGTATACGTTGTTATTCAACTCTTCAAGGTTGTAGGTCTTGCTTATTGCAGATTTTGGGTGAATTGGGTGTGTGGGTTATTAAGTGATCAATCTACTAAATCTGAACTCTCTCTCTCTCTCTCTCTCTCTCTCTCTCAAGATGTCATGTGAAAGCATGTATCAGAATGGGTGTTTGAATAATACCATATTGAAAGTAATATGTTAAATCATGTAGCTAAATGCATCAATCGAGTATAAATTTTCATTGGAAAATAGTTATAGGTTGTATGGTAGGTCACCCCCTAAGACTTTCTCTAGTTGATTGTAGCTTATTAAAGTGTGTGGGAAGTTTGACTGCCCACCAGTCTTGGAGAGACCCCTTGTCCATGGTAGTATCTAGAAAGCTCTTTTCTCTCTCTCATACACAAACACACATTGACACACATTTTCTTTGATTCGTGGTGTCAATGTGTGTTTGTGTGTGTGTGTGTGAGAGAGAGAGAGAGACGAGGGAGTACGAGAATGTTAGAGAGATTGGATAGAAGTTATTAATTCATTAAATGAGAGAGAGCGAGAGGGAGATAGAGGGACGGGAGTATAAATACGAAGTGAGAGAGAGGGAAAGACTGCGTGAACATTGAGTGAGGACTGAGTAAGGTAGAGAGAGAGAGGATATGTGAGAGTTAAGTGACAGAGAGAGAGGATGCGTACGAGTTGAGTTAGAGAGAGAGAGGGAGGTTATGCGGAAGAATTGAATCGTAGAGACAGAATTCGTTAGTATTGGGGTGCGAGAGAGAGAGGTCGTGCGGAAGAGTTGAGTCGTAGAGACAGTCCGTTAGTGTTGGAGTGCGAGAGAGAGAGAGAGAGATCATGCGGAAGAGTTGAGTCATCGAGTCCGTTAGTGTTGGAGTGCGAGAGAGAGACTGTGTTGGTGATGAGTGCGAGAGACCGAAAGAGAGAAAGAGCCCTTTTGGTGAAGATAGATCACGAAAATTTGGGATTCAAACCAGAATCTTTGGCTGGATTTGATGAATCATATAAAAGATTTTAGGGCAGCATCGGGGACCAGTGTGTCGCTTTCGACATCAAGCGCTCCCATTTATTTATATGCACACCCTGTGTCCGCCTGCATTGGCCGAGCTGCAACAGAAGGTTCGCTGTCTGGGTTCGATCCACTCTCCCGTTTAGTGAGAAAGCCGGAGGGTTGATTATGGCTCTGATTGTGTTCTTTTCCACCTTCACTTAAACCAAAAAACGTAATCTAGAAGATCCGTTCAGGCCGACAGTGACCTCTCTCTCTCTCTCTCTAAAAACTTAGTATATACACAGATACAGTTGCAACTATCTGTCTAAATGTATTGGGAGAGAGAGACACACACACACACAGACATAGACAGAGAGAGAGAGATGGATGGCGAACAAATCCTCCGAAGTCCGCCTTCTAACGATATCTGGGGTGAGAAGAGATGGGAGAAAGAGGAAAGAGGACCACTGTCCCTGAGTAAAACCTCTTCGACCTAATGCGGCTCCATGCTTCTCCTCCAAGGGGACCATGCTGAATGTGTGGGTGGGCTCTCCTGCGGTTCCAGCTGCCACGTACTCCCCTACACACACATTTAAAACCCTAAGTCCGCCTCCCCCGCCGGCGAGCTGCAGAAGCGCTGCCGCATGGCCTCTTCATACTCAGTCCAGGATTCTTCACTTTGGATCTGAACTGGGATCGAGGCACCAGACCAGACGCCGGCGGTGACAGGTGAAGAAGAGCGAGCTCACAGAGCTCACAGTGAACTGGGATCCTACTATAATACAAGAGAAAGTTCATCAAAAGAAAGCTGCTATGACAAACTAGAATGATCAATCTCGAGGAGGTTTCCATGACTTTCCCAGCAATGCTGCCGTGAATGCATTAGTGTTTCTGTCGAGGATGAGATTAAGACGATATCGAGATCAAGATAGAAGTCGTAAGGAAGAAGAAGAGGAAGAACAGAAGATTCCAAAGATCGGAACTCCACGTCGGCCCGTTGACCAATCTCAAAAACGGTGGTGTTTGGAGCCCTGTGAACCTGAGGAGGAGCCCATCTCGAAGCCGCCGTTCACGTGCCTCGGATCGTACTCCGACGAGGCGGCAGCTGCAGGGTACGGCGAGAACATCGATAGCAGGAGCTGAGACCCGTGAGAGAGCGACAACGGCAGGGACGGCGGTGGCGCCACCGTCGGCTGGAGAGATGGGTGCCGGTAGAATGACTGGGCTTCTTCCTGAGCCGCCACGTTGCCACCCGCCGCGTTTGGCGGCAGCGGTGGCTCCATGAGATAGTACCCTGGATAGGGGTTTTGGAGATCTTCCTTCTCGGGCATGGCGAACTGGGCAGGAATGGGAGGATTGTGGTAAAGGAGGGAGCTTCCCAGGGGGATTTGCAGAGGAGGGAGCTTGTCGATCTCGTGCTGAGCGGCGTCGAGAAGCCAGTCAACGGCCTTGCTGGGTTGGTTCAGACCGAGCCTGTCCTGGAGATCGTAGAGCTGAATAGCCGTCTGCACCGACAACCGGACTCGCCGGTCTCGGAGGCCCCTCGCAGTAGTCACCTTGCTGTGCCGGTCTTTGCCGCCGTTGACGCGAGAGCCTCTCACCACGCGTGTATCCCTGAGCGCCGCCGGCCATGGCCTGGAGCTCCCCCTTCCTGAGTCCCCATCGCCCGGTGGAGCTTCTTCTTCTTGTTTGGTCGACGGAGCCTTCTCTCTAGGGTTTCTTATCATTGTATGGATCTCCTCGTTCGCATCATCGCCACCGTCGTCATCACCGTCGTCCAAGCGTAGAGGGCGACCGAAGAGATTTCTCCGTCTCTCTCCGTCTGCTAGTGTTCTTCGTGTGATTCTATGTTTGAAAACCAGATGTACGACAGATTTAGATCACTTCTTCGATCCGAATCGCTGGATCTAACACAACTGCGCGCAGAAAAAAAAGGTAATTTAAAAGAAAAAAGGAAACGAACATAGATTCTTCCGAAGAAATCTAGGTTTTCTCGTTATCGGAAAGGAATATAAAAGGCTCTCTCGATTTTTTGTCAGTGTTGTTCCGGTGATCCTATGCTTCAATATCGAAGTTCTGAGGTGGAAACCGGAACGTAATTAATCTAGGGTATCTGTATTTCGAAATAGAAGTAATCCGAGAAGAAAAAAAAAAGGAAAAAGTAATTCATTCTTCTTTTTCCTTTTTTTTCTGGAAGAAGAACTCTTCTAGATCTTTCATCCTTCACCGATGTAGAGTAAACAAAGAAAAACATGTGGGATGCCGGAGCTAAAGTGCCCGCGAAAGATCCATCCAACCCTCATGGAGGCCACCGGAAACCCTAGAGCTGGTGAATGGATGAGGAAGAAAAACCAGTGAGAGCTCCGTCATCATGCAGGTTACTGTTCCATTCATTTTCTCAGAAACATATCATGCCGAGATCTCAAAAAATATGTAACAAAGAGAGAGCTTCTCTCCACGGTGAAGTGGAAATCAATCTCATCCCCGAGAAGATCTTGATGTTTTCGAGATGGAAGAGAAGTACCTCGAAGAGTCTCCTTCTCCCCTCTCCGAGGAAAGACGGCAGGAGCTCGAAAACCCAGTCGGAAACCAGAGTCGATCCGGTCGCTGCAAGGCGAAAACGAGCTCCCGAAGTCGGGGATGCGAGGAAGATGAGGCCCTCCTTCGTCTCCTAGTGGAGAACGTGCAGGAATTGCGCAAACCCTCAAAGGGGTCGGTGGGGAGGGGGGACGAAAAGAAGACGGCGAATCTGGAAGAACATGTGGTTCAGTCTTCCGGGCTATTAAAGGACAGACTAGCTATCCTTTGTCATCCTTTCGCCATCACCACCATTCCACCTCGCTCTTCCTGGGTGGGTTTACCTCGGTCACCATGCCCGGGTATTCACCTCGGTTAATCTCGGGCTTTATCATTTTCCACACGAGTCGGGCTCAAAAAAAGGAGCTCAGAAGGAAAGGAGCGAATTTTCGAGGATTAGAGCTGGTGTTTTTCGATTAATCAGCTTTCCTAAGATACAAATTTACGACTTATCCGAGAATATCTCTCTCTCTCTCTCTCTCTCTCTCTCTCTCTCTCTCTCTCTCTCTCTCTCTCTCTCTCTCTCTCTCTCTTTCTCTCTCTCTCTCTAGATTCTGATGAACTGACAGTCTCTTGGGCACCAACAGTGACATCAGAGAATAGAGAGCAGCTCCTCGAGTGGGCACTCCTTGGATTCGTCGAGCTCCTGCGACATCTGAGGAGAATGTTCCCTGCCAATGAAGGAGGAGCCTTCCAATGAGGGAATCCTTCTTGCGGGCGAGGAGAGGTCCCCCGATATAGCAGTATTAGATTCGAGGGACGAGGTTGAGGAAGGGAGATGGTGGAGGACGAGGAGGGATAATACGGAAGATTATCTCGAGGTAGACGGAGGTGAGGCATGGGACTGGGAGAGCCCGGTGGCCTCCGCAGCACCACAGGTTCGTCCTCCGCCCCACTTGCAGGCTACGGGACTAGGCCAGGGACCAACATAAGCCGCTTAGGATTTCATGTCATTTTCTGGGTTGACGTCGTACGCTCGGAGCGACTTGGAATCGAGGGATCCGATGCTCTGAATCTCCCTCCCTCTCTCTCTCTCTCTCTCTCTCTCTCTCTCTCTCTCTCTCTCTCTCGCCCTCTCTCTCTCGCTCGCTCGCTCTTGCTGACGAACAGACGGGAATATACTAATCCGTCGCGGACTCTCCAAACATGCTGTTAGTCTCTCTCTCCCCTCCTAAACAAGGCATCTGACGCAGTTAAATCTGTCATGAACGAACAGGTGGTAAGAAACCCTTCCAGACGGGCTCCCTAAACATGTCGTTAACACCTCCGCGACCCGCCCCCCCCGCCGCCCCCCCCGGTCGCCCAAACATCTGACGTAGTTATTCTAAACATTCTGTCAGCATCCAACCTCTCTCTCTCCCTCTCTCTATCCATCGCTCTCAACAAAGACGGGAAGAAACCTATCCTCACCGGCCTACCCTATACAAGTTCTGCTGACTGCCGGCCGGTCTCCGCTGCTGACCTGGGGCATATGTCCTCAGTCCGGCAACTGAAAAATCATATCACACACACACACACACACACATATATATATATGTGTGTGGATAGAGAGATAGAGATTAGATTGAAAGAGAGAGAGAGAGAGAGAGAGAGAGAGAGAGAGAGAGGGAGAGAGAGTGAGAGAGATGTATAGAGAAAGAGAGAGGGGCGGTGGAGTTGGCACGCTTCCCGCAGGAAGTGGGCAGGCGAGCAGCAGCAACAGTGACAGCGGCAGCAGTGCAGAGGGAGCATAGACAGACTCCCTTCCAACGGGGGGACGACAGGATGGTCCCCATCTACCTCTGGGCCGACTCACTCACATGGACGACGTATTTCCTTCCTTCCAGGTAGGCCCAATAAAGCGGTCCACTACCACCACCCCTTTCTGACTCCCAGCTGTTCTCAAATCTCAGAAAGAAAAATCTCGGATAGAACCCATTGACTTTAAAGTTTCAGGTCAACGGATGGAGCCGCAGACAACAAGGAAGAGACCCACCCCGGCCCTCCTGGGATGACCTCACTGCCTCCTCCCCCTTCCTTTCTTGGACGGCTGCTGCTCGGCCGGCTCCTTAGTAGACGCCTCCGTTATATCGGCTGCAAGCACATACAGATATCAGAGGAGAGAGGAGACGATCCAGGAGGGTCGGGTGTGAGACGGGGTTTACCCTCTGGGCCACGCGCCATTAGGGTGAAGAAGATGTTGTTGAGCTTCTCCATCCTCTTGGCATCCTGGGCCTGGTCCGTCTTGAACTTGAGGCACTGCAGGAACCATCGTCAGTAGCAAATCAGACTGCTGAATCCATGGAAAAATTGCACTCAAGAATCATGCCAATAAACATAATACCAAAGTGATCTATGGGTGCTTCCGCCTTTGTGCATTTGTGTGTGTGCTGAATTGTTCGTGATCTCACCAAATCAAATATTCGAGAAAGAAATTCCCATTAGAAACCCAAGAACTATGTATCTTCCATTTTGTGACCCAGATCATCATTGACGGGGGAATACTATGTATGAGGATGAGATGCATACAAACCAGTCATATCCCTCACAATAGACAGTATGGTCGTCACAGTCATTGCCGGGCCAACAGCACAGCAGGGCTGAAAATGTTCAAGCCCTTTGGACATCGCTGACATTGCAGCACCTGCTGATACTGGTGGATGTGATCCCGCCTGTGCCTGTGAATATCGTAGCGGCTATTTCGGCATCAATGGCAATATTGGTGATGTTCCCGGATGCTTTCCCCATAGTGTATGTAGTGTTGAAAAATGTGGCGGTCTGTTTGAGGGTGATGTGGGATCAACATTAAAGAGGCTGAGAGCAGGACAGGACCAGTGCGGCTGACAGCAGGCAATGAAGGATGCCACCCTTGTCAGCAGGTTGCAGCCTCGCTATGTCAGTGGAAGAGAGGCAGTGATTACGTAGGACCTGCGGCCGAGAGTAGGCTGCCATTATGCAGACAGTATGCAATCAACCTCAATTCTGACCATCACTGACAACAGCCAGGCCACATTGACTGCGCAAGTCAACCCCATTTCCATCCTCGAACCTATATGTGCCTTCTAAAAAGAAGAATCAGCTGCCCAACAAGGCACAAGTAATTTCCATCCCCATTGTAATCATAACCATGCGAACGGGTGGAAAAGTGAATAGCATCATCCATAAAACAAACTATCTCAAGTGTGATGGCACATCACTCCTTCGACACTTCTACTTCCGTTGAGCCATATTGTACATGTACTTCTTAAGATCTTACTACATGGCTGGTGGTGAAATGTACCGACCTCTAAACGCTGCACAATCAAAGAGAATAGATGGAAAAATGGAAACAAGGGTGCAAAAATGGTACAGAATGCAATGGCACAACTCCGACACCAGGCAAGAAAGAAAAAAAGGTCAAGGGCATGTTTCTCCGTGCACGATCTTCCTACATGGTATCACGTAACACAACTTCATTTGTCAACTCATCAAGCTCAAGATTACTCATCAAGGGCATCATAGTGGAAGAAATGTTCACTAAGGCCATTGAGCATTATCAGACAAATCCATGCAAGACCAGGAGAAGTAAAAGGAGAAAAGGTATACCGACGAGAAGGGTGAATAAAGCTGTAAAACTAAATTAGTTAGGCATTAATGTGGCGTACGACAGAGTTGAATGATAGGATAATATCCCTATCTGCGACCCCAGTTAGGTGGGATATGGTAGATAGATAGACATGATGACGACAACAGTTACTATGAGGAAGGAACTTTGTTTCTACTTAAAGACGACATCACAGCAATTCTAGCATTGACTCTAGTCTGATCCTCAAAATAATCCCTCAAAAAAATCTTCAAAAAACAAAAAAAAAAGAGAGAGAATCATTGGGTAAGAAGCATAAGACTATTTCGCATTAAGAATAATTATTAAAAAAAGTGGAAAGGGGAACCGCACCACGAAGCAAGAAAGCTAGGGAACCCTAAAAAGAGTAAAGAAAGGACAGCACGACTAACAAACGTAACAAGAGAAACGAAAATGCAAATAGTTACCTCCAGATTATCGGTAACCTTGAGAACCAGCTTCCCATCGCAGTGCCTGTACTTCATCACATACCGCGACTGATCAGATTCCGCAAATTGTTGCACCGTCGTCCAGATAAAAGATCGAGACCAAATAGTGGAAAAAAGGAACACAGAGCCGCACGCAAGTTAGCACGGAAGCAAAAGAAGAAGAAGAAACAACAGAGATGGGGATCAACACGAAGAGAGGGAGGAAGCAAGCGGTGCGCGTACAGATTCGGGGTTGGCACGGAACATCTGGATGGATCTCTCCATGAACTCGTCCCACGACTTGATGTACACCATCCTTCACCTCTCCGCTGCTCCTAACTATCCCCACCTACGGAAATCTCACCGGGGAAAGAAGCACAAGACAACGACTCCCGCCTCCCCCCGTAACACCCCTTCCCTCTTTCTCTCCAGAGAGGGGAATTTGGCCCCGCGGCAGAGGGAAGACCCCCCCCCCCCCCCTCCCGGAGGCTCTCTAATCGGACCCAAGAATACCCGACCCGAGCTGTATAACACGTGTCCGATGATGTGCACAGAACTCGCTCTCTGCGAAATTTCTCCAATTTTTGAAAAAAACAATGATAATATATATTTATACCAATTACGGACAAATTTGCTATAGTTCGATGTCTAATTTCCAACCATAATAATGCATGGGCCTGAAATGCTTTTGGGTTATCAGTGCATTAGGGCCTTAAAACTTTGGGGAGGCCCATAATTAAGCCCAGACCCATCTCACCGGTTCCGAGGGTCAGGATGATGATGGCGCCGCCTTGCTCCTCGCATCGACCGCCTCCTTCAGCTTCCTCCCCAGCGCGTACGCCAGCGGGGGCGGCACGGCATTCCCTATCTGCCGGTGCTTGCTCTGGATATTCCCGGCGAAACGGTAGCCATCTGGGAAACCCTGCGTACCCGAAAAAAGAAAAAAGATGGTTCCCATATTACTTATATATTTATTTTATTATTTATGTTTGACCTCTGAAGGTCGGAGGTCGGAAGAGGGGGGAAGGTCAATGGGAGGAGGGTAGTGGTGCTTACTTGGGAGCGGGCGCATTCTCGGACGGTGAGGATCCTGTCCTGGTCGGGATGGAAGCACATGCCCACCTTGCCCATCGGCTGGGGATCGGTGATGGAGGTGGGGAAGTTCCCCTCCCAGTCCAACCTCCCGAAGAGGCCCTTCCACTGGTTGTGCTTCTTCGCCGTGTTCGGGAGACACCACGGGATCAGGTCCACCATCTGCCCCGTCGACAGTTTCACCTGCGTTTGCCATCAAGAAAAGCACCCCCACCCGCCAATCCACGGTGTTCAACACAGAGAGGAAAAAAAGAGAAGAGAGAAAAAGAAGAGAGAGAGAGAAGAGAGACCTTCTCGTCAGGGAGATCGTGCCAGTCGGCGCCGGGGCGCTTCGGGATGCGCTGGCAGCGGATGAGATTGAGCTCGTTCATCTCCTTCGATATGTGATCGTTCAGGGTCTCCGTTTCCCCTCGTATCTGCTTCTGGAACCACGAGACCGGCTTGCTTCCGTACTGCACATGCCACACATGGCCATGTTAGAATGAAAGCAAGCTTCCCTGCACAGTCTGCCCCTTCGCGAAAAACCTCTACGTTGAGAGAGACTCACGGTAATGGAGAGCTCGGAGGCTCCGTTACCGACGGGGGGAAGGTCGCCGATTGTGTCCCTCACGGTTATGGAGCGGAAAGGAGCTCCTCCGGCGGTGCTCCGGACGGCGGCGTACTGGACGCCTCCGGGAAGGGAAATCTTAAGCTCGGGCCCGGAGAAGACGTGCATGGGCTCTGGCCACTCGGGGAGGATTTCTTCCGGCGAGGCTGCCCAGATGAAGGCTCTCTTGCGAGACTGAGAGACCCCGAAGGCTCCAGCTTCCAGAACACCGAATCTCACCTGTAAACGCCGCACATAAAAAATATTTTGAGTCTTAGATAATCATACTTGACTGATCACCCAGTTCCGGGGAAGAAAATGCGATGAACGAATGGGTGGTCGATCGATCCGACGGGGCTGACCTGATAACCCATTTCCAAAAGTGAAGCGAGGGTCAATCGGAACGTCTGGCCCTTGTTGAAGGACACGAAATTACGGACATTTTCCAAGAGGAAGAACTTGGGCCTGAAGAAGTCTGCAAATGACAAGAACGCCAGGATCATCTCGCATTGGACTCGACTCCAGGTGCTGGTGCTGAACCTGTTCATTCCAGAGAACCCCTGCGAGAGGAAGTCAAAGGTTAGGGAATGTGATGAACACAGAACTATCTGAGAGTGGGGAGAGTAGAACATTGAGAACCTGGCATGGAGGCCCTCCGTTAATGAAATCAACTTGCCCTGGAAACGGAAGGCTGTTAAGCTCCTCTTCAGAGAGTTCAGAGGCTAACTCGGTGGCCTCAGAAGTCGATATGCAATCATCACCGTCCCCACATTTTTCCATTATAGCCCTGCATAAGCCATTATTTACTGGATCCTTTAAAGAAGTAAAATGGATATTTGGGCAAAAATATATTATAACTAGTTAATTATTTCATATATTATGCGAGATTTCGGCATGGTTGGCAGCCGATTATTTGGCCGATAAGTTTCAATATTAGTGCCGCAAGATAACGTGTGTTAGATAGAGGATGAGTACACCGCGAAATAATGCTAAAATCAAGCGTGTGGCTGTCAACCTGCTCACAGAGGAGATAACGAGCTGAGTTCAACATGTTCCCAAAAAACAGGAAGAAAGAAGGGACCAACCTCAATATCACGTTGCAATTATTAACAAACATCTTGGTTTGTGGATGGTTAAGGGAGAAAGCCTCTCCAGCGGGTTGCTCATATTCGATAGCCCACTTTGTAATGGAGACCCCTGGGTGCACGAAGAAACATGTAACGCTGTAAAACATGTAATCAAGATTATGTTGCTGAGAAGCTTACCAGATCGCTGCAATCCCTCTGACAAGCCACCACAACCAGCAAAAATATCCAGAGTGGCCAGGCGGGTATCATCAGAAGACACGACGTCGCTTTCGTCCCCGCTACACTTTGTCTTTCCCTTGTTCTTTACTGTGGCAGAACCTTCAGACTTTCTTGTTTGGGACATTATTTTTGCAGTGGCAGGCAACTATCACCAAAACCAGAATCATCAACCAGTTAATATGAATCCTTATTCTATAGCACTCTACCATTAATATGAAAAGATTTCATACCTGCTTGATAGCTCCGGTTTTGGGGTTGTATGAGTAATTACAGATAAATTTATTATCTACAATTACAGGAACATTCGAACTTTGAAGATCATTGTTCTTTCTAATAATGCACTTTCCTTGTAATGCTTCCACAGGCACGCTCGTGCTTTCCTCACTGTAATAGACCTGTGATCCACAGAAACACAAAAAGTTCAATAAAATAAGGTCAATCTTAAGTACGTGAACATTTAGGAGATGCCGATTTACCGGCAGAACAGAGAGGAAATTTCTGCAAAAACTCACTTCTCTGATGTCAGATGAATATGCCTTTGCGGTTGAGACATCCTCCGGCCTGTAAAATCTCCTAACTTTGACCTGAGTGGATTCTAAAGTGGGCTGTCGAGAGACTTTGAGCAAGCATATTTCCAAAATCTGGCAGACAACGTAGGGTCTCAGCCCCACATTTCTTCCGGCCTTAAAAGTTCCACGGTCCTCTTCCCTGGTCTCACCGAAGTAATCAGGTCTGACAAACACAAAGTCCTCGATATGATACTCAGTCTTGTTATAGGTAAAACTGGTCTTGGAGGAACCGAGCATAAACTCCCCGTGGATTTCTGTTTCCCGTGTTTTGCAAGAGTGGCAAGTCCCATTTCCAAGACCCGTCGTACCACATTGAATTGAGAGAAAAGCTCCTTTATGAGGGCAATATATGCTTTTACAGTAGTACTCTACGGGTAGCCCCTTTTTCTTTCTATCCTCCGCCCTTGCTCTGTCGAGCTTATCAGAACTCGCATTCTCTTTCCTAAATTCGTGCCCCCATGGCCTCTGTTGAAAGGACACAACCAGAGTTCCTTTGACATCCCCCAAATCAAAATCTACACAGTCGTTAGTCAAGAAAACCTCTCTATCGTTGGCCGCATTCCCGAGAAGAGTCTGGGATCCTGTCAGAAATACTCGGCCATGTGCCATCTTTGCACCGTCTAGCTTTTCGAACATGTACTCCACGAGCACTTTAGATGTAGACTCTTCTGGTTCATCCACTTCAATAATTACTCCTCCACCAACAATGACAGCATCACCACGGACCACTGCACCTCTGTAAAGAGCCTCTCCAGAATCCATACACCCGACTGAGTCACCGTCCCATATGATTTCCTTATTGTTTCCAGTAGATTTACGAACTATCGCTGACGAGTAAGTCATTTGATCACCAACTTCAACGGAAATTGGTGTCTCTTCCCCATTTAAACCCTCTTCCTCATTTTCTTCTTGCCCTTCCTCAGGATCTTCATCCTCTCTTAATTCTTGGTCGCCGATATCTTTTGAGTTATCCAACGCATAATTGGAATAATAGTCACCCCAGATTCTATTTATCAATCTTGTCATGGTTGCCCTCATTACTTTCCTACTAGACTGCACTGGAGCCATCGATGCGCTAGGATTCAAGTTGGCTCCCTTCTTGATAAGGACTTTTCTCCTCATGATAAGTTTCGTGTGATGCCTTTCTTCCATCTTGTATCCAAGACCAGTGACAAAAGCACACTTCTGTATCTTCTCATCTGGGAATTCAGCAAACTGTTGAAGTATGATCTGCCCGTGAACCACGACATATCTCTCAACCGCAGCCAGATTTGAAGAAATGTATGCTGGATGGCGTTTTTCAAATTCAGATAGTTTCTTAATCACGTCAGAGAACGAGAGCTTTGAAATCCGGCTCTGTTCCTTCAACAACGAAATAGTACTTATTGCGAGTTTAGCAGTTTTCAAGACTGGCTCAAACCAAGGTGCATAGAGTCTCGTGGGCCTGCCGAGCCTGTACCTGCGTTCAGGAGAAAAAAAGGATTTAAAACCCCTTCAATGAAGAAATCTCTCAAGTACTACTAGTCAATAACATTTTCATCGCAGTTAAGTTCAAAGATAAAGAAATATATATTGTCCATCTCAAATGGAAATGAATCAATACCAGGCCATATCTGTTCGTATGGATACAAAAATCATTGAGGACCCAAATTCAATCATCCATTCCTTAATGGCACTTAAATAAACTGGGACACCTTCAAAATCTTGTGTTGTAGACACGCTAGAAGATGATTTCCCTGCATCAGCTTCAATACAATACCCACTGCCGTCATCTTCTCTCATGTACCCTGAACCATATATTGTCACATCAATGTCTGCACAAGACTTCATGGGGAGGAGCTCTAGTGAAACAAGTCTCGACTCTGAATTGTAAAGAGACCAGTTGTCCAGAACTCTCCTTGGAAGGGCATCAACATAGGATGCACCGTCGTCACTCTCACAAAATACATATTCATCCACCTCTTGTACAGTGGGTTTGTAGTACGTAGGTAAAGGATAATCATTTGTTATCTCATCTTCATTGATCTTAATGTAGAATCTATTTGAAGAGCTCGAGGATCGACGGTTCTGCTTTTTCATTTGCTTCCAATCCTCCTCCTCTTGCAACAACTTTGCAAGTTTTTCATCTTCGTCCTCATCTACATCTTGTTGTCTTTCATTGATTTTCAAGGTGTGACCTGTCATCTTCGGAGGTATCCTCATGCCTGTTTCTCTCTTTCTGAACTCATCCCTTAATCCAACAAGGGCAGGTAATGTGGAAAAGTTTATATCGTCATTATCTCTATTTCCATCCAGTCCAATTATTTGATTGTAGATAAATTCCCCCAGTGAAACTAAAAACTCCATACCAGCCGAACCACTAGGAAAGCTCTTGCTTCCACTCATAGAACGAGCAACACCAGCAAGCAACTCTTGAAGACCCAATTCAGGGTTTCCTCCTCTTGATCTCGCTAATTTCTGGTATACCTCGACACATATGCGTGCCTTCTCATAGAAAAGATCGTAAAATTTCTTGTAAGACGCCATTGGCTTGACACATTCGTAATCTGCAAAATCAGTAGAAACCCAAACGATAGCATGTCCTTCGTCGTAACCAGAGATAGACCAAGACTCAATTCTACCAAATCCTTCACATCTTACTCCGCGTTCTCTTTCTTTCTCCAGAGCATCATCCATGGGCATGATTAAGGCAGTGATATAGAGTTCATCTATTTCAGACATCTCAAAGTTCTGAGGATGTCCAGCATGATCATGGAAAACGAAGTCTAGAAGTTTTCTTGCTGGAGGATTTTCTTCTGGGCCCAGCTTGGTCAAACGGATGGCTTCAGCTTCTTCTTCTTCTATACGATTCTTCTGAACTTCAACAGAACATGATTTATCGGATAACCTGATGGACCTTTGCTTGAAGTTTGAACATGAAGCTGCGCGTTTTGGCATCTTACGACGAGCAGCAGAGTCTCCATCGTTCTCAGAGTGGTCCCTGCCCTCGACCTCAAAACTTGTCTCTGTTTGAACGTCATCTTTTTTAGCCTTGGCTTTCTTTGAAAATATTCTGCCTCGACTTTTCCGCTTCATTCCTGGAAGCATGATGAAAATAATCAGAATAAGGAATATCGAAAATTAAAGTGCATTTATAACGGTGAGAAAATAAGAACAGCGAGGTATTAATAAATCAAAAGAGAAACAAAGTCTATGAAAAGAGGTATGGATAATTGGGCGAAGGTTATGCGGAGACAGAAACACAAAGAGAGAGAGAGAGAGAGAGAGAGAGAGAGAGAGAGAGAGAGAACAGCAGCAGCAATAGTTTATGGGCCGGAATCTGTGAAATGAATCAGATTAGAACGGATTTTAAAAATTGTCAACCAAATTCAGCATGAGAAATGTGATATCCTTCGCAGTAATTGTGAAATAACATGCGAAGATAAACATGTTGCCTCCGTCTAAGTGAAATGCTGCGTACCAGTCTGTGCCCGGGGAAGGGGGGAAGGAGTGGGGAGAGAGAGAGTGAGAGAGAGGAAGGGAAGGACGAGGAGATCAAACGGAGAATTAAAACTCTGGCAGGAATAAGAGGGAGAGAGGGAAGGGAGAAGGAACGAATCGAACCTCTGTAAAATATCCCGGAATTAAATTTCCGGCAAGAATTAGGATAGGATAAGGATAGAAAGAGATATATGAAGAGGAGCAAGTGAGATAAGCGTCTCCACCAGAAGGGGCAAACGCGGGAGCCTCGGAATCTGGTCGGCACTGAATTAACGAAACTTCCACAATGATCCTAGACCGCAACCAAATTGTAGAAGGACGGTTGAAAAACAGTATAACCGACAGCGGCTAATGGACGCCACAGAAAGATGCGAAGGGATCGAAACGGCGGCACCATTACCTGCCAATCCGCCGCCGCGCTCTCCGATGCCGGCGGTTCGATCCGCCCGCTTGGGGGTCAAGAATGTCGCAGAACCCATGGCCAGCTTAACCAGGCAAATGCTGCAGCAAAATGACCTAAAAGGAAGATAAATCAGAGAACACTCCGGGTAGGAGGAGGAGGCGGCGGCGACGGCGATGGGTCTCCGGGAGTGACGACCGGCGCCCTGCTGGCAGTTCTGTGCCAAAGACTGGAGGGGGGATGTTGGGGCGGCGGCGTGGCGGGAAGAAGCGAAGGCTTTTTGAAGTACGAGACTGGTTTCATGCCTTCTCGGTTTCGCGCCAAAACTAGAGAACCTTTACGTTTTTGAAAAAACAACCTTCAAATCCACAGAAATTACATCCAAGTCCCCAAAATTCACTGCTTTTTTGCCTTAAGCCGGGAACAATAAATTAAATTATAAAAGGACCCATTATCCCAAGATTAAGATCATCGACATCCTTAAAAATACCTTATAAGTACTCGAACATTTTTATATTGCCAATTGCTCCTGCAATGTGGTGACTGCGCTTGGGCTGCTAACTTGCGCTGGGGACGGCGCGGATCTCCAACGAGACGTCCCTATCCTCGGATCCTCAGGATCTAGTTCGCTAACTCCAGCTCAGGTGGACCCTCCGATTCCGCAGATCAAATGGCTGGAATTCCACAGCCTCCGTCCCTCTCGTAAGAAAAAATCCGGATCCACTGGTGGGCCGGGGACGACAAAAAGTATCCGCAAGTCGGATTGGTGGGCCCATGACGGGGATATGGGCCGACCGGTTGACGATTCGCTTGACAAAGGCACGTTCAGAGAGAGCCCATCAGGTGTGGACCTAGCAGATGCTTGCGTGGATATCCGTACGCAATATATATGACGTCATAAATATGTATCTTTACCCTCCTAGTTTCGGAAAAATATTTGCCTCGATTCGGTGTCAGGTGTTGACTCGTCAAAGCCATTCTGACGGCGCTGTCGGTGGGGGTTGGCGTCCGTAGGCGTCAGCGAAGCAACTTGCAGCATGCCTATCCCCAGGCCACGTGGCTGCGTTGCCAGAAGTCGACACGTGGCGCTGTGAAATTTCCCCCAATACACGCGACAGCTCTTCTTTGACACGAGGAGCCGGATTGACACAAGTCAAGGAGCAGGCACGTCATCATCGGACGGTTCAGCGACGATCGCCCGGCACAGATCGGCCATGGCCACTTACCCAGGGAGCGGCCACGTTTCTGGCTTCGTGCAGCGCGACACGTGGCATAAGCCAGGATGGACCCCGGTGCACTGGACCGAAGTAGATATTGCCGCGTGTCGAGATTGGGGAGGCTCTTCAATGGGGGCGTTGTGCGCCAGGTTGAGACACAGACGGTTTTTAAAGGAGAGAGACAGACAGGGGGGGGAGCAAAAATAAAAGAGCGAGCATCTCCCTCGTCATCCCCTCGTCCCCCCTTCTTCCCCCCCCCGTCTCCTCTGTAGTGCCCCTTCCGCTGCTCCACTGAGTTTCGTGCTCTTCCGTTTCCGTGTGTCGACGTCTTCCAGAGGTCTTTATTGAAGGTTGTGGCTTTATTCCAAGTTGTTTCTGGGAGAAACCAGATTGGGGATAGGAAGAGGAGGAATCTCTCTTGTCGTTGTTTATCGCCCGATTGTTGCCGTCTTCTCCCATAATCCCTGTCATGGGTCCCTCGTTTTCTCCATGAGAGTCCTCCTCCGGAGAACTCCGCGAAGAGCTTTAGTTTATAAACTGGTGCATTTGGGGCTGTCCGGTCTTCGCAGGGTGCTCTTTGGGGAGAAGATGACGGAGACTACAGAAGGCGATGGCGAGCCTCAGCTTTCGAAGGGCGTCCGTGGCTACCCGAGGGACCTACTGCGACAACTCTCCGGGGATATCCGCCCCGAAGAGCCGCGGGAGGCGGCGTCGGGCGGTGTTGAGGACTCCTGCGAGATCGAGCTCAGCCTCGGCCTCTCTCTGGGCGGCTGCTTCGGGGCGGAACCATGTCACCGGAATGGTCTGCGGAGATCTTCCTCCATCGCCTTCGTGCCTTTCCTTCAACAGGGGGCACACGAGCCTGGTGCTGCGACGCTGCTCACGAGGACTTGCTCCCTTCCTGCGGAGCCCAAGGGGGGAGAGAGAAAGAGGAAGGAGTTGCAATGCCTGAGGCGGATGGAAGCGAAGAGGAGGAGAACCGAGAACCTGGACGGGACCCCGCTCTGGGGTGGCGCTCGGGCGGACAACGGGTGCGTTAGGAATCCCGAATATTCCGAATTTGAGAGGCTTCGTGCTTGGCCCAGGTTCACCGACTCCGAGGCGGCGCCGCCGCCGCCCAACGGAGTGGCGGCGGCGGCGTTTCCCTTTTGGGAAGCCGGAGACGGTGAGCGACGAGTGGGCATGGCGACGCGCTTCCCCCCTGCGTCTCAGGGCTCGGTGGGATCCCAGGGGAGCAGCTCCTCTGGGTCGTCTGACTTTGACAGCCGACAGTCCAAGCAAGAAGGTATCACCATTCCTTCCTCTCAACGTGGTTTCATATTAAAAAACCTTTTTTTTCTCTCGTCCCATCTCTCTAGCTATCCCCTGCTATTACCCTTTTCCCCATCACACAAACAGGAACTTCCTTCTCAGACCCCCAGACATTATCTCGAGTTCCATTCGGTTTCAGTCGTCGAAATTTATCTGGTGTTGACTTTTTTCCTTCACTTGAGCTGGTGCTTTCGAGTGTTCTTGCTCTGTGATGGGATTTGGGTCTCAAATAAATCGCATAAATTGAGTTAAAAAACGTCATAAATTACGGTGGGGGTGTATGGAGAATCTGCTTCATGGACCCTTATCCGGGTTACCTCTACCGGGGTCAACTTGTCCTTTCCACTTGGTAGGTAACCAACGGGGACGAACTGCACCGCACATTAGCCGTGTCGGATTTGAGTGTGGGATTCGATCGCATGGGTCTAACTTGTTGATATCTGTCACGGGCCAGGAAGAACATTCCCTGAGAGAGAAAGCAAAAAACGGCTGATAAATGTAGTCAGCCGTTTTGGCTGGGGAGCACGATGGTATTTGTTGACCCCCCAGTCGTGGCGGTTCGTCTTCAGGGTTCTCCTCACCCCTTCTCTTGGATATATATATATAGCACAAAAGAAAATCACAAGGATATTTTTGTTTTGGAAGCCCACTGTATGTGTGTGTGTCTGTGAGAGAGAGAGGAGAGAGAGAGAGAGAGAGAGAGAGAGAGGGGTTTCTGATATTTCTTCAGATACTTTCTTTGAGACATTATATTCTCGTTGGTTATTGTCAAGAAAGTATACCTTGCTCTTGAGTCCGGAGCCTTGCTCAGAAATGTTCTAAACCATTGTCATTCCTGTAGCACCAGAAAGTCCTCAGTACTGTTTGACTTTTTTAGGCCCAAAAGTTTTATTTCTGGGCAGAATTTGATCTTCGTTGTTCTTTTCTGAGCCGTCATGGATTGGAATCTGACGACTTTAGGCGACTTGGTCTCTGGATGAAATCTCATCAATTCAATCTGCAAAGAACTGAAAATTCAGAAGAGGATGATGCTCATATTCTCTCTTGGGTCTCTTTTTTTATCTATATAAGTTTTCATTTTTTAAAAAAAAAGATTTTTTTTAACTATTTATGTGAATTATCAAAGATGAGCAGCATTGGTGAAGGCAATCTAAACACACTTCCAAAGGGCTCTTCAGGCTGATCTTCATCCTCTTCCATCAAACCAGTCGCTGATCCCCATCTTGATTCAGCCCACTTATCCGATTGCAATGTCAGCTTCAGTGGAGGTTTCTTCAATGGAGTTCATCACATGTTCATAGATGGATTCCTACCTGGCCTTCGAACCTTGGATTGAGATTAACTCTTTTCACATGATGATTACTCAGCCTGCGTTTTCCAAAGCCTCAATAAATCTGTTCTGCGCCTGTTCTCACTCACTCTGCAACCTTTCCTTTCGTTCTGTGTGAATTCAGAAGTAGGCAATGGCACCGATTCGAGGGGCTCATCGGTCGTCCAGTCACTAGTCAACCCTGGCGACCAGAAGGCGGCGGCGGTGAGGAAGCCCACGAACTGCACCGGGCCGGCGGTGGAGGGAGACCCGCCGCCGTCGGAGGAGGGCGCCGCCGCCGGATGCGACGGGATGAGGGGGATAATGGAGGACATGCCCTGCGTCTCGACGAGGGGCGACGGCCCCAACGGGCGGAGGGTCGAGGGCTTCCTCTACAGGTACCGGAAAGGAGGAGAGGTGAGGATAGTCTGCGTCTGCCATGGCCGCTTCCTCTCGCCGGCGGAGTTCGTCAAGCACGCCGGCGGCGGCGACGTCGCCCACCCGCTAAGACACATCGTCATGAACCCCACTCGCTCGAGCTTCTCCTGACGGCGCTAACGCCGCCGTGAGCCGGTGGGCAGCCTTCCTCCGCTCCTTTGCCTCTTCTCTTAGCTCGAGAAAGCAGGCGCCGCCCATTCTTTCTGAACCCCGCGGAGGTGTCAGAGGGGGGCGCGAGGGTTTTTTATATAGAAAAAACTCTTCTTTTTACCCTTTTAAGCCTCGTCTGTCTGATGGGTTCAGCGATGGCTTATCCTCCTTCCCAAGACGTATTTTTTTCTGTTTTCCTTCTCCAGGTGACCGTATATAATATGTTTATTATTATTTAATCATTTCCTTTTCTGGCTATATTCTGTACTGTCGATAATTATAATTATTGTAGCATCAGTAATATGATAAAAATGATATCTGGAGGACGCCTTCTGTTCCTCTATGTGGGCACTGGGCTGATCTGATTACCCAGAAAAGTATGTAAATATGGTGACTATAAAAACGATGCCCATTGAAAAATCTGATATTTTACGGGAGAGTTCATTTCTCTCTCTCTCTCTCTCTCTCTCTCTCTCTCTCTCTCTCGCATGTGCTGCTCATTGAGAACTGGGCTGAGTGTATGCAGTGAGAAGTTGGGCTTCATCAGGTCCAGTCCAGAGCCCATTTCCTGGTCATTCTTGGGGCTCGGGTGGGTTCAGGCCGACCATACCCGTTGACTTCCCTTACTGCTCATGGGATTAAATGGCCAGACAATATAGATCAATGGCCAAAGTCATGGCCTCAAAAGGGTAATAATCACATCAAGATCCTTGGAAATGAAGAAAAAAAAGGTCAACCCCATAATCTGGCAGATAAACTCACTGCAGCCATCGACCATCTTAAACTCGGCATAAACTGAACTGAGTCTAAAGATTCACAGAAACAGAGCCCAGGCATCTACAGATTCTCCATGCATGGAAAACCCATCAGCTAGACCACCACATCCATTAGATTGCTGGCACCGAAACGCTTGCCCTGAAAGAGAACGCAATCCAAATACATCTAGGCGAAGTAGACAGGCCAGTTGTGGTAGTAAGACTCGCGTGTGGCCTTGTCCATGTGCTTGTTCCACTGCAAACAAAAGAATATCTGATCATAATTCTTACTCCAGCTTGATGTTGGGTGCCATGCCCGTAGATTTTCGCAGTAATATCAACAAATACGGACATTACGGCGTCAATCGAGTTATTTCTATTTATTTTTGGGAATCCTTCGGTGAAGAATTAGGAACTGAAACTTGCCTTAAATTCGTATGGTTGCTTCTTCTCAATTGCTTTCTTCCAGTGGTGATGTTCAAACATCATCGCCCTGTCATGCCAGCTGCAAAGATATATTTGGAAGGTGAGGATCAACATATATTATCGCAGAGATTAGCTTGAAACTTCCAAAAGCTTTAAATGTTCATCATAATCATGCGGCTCATACTCAGGTAGTCTCAAAGACAATCGTAAAAAGAAAATGACGACGAGAAACTGACGAGTGATGACCTGAAAACCCATGAATAGCAGAATCCTAGATGGCAGAAGAAGCAGATTAGAAGAGCATGCTATGCCTGCAATCGTCTCTCATGTCTGTATCTCAAAAGATCATAGGATGAATGTGATTTAACAACGATTTGGTCAAATATAAAAGATTCATAAGTATGGTATTTTGTTGATCTTGAGTTTATCTGGTTTTCCTCAGCTTTGCTCCTCTTGTCTTTATATTTTCTAATTTTTAGCAGGCCGTTGGCTTTTATCTGATTCCGAAAACATGCGATCATCTAAAGAATATACACTCAACTTCGAGGACTACAGGCATGCTTAAAAAATCAGATATCATATAACACATATCCCAATGAAACGAAAGAATCCTTCATTAATTTCTCACGCAATAAACTCATTAGTGGCATCCAAATATGAGCAATTATCTACTAAGATTGACATCAAATCAAAAATAAAACTCGATGCGAATCCCATGTATCAATAGACAAATGCACAAACTTAGACGACCAGGGGTTTTCCTTTAATCTTTACTTGCAGTGGAAGGAGACCGAAACCAGTGAGGATGTGGCAGCTGAATTTTTTTTCTAAACGTAAAATGGTACTTTTTAATGTCAACAGGGATATCACTCAACCGTGCAGAATCGGCGCCCATAGATTTCAGGTGCACAACAAACCCCCTCATTCCTCTGAGATTAAAGTCGATCCATTACAGTAATCACAGTCTAATCTTAACCACGGCAACAGGAAGCAAATGATATGTCGTCCATGCTTTCTGTGTTCATTGCTGCATTCACCACCACTCAAGAGGTAAGAATATAACTATATTTCTTACACATATAATGCACAAAAAATATTTTGGTTGAATTTGTGTGCTTGTTCTCAAACACACTGTTCTAGCACGAGTGGAATTCGAAACCAATAAACAGCAAACATCATCCTTAACTAAGAGGTTTAGATTGGATTACGCCTATGTTTCCTAATATAGGCGATCTGTTTCCTCATTTTCTGCTCCCCCCCGTGTCCACTCGATGTGATTTATGCGAAATTAAGATCATGAAGAGGATGAACTGACAAAAAATCAAGCTGTTTCGTTAGCTGGACTCCGTAATTTCGATTTCTATGCACCCTTTACCTGTATGCACATCGATCTACTCTTAGTAGACGTGTTCAGTACTAATTTTCGCTCGAACATTGCTGGAAAACCACAGAGAAACCACTCGGAAGGCAAGAAAGCAAGAAAACCACAAGAAGATTCCCCCCCCCCCCCCCCCCCTCCTCGGCCGTCCCCGTCTAAGATAAGCAGAGCTGCAACAGAAAATACAGTCGCCTCTAAGACAAGGCAAGGTCCCCACAATAGGAAGAAGATCATCCTCTTAGCTATCGTTAGCCTTACAAGCTCCATCCCTTCGGCCGACGAGAAATATTTGTGAAGAAACAGGTATAATTGAGAAATAATCGATAGGCGACGACTAGTTCGCCTCAAATGCGGGAAGCAACCTAGAATTCGGAGGAGGAATGAGAACAACAGCGAGGAGAAGGGGAGGAGGGAGTATCTCACTTGAACTGGCTGGAGAGCTGCCAGAGGTAGGGGTTGGACCAGGTGATGGCGGAGAAGGCGAAGGACCCGATCCATATGTTCACGAAGCTATCAGGGTTGGTATGAGGGACGCCTGGGTCTCCCCGGTAAGGGTTCCCGAAGTACTTCTCCATTTTCTTCCTCGGTGGCTCACCTCTTCCCTACTTCGCTGCTTATCCGCTCGGATCACCTCTCGTCACATCCTTGATATAGATATCAGACGATCTATCACCAGAGCCTCAATGTTCCAAGGCCCAGATAACTATCAGCCCAAAACTAGCTCGGCCCGACCGGGGAAAAAGGTTGACTTTTAGAAACCTAAGCAAATAGCCCAGTCAGTAATTCCATCTCAATTGATTATCAACGCTGTTGGTTCAGCTGAAGACGAGCACGGTCAGGAATATGTGAGGTGATAATTCGGCGGCCACAAAGCTGCGCCTTTTTTACGGTTTTCACGTAGAATTCTGCTACCTCTTTCTCGATCCCAGTCGAAGAGTCCGTCTCCAAGGTTGTACATGTCGTGGTTGGCCATAAAAGCGCATAATTACGGCTCTGCCGCTGTCGCTGCTCCTGTTGCCGTCTGCTCACGAGAGCCCCCCTCTGCACGCCGGCCGCACGCCATCTGCAAATTTTGAATGAGAGGAGGAAGGGAAGGAGGGAGCTGCAATCGGAAGTAAAATAAGAAATCCATTGGCGCACTCATTAGGATTCAGAAACCCACCTGCCCGAACCCTAACAATCCGCCGGCTTGCCCTTGACAGAACAAACAAACTAGCCAGGCTTCCTCCCATCATCCGTCGCCACCCGTCCTGCTCGGTCTCCACCAGAAAGCATCCGGGTTTCTCGTAGATGAACGATGTGAATATTTCTATGGCAAGTCCACCTCGGGTCTGCGATAATTTTCCGAGCAGACTCCCTTGCGCAGGATCCTCGTCATTCCTTTTGGGGTTTTCTCATCGTGCTCATAGTTCTCACTCTCCTGTTGTGTCTCCTCGGTGGAACGAGGTTGTCGTTTCCTGGTGTTGACAACGGTGTGGTGAATTATTGCGGTGGCGGGGGCGGATTGGGAGGGAAATGAGGTGGGAAAGGGTGCATGTGAACGCCAGGGCGAGAGAGACGCCGGAGGGGAAGAAGTCGGTGGGAAGGAAAGGCGGAGTATGGGGGCCTAGGAGGCGGTGGGGTCACACATGCAATGCCGTCAAGGGCGGTAGATTTCTCTATGTGTTCGGTGGCTACGGCGAGGATAACTGCCAGACGAATGATGTTCACGTCTTCGATACCGGTTAGCTGAGAATCCTTCTCATCCCCTCTTTTTTGGTGTCCTCTTTGTTCGTTTATCTGTGGGCATTCCCAAGAGGTTTGTTGCTCGCTTGTAGATTTCGAGGCATCCTGCATGTGTGAGATGCCAAAAATCTGAACTTTGGAACTCTTTCTTTGATGTTTTGTGTTGATCGAGTTGTACCCAATTCAGATCGATAAAACCAGGCTAATGTGGGCATCGTCGTCGTTCCTTCTTGCATGTCTTCTCGAATGGTTCTTGATTTGCTATCCTTTTGCATTCCCTTTTTTGGCTCCAATCCCTGGAAAATACTTTTTTGGGCCTCCTCTGGATGTTTTCATGGGAAATTTAGCCGTTTGCTTGCGTGTTTCAATCATTATGCAATTTCCAGTTTGAAAATGTTCAACACGTGCATACGATCAATGACTGAATGACTTGGGATCTCTAGGAGTTTCTGTTTAGTTCCTGGATCAGGCAAATTGCGTCAATGTGCAGCAGCACTTGCCTTATACTTGTTTATTCAATTGCTTCATTTCTTCCTAATTTTTTGCTTCTTTTCTTGTCGTTGGTGGTTGTGGGGGAATAGTTAATGGCTAAGGTGTTTCACAAGTTTTTGGACCTCAGTTTCGGCTCCCTCAACTTCATGACTCAAATACGCATGACTGTCTTTGAAACCAGTTTGCTTGTCATGTATTGTCAGGACTGTAAATATTCCTTTAGATTCCTTACTATTCCATAACTATATTTCATAGACGAAAATGTTGCACCAATAATGATTTTCTCTTCGTTGTTTCCTCTTCAGTATCTCTCTCTCTCTCTCTCTCTCTCTCTCTCTCTCGGCAATCACTTTAACTTCTACTGAAGTTTGGTTTGGATCTTTATAATCTTTTTCTTTTCTGAATAACTAATTGACAGATTATCCTTCGTCCACGTTATGCATAATTCTGATTCATACAAGAAAAGCCAAACGCTGTCTAACTTTTTAAGGAAAGTTTTTTTCCTCAAATTTTAAAATGTTTTTATTTTTTCATTCCTGTATCTACATATGCCTATGATTTGATATTTTTGCAGGTAAGCAGACATGGAGCAAACCGATGATGAAGGGTCTTCCTCCTTCGCCCAGGGACAGCCATACTTGCACAACTGTTGGAAGTAAACTATTTGTGTTTGGTGGGACAGACGGGAAGAACCCATTAAAGGATCTTTATGTTCTCGACACATGTATGTAGAGATGTATTATTTTCCTTAGCTTTGGCTGATATTTGGAATTGATGATGGAATATCTTTAGTAGCTTGTGAAGAGAAATGAAAGTGCTCGAGACATGTTTTACTGTTACATGCGAATTCTCTATGTAAAGCAACGAATTTATCTAGTGTCTTTGGTGACTACGGAAATTGGTATGATGTTTCGAGTATCAAAGTTTATCCTGTCAACGCTGCTGTCTAATAGTTGAACAGAAAGAAGATTTGCTTCTGTAAGCTAACTTTTTTTGCTTGCTTATCTTTTTTGTTTCATTTTCCTCTCTCATTTGAAATGTTGCGGCCGGATGCACGCAGGAGTTATAATTCTTAATTTATGAGTGACAATGATATTTTTTTTATAAATCTTTGCATTCTTATATACCCAGTGATTTCAAAATAAAAGGGTATATGTTTCTCTGGGTTGCCCATATACGGGAATGAATTGCTAATTTATAAACAAAATGAAACCCCTTTAAACATGGGAATTTATGTGCAACCATATCTATTTGGTGATCTCATATTAGGTTGAGAGCGTTTCCCTGAACTCGTGCTTGCTCCAGTTCCACATGTATAAGCTTGGGGGTTTAAGTTACTTAAACCGTGGCCACAATCCACTAAACATTCAATATAAGGCTATTGAGTGATACAGTGTTTGCCAGGGATTGTAGTTTCTGAAAGAACCCATAAACATTTAATTTAGGAGTTGGCAGGCCTCTTTAGGTAGCCAGAACTCACAGTATCTCCATTGAGTCAGATTGATCTGTGACTAACATTTCATGCGAGTGTCAACTTGTGGTTGGTCCTCTTTTGTTGTCATATGGATAGAGCCTTTAGTTTGCTTGCATCCACAGTTTGTTTTCATTTGATTGAAGGACCACATGGAGTAAATTTTTTGCTGAAACCTAGTTCACTAAACTGAATTCGCACAAGGGTTTTTAGCCGTGTGAAGATTCTTAATCATTTTCCTTTTCATTTTCATTTTCATTTTCATTATATTTTTGTCAGTTATTATGTTTAATTTTGACTTTCAGTTCTCATCTCAAAGGGAAGATAGGCTAGGCAATATTATGGACTACCGTGGTGATGTGTTAATGGTGAATCTCTTGATAATATCTGATAAGAGGCTAATACTCCCATCTTGCTTTTTTACAGCATCGAATACTTGGATACTTCCCAGTGTGTGTGGAAAGGGACCAGATGCACGAGAGGGGCATAGTGCTGCTTTGGTGGGAACGAGACTTTTTATATTTGGAGGATGTGGGAAGTCTGAAAACAATTCCGAGGAAGTATATTATGATGACCTCTATATACTGGACACAGGTATTGTCTCTCCTCATCTGTTACACAACCTTAGTTTACTATGGTATTCAATGGACAGCTGATTCTAATGTGTTGTTGATTTTATCTTTATTTTCTGACAGAACTGCTTAGTTTGATTTCTCGACATGAAATTAGCCCGTCCTCGATTTATGCATCAGACTTCTCGCAGATGAACATGTACCTTGCCTCTGTATCTTAAATCAGTCACATATGAAGCATATGAATCTAAGATTTAGATTGCAGAAAACAATGCAGATAAGATGCAGTTTATAAGGTGCAAAGAATTGCGTGTATGTTGAATTTTAACCAAGAGAAGGTGGTAAGCGATCACCATTGGTTGTTGTTGTGTGGCCTTATATATAACAATTATTTCACATAATAATTAACTTTTATCTCAAATCTCTGGTAAAGAATTTGATAAAAAATTTAGTTGTTAGATTGATACACAATACCATTTGGAGAACAAGCCAGGTATGGAGATGATATTTTTATGATTGCACTAAACTTTCATGCACTATTACCCTTGGTTGCGGAAGAGATCCAGTAGAGAATTTTGAGTTCTTGCGTTGGGAAGCACGGAAGTGTTGTATACTCATGCCTTTGCCAAACTAAAGACGATCGTTAATATTCCTTATATTTAGTTAAATACGGGATTACATTTCAAACTTCAGGGCGTTAACCATCTGCTGTTCACAAAATTTTGATATTCTCTAGACTCTTAATGGCCTCTCTTCTACTCTGTTTAATATGACAGAATGTTTCACTTTGTTTGACATAATGCTGGCTTTAGCCTCCTAAAAAATATGTAACCAATTACTAATGATGGACATGTCAATCTTCTTCTTTTTTTCTTATGTTCCAGGTCACTCTCTAACTCTCTATCTTCCGGTTTTATTCTCCGTTCAACAATAACCTTTTACACGTCATTTCAAAGTAACATTTAAAAAATTCGGCTACTATGGAAAAAAATCGAGCGCATTGTGATGAATCTGTCCATTGGACATGAAGGATTATTTCGTCTGCTTTTTGCAGACAAATGTGTGATTGTGAATGCTAATTTCTCAGAAACCTTTCTGGAGCTCTCCTATTTTCTTTGATTCCCTGATAATCATATTATTTATATCACGTCACGAGTTTTAAGGTAACAAATGTATTGACATTGTGATTGATAAAAACTAGCTCAATCAGTCATTCATGGCAAACTTTAATAAGCTCCTACATGTGTAGGAACTGTAGTTAAGAGGCTTATCGCTCTATTCCTATAGATACGTTGGTCTAGTGACTATTGGACAGAGTCTGATAACATAACCTATGGTGAGTTCTATCGACTCAGGATTGTCTCCGACCTGGATGGTGTAAACTCATACAAGTTTGTGCCTCGAGCTCCATCTTTAAAAAGGGTGAAGAAAAATCAGAACGTGAGTTTGTCTCAAGCTGGTTAGGACCGATTGGATCAATAGAATGAACCATGTGCTTTTTAGATCTAGTCATCTTAAAGCCACTTGACAAGAACAATAGTTTATTCCCCGAGGATCTTGTGTTTCCTGAAGGAGAATTCTAAGTTGTGTTTGTGCTACTATGCACGGCATCAATTGCATTCTGGAGATTTTCTTGGTCTGGAAGATCTTGTGTGCTAAAGATCGAACAAAATATGTACTTGAATGTTAATGGTATGCCTAACAAATTTGCTCGTACTGCTATTTTTATCCTCGTTTATTGATGTTCACTTTATTAGTTAATGATATTAAATCCTAATTCGGTGCTAGATGATGAATTACTGCTATTTGATTGATTAAATCTCTGCTCATGTTTCTACGTCTTATTTTGATATCTATTTTTTCCGTGAACCATGGTAACCTGTAAATTGGATCTTGGTTATTTTGTTTACCATGGATGTTAACTTGCTTTATTCCTCATTACTTTCTCTTAAACATCAGAGAACTTCATCTGGGAGCGTGCTCTTACATCCGGCACCCCACCATCTGCACGTGATAGCCACACATGTGCATCTTGGAGAAATAAACTTATTGTGCTCGGCGGTGAAGATGCATCTGATTATTATCTCTCTGATGTTTTTGTTCTTGACACAGGTATGCAGACTCAAATCATCATAAAAGACTAAAGATCCTAATTCATAGTGTATTTTTCTTGTCCGTCAATGTTTTATAGCTCTGACTATGCAATTGCTTGGGGTTACTGTGGACAAATATAATACTTGCTGTGTTTCGCTGTTCTTTGACATCTTAAATGAAATTCCCCAGTTTCTGCGGTAAAGCAATCTATGTGCATGCTTAGTTGGTTCTCTTGGTGGATATCTTACTATTTCTAGTAACATTTGGGCTTGTATTGGCAGATATTATGGTGTGGAAAGAACTGAGCACTTCAGGCCAGATGCTAGCTCCCCGTGCAGGCCATTGTGCTATGGCTCTTGGGAGGAACTTGTTTGTTTTTGGGGGATTCACAGATCACAGAAATCTTTACGATGATCTTCATGTGTTGAATATGGGTCAGTAAAATCCAGTATTTGTTAATTTCGCTGTCCTCACATTCATACTTCAATTTCCTATCATTTCAGAAATGTTGGAAATATTAAGGTACATTACTGATTGATGAATTCATAAGATTAACACGCATAACCAGGCCTGGAGTGTCTGGATATATGGCATTTGGGTATTCATTTGAGCTACCTTCTATTTATCAGCTTCTGCTTTTAATTATATTTTCCAAGATTTTATTCATTTGCCTATCGCAGCACGCTTGAACAGTTTCTGTAACCTGTGGCACAAAACAGTGATATATAGAAAAATCGAGTCAAGAAAATCCTTCGAGCAACAATAAAGGTGGTAAAGACTACCATTTAAACGGTTCTGATTCGCGTATCATTACTTAGGGGATCATAGTTCTTGCGTTCTACCTCAGGCTGATGACTATTGAGTTTGACTAATGGCACCTAAAATTTAACTATAAATCACAAAAAAGGTAAATATCTTTGTTTTATGATTGTGAGGGGTAACTCCGTGGAATAAATATTTCCATAATTGTGAGCAAATATAAGTTTTAGAAACTGCCAGTTCTATTGCCCCTTTTGGATTTCCTATCTAGATAGATAACCCTTTTTTTAATCTAAAAGGTGCTTTTAAATGTCCTTGCAGATAATGGCATCTGGAACAGAGTGACTACTGCGAATGAGGGACCATCAGCCCGTTTTTCTGCTGCAGGAGACTGTGTGGATGCACGAAATGGCATTCTTGTGTTGATAGGTGGCTGTAATGGAAGTCTCGAGGCCCTTGACGACATGTATTATTTATACACAGGTATGTCTGGCTCTCCTCTTCATCTTTCTCCTCTCTGATTACCATTTTTATTGTTTACTCCTAAGGGTGAGGGAATCATGCCGTCCATCTCATAGCCAGTCTGCTCCGATTGGAATAGGCTTTTATGTTTTCATCATGGGCGTAATTTCTCCTGATTTACATGGGACCATAGTTCCCAAGTATTTTTCGGCTCTACTATATGATCCCTATAGAAAATGGATTTGATTAGTCTGTGGGCATTCTGGGGATCAACTATCATGTGAAAGGTGCAGACCATCCGACTCAAAAGCAATTCACTGTAAGTGGAGTTCACCCATTTATTTTAATCATATGTTTAGTCTTCCCAATCAGTTTGGGGCTGTTCTTCTTCACGGGGGATGTATGATCATGATAGACTATTATTTTCTTTACAGTTTTTATTCATCTCGCCAATCCCCCTTTTTTTTTTTGGTAGATATGCAGGTTGGAAACGGGGACTTCGATGGAAAGCAAGAGAAGCTCTCTTTCAAAAAGGAGCTGAAGAAAAAGTGTCTAGAAATCAGACATGACGTTGACAATGAGATGCACAAGATTGGTTCAATATCCGTCGGTTCCCAGCCTGGTATTTTCCAAGTCTTTTAATTATGAATTTTCTCGGAAAAATTCCAGGTCAACTTTCCTGGGGAGTTCGCCTCAGAAATTGTGATCCAATGGTTGATATCTACTTGGTGTCTAGGAATAATTTCTGATCTAGCCATCTGCCTTAATAGTCATAAGTTGAAAAATCATTTACCCCACAAAAATATTTACTTCTGTTGCCAGATTAATCACGCCCATGCATCAGGATCCTTTTATCCACTTCATTAGGAAAATAACATTGTATATAGTCTGCGATTCATGTCCTTCCAGCAGATAGTTTACATTATATTGGGTGTGGACGTGAGCCTTCTGCTGAAATGTAGGGATATCACTATATGACCAAAGTTCTTCCGAAGAGAAGACTTTTCATGCGAGGGTTGTGGATAGATTTCCAAATGGGTATGCTGTTGAAACCAGCATCAATGGTCAACCCCTCCGTGGGATCTTGCTGTCCTGCAACACGGGCTTTGACCCCGGCAGATATTCCCTGGTCAACAAGACTAGGTGGGGTCAACAAGACTTTTTCTTGCTTTTGATTGTATTTTATTTTTTTCAACAAGGAGCTCTCGCGATCAGGATTTTTTTCCTCTTTACATCAGGAGGATGGGAACGGATGGTGATGAGTACCGGCAGAAATTGAAGATAGTCAAAGCTACCCATCAGGCAATAAAAAATCCCCATGATTGCGAATCGATAGACCCAGTTCATGCTCTAGACTTAACGGCAGTTGGGTCACAAAAGGAGACTCTTGGGTCAAACTCTACGTCCATGACTCTAGCTGATGGCGATGCACATCACCCAGGCAGGGTGAGCCCCTTTCATCGACCACTCCGTGGTCAACCCTCTTTCTTACTCGTCACTTGATTTGGGGTATTTATTTCTCGTCACTCGTAGATAAATGTGATCTCAGAAGATCAAAGATTTGGTTTTTTTTATTTCTCATATGACGAATCCTCTTCCCCATCCAGGGCCCAGCATCAGAGACGCTGTCGCCTAACAGTCCCGGCTGCAATGGCCCAATAAAGGAAGCAGCTTTCGAGAACCCCACCGCACCCGAAGAAACTCTCCACAAGCTACAAAGTCAAGGTCCTAAATTTTGCACCCATCTCCTGCAACTCTTCGAGTAGGTCCTCTGGTGGCTGTTGACCTTTGGGTTACTGTCTTCTCTCCTTCCAATCCAGAGCCCGTTTTGGAAGGGCTTGGGAACTTGGTCAACGGGCATGTTCAGTAGCGTTATGGCGGTGGGAAGGAGGATTCAGTCTTCTTCATCAGCCAGAGAGCGAAGGGCTGGCCTTTACAACCTCTGGTGGTAAACCGGTGGCTCGGCTACAGTGCTATGGATCCTTCAGTCAAAGGGGGCAGGACGATGCACTGCTTCTCATTGTAGATGATAAACCTTGTGAGAACTTCTTTATAAAAGGTGAAGGTTTTGTGGCGACCCACATCTTTATAAAAGATGGGTAATATGCGGTTGGGAACTATAGAAACATTAGGAAGAATCTGAGCTTTAATAAGGCAGTATTTCAAGAAATATATGATCCGGGCAATTTAGATCACCCATTGCCAGAAGGGGTGAAAGGCCATGATGCTAATACTAGCCTTGAAGATGAGCAATGGCAGCATAAAAACAACAGACATATTTTACTAGCGAAGGGCGGCTGAGCGAGAGTTTGTCTGACATGAAAGTGCCTGAGTCAAGCAAATGGACCACAAGACCAATCTACATTACACGGAGAGTTCCAATTAGAAGTAGCACACACCTATTAGCTTGCGACAGAAACCCCTCGGCCAAACAGAACATAGAGATAGCTTTTTTGGACATTCTTAGAATATTTTCTTTTCGTACACAAGGAATTCACCAGACGGAAGGAAGAATCAATTGCCTCCACCGCCAAAGAGGTAACCCAGGGAAGATCCACCGCCAGGAGCAGCATGCACCTTGGTTGAGGGCCGATCCTGCACAGGAATCTTGCATGAAAAATATGGGAGGTGCAATGAAGAACACAGGCTACGGTCAACTGAAAAGAAAGCTCTCTTGGATACATGGTTGGTCAATTATTAATCTGCAATTAACGAGAAATCCCTGTGGGTTGGATCTAATATTCTCTAATTGGTTCGGCACCCGCATGATTTCCAGCACATCTTGGAGATGGTCATGTCAACATTCTGACAAATGATTGAGCTCATGAATTGAACTAAATATAGTAATAATGCTCCGATTCTAACTGTTTTGCAACCGCAAGCGAAGTGCATTCCTATCATACCGTGCCACAGAAACTGTTTAAATGACTGTGCAAGTTCGATTTGGAGGATTTCAAACCGTAATAAAGTTCCCAGTGTTCTGGCCCTCTGCTCGGAAGTAATTGTTCACATTGTTTCCCTGGATGCCTGCTGGAATCTGCTTATCCACTGGTGGAGGAGCAGCGGGCTTCTGAGCACGGGCTTCATTGTCCGTGGCAGGAGAAGATTTAGGAGGCTCTCCAGAGCCAAACAGGTAGCCCAACGAGCTCTGGCCACCTCCACTGCTGACACCACGACCCATTCTTCTAAACCTCCATGAGTGGAACCAAAAACTCAAATCAGCCAAGAATCATAGGAACACACGAGAAAAAAGCCCCAGAAGCATGGAAGAAATTACTGATAAATAATAGACTAAGATAGGAGTACCTCCATAAACAATATAAAGTAGAAAGAATTTTATCACAAATTTATACACTAACAACTTGATTATCGTCAAGAAATTAATGTGCATGCGGAAACCTCTCTGGGCAGGTCAGAGAGATCAAGCGTTATGTGATGAATCTTAATGTGCTACCCCGCTGGAAGTAATGTATTATTTTATTCAAAACATAAACTTTCTGCTTTACTGGATATGTGGTGACAGACAACAAAGACGTTTCTTAGCCCTTCTTCCCAATTGCCTCTGGGTCGACCATTAGAACAACCACGATGATTCCCTTCCTTTTTCATCACACCAGTTACCCAATGCTTGTTTGTGCTCTTTTCCCATTATTTACCAAAATAGTAGTTTTCATTTACCATTTAGAGAAAAAGAAAGAGAAAGGATGGTGGGGATCGATGAATGGGCATCCTAGTGCAAATATAAACGAAAATAATAATAATAATAAAGGCATGAACAGCGTACAAAGGTTACTTCTGGCGGCTATTTATGGACTGGCTTCAGAGGAGAAGGTCGTCTTGTGGGCAACGCCATTTCAGTGATCTTCTCGTCACCCGCTAGGTGCGGACACTTATTTTATACCCAGTGTTGAACGGACTCTGATAGGGTTCACGACTCGTGGCTCCCAAACATCCAGAGGGTCCCAACCTAGCGGTAATGTGTGTTGATGGAATGAACCACCAGCCCCAATCTCCCCTCTCAGAACACTGAAATCAAGCGTACTGTGAAAGTACAGACTCCGCTGAATACGGAATGCCGGGCAGGACCAGCAGATCCAGGGAAAGAAGCGTCCATTAATCCGGATCTGCCGCTAAAAAGGCCGTGATCGCAAAACCCTGGCGCCAACTGGGGGAAACAAGGACAACAAAAACCGCAAACAGCAAAAATCCAATCAAAAAGACGACAGATCTGCGGCTTCTCACCACTCTATCTGACGACTGTCGCCGGAGATGGGCACCCAAGGCGTTAGCGTACACCGGAGAACTGGGTCGGGTAGATGGGACTTGGAACGGAGTGCCCTGTGCAGGAAGAGCCCGTGGGTTGGAAGGTGAGAGCTTTTATAGCATCTGGAAATATTTGACAATAAATAGGAAATGCCGGCGGGTCGGAGAGGAAAAGACAAAGAACGACAGCGGGAGCTTATTCGTCGAACGTGCCCCCACCCCCTCCCCCCCCCCCATTCTTCCTCCTCCTCTCCCGCCGCCAATCCAGCAGCGGATGAGAGAGAGAGAGAGAGAGAGGGAGAGGGAGGCCGAGACGAGACGTCGCATCAAATGGTGAAGATGAAGGTGCAGGTTAGCTGAAGCAGCAGATAAAAGAGTAATTTTTTAGCACATTATCGAAATATTTGGTCATATTAATAATAAATAAATAATGTTCTCGATGACGTTTGCTCTCGTGCAAGTTGTAACGTATCTTAGACAAAAGGTTAGCTGCATGCACCTTCTCCCAAAATATATGATAATCTCTGAATTTTTTTACCAAGATTGCCTCCCCTTAAATATTTTATTTTTACCCAATAATTAAATCATGTACGCTCATTTTTGTATTATATTAAATAATTATTGTTTAGTAACAATTATTGTGGAGGAAATCTTTCGATCAACAGCCCAGATCACGATATTTAGATAAAAATCTTTTTTTTCGACCGTCGGTGTGATGCACCGGAGATTTCGATAGTTTTGAAAAATATTTCAACGTTTTCCTGATGAAACGAGAGAAAATTCTTTTTTTTTGTCAAAAAATCGGTATTTTTATAGAAATTAGACCCGGAAACAAGAAACTCGAATGGGTCACATCTCGTGTTTTCTGGAAGAAATAATAAATATATTAAATTATATTTTATATTTATATGATCTCATCTACTGTTATCGTTCATGGTGTGACTTCTTCGGCCCATTTAGGACGATGGGCCGGGATTAATCTATTTTGAAAATATTAACCGTTAAAATATAGTATTAATAAATGCAAAAAATAAGTTATGGTTGAAAAATAAATGATCGTCAGATCTCAATCGGACGGCCTTGACGGTTGGCAGAACGACGGTGTTCCTTAATCGGGGTTCCCCCCTCGGGGAGTCTTGACCGTCCGATCGGGGTGCCTTCGCGTTCTCTCTGAAATCCCTTACGCTCCTGTTCTCAATTGGATCGCTCGTCGTCCACTCTCTCTCTTCTGTCTCTCGTTCGTTCACGTCGCGGCAATTAACTAACTGTATAGCTATATAACTCAAATCTGGTATTTCATGCGGAGGAAGGACTGCCGGAGTAGCATGTCCTAGGGTTTATCCTCCTGTGGTTATTACCCGCCTCGTGGAGATGTCGAGGCCCGATCGGAACCCTAGGTTCGCTGTTTGTGGTTAAGCTTCCATTGGGCGAGGAGAAGATTGCATTCCTACTGGTGGATTGATTCTCCAATTTACTCCCACTTGAAAGAAAGGTACGCGATTAACCCCTGCCAGTGTGGTGTTCACTCATGTTCTTCACTCTTCTCAAAGTAGGGGTGGGAAGCTGTTTCTTTGCTGTTCGTCTGTGTTTCCCCGCCCCTGTTTGTTAGGTGGTTGTCTCTTCTGTGAAATTTATCTTGGGTTTGGATTGAATTGCTTATTCTTTTATCCCCGGAGTTTTTTCGAAACCTAGTTAGAGTTGTTATTTCTCAGCGCTTGAGTTTTGCGATTTATTGGACTCCCTATCAGCAATTTTCAGCTTTTTGACTGAATACCTGGACCTAATTTTTTCGTATTAGATTCCTATTCAGTTCTCTTTATCTAGGCCCTTCTGCCATTTATGATAAGTCTTTTGGTACTGGAAACTGTTTGAGCACTTGGTATTTCATTTGAAGTTCATTGGCATGGTAACCAATTATGTCATGGTTCATATTTCAGCGAGCCTCGGAAACTCTATCCCGGGGGAGGCAAGTTTTAAACGAGATGTACGGACAGGGTAACCATGCACCTCCGTTCAGGCACAGATATCCTGCTCCTCCCCCTTCTTTTCAAGCCCCTACAACATCCTCCTCACTGCCTCCTTTCCAGCAACCGCCTCTTACAGGGACACCACCTCCTTCACTTCAGCCAGGCCTTCCTCATCCACCTTCAAACCTACACTCACATGCACCGCTTCCATCAACCGTGTATGCCCAGTCCCCTCCACCTTCACAAGCAGCCCGCCATCCACAACCTGTAATGGTGGATATGGGCCAACCACATATACACATGCACCCACCACCTCCGTCAAATTTTGGCAGTAACCCTGTTCTTCATTCTTACGCACCACAAACCCAAGCAGGGGCCCCATACCAGCCACAAACAGGGAATCCGAATGCTCATCGTATACCGGCCTCTGCTTTTCCACCCCCTAGAGGCTTGGCCCCATCGGGAGTTTCCACTCAAGGCCAGCTTCTGTATAGGAATCCCCACCCACCCCCTCCAGGAATACACCATGCACGCCCTCCATATCCTCCACCTCCAGCCAGCTTTGTCACTATAAGTCCTCCGTTCGCGCCATTTTTGCGCGGTTCAATGGATGAGGCCCCTCCACCTTCACTGCCTCCACCTCCGCCTCCACCCCCGCCCCCTCTTTCTCCTTCACCCTCACCAAGCTCACAGGTCGGAGAACTTCCGGTAGTAAAGCCTCAAGAAATGCCAGATCAGGAGGTTATGAAGGACCACGATCAAGATAGTAATATCATTAATGGCTCTGGAAATGACTCCCAGCTGATTGGTAGTGTTCCAGTTCCCAGTGGCCATACCAGTGATAAAGTTTGCAAAGTTGAGACAGAATACTCTGGGAAGAAAAAAGAAACTCCGAGTCTTCATTCCTCACCCCCTACTAGGCCAGCAGAAGACGTTGTTCATAACATTGAAACATTGTGCAAGTTCATGGTCAATGTTGGACCTCAGTTTGAGAACTTAGCTCGTATGAAGGAAGTCAACAACCCATCTTTTTCTTTTCTATTTGGTGGGGAGCCTGGGAGTGCAGCTGCCATTGGATATGATTATTTTAAGTGGATGAAGAGAAAGTATCGTTTTGAATCAGATAATTCCGAGCTTGGCTTTTCAATTCAAGCATCTGCACAACCTCAGAGCTCTGCTGGTGAAAGAAAATCTTTGTCGCCGGCTGAATCAGACATGGACATGGATGGTATTGTTTAATTCCTGCATCCTATTGTTTTTTTATTTTGTAGATTTATTTCACAGAATTCTATCGATTCATTACTATAACAATTCCTGTCTGTTGCTGACATAATTATCATGAAATGTTAAAATTCGTTAGTTTCATCTGTGGCATGACTATGTGGTGTGTAGTCTATCTTTTTAACATAACTATGATCTTGAATTGTAATTGATGCGTCACTGTGTGGGCCATTTCACTAGTAGTCATGGATTATTGGCTCTGCTGTTGCATGGGATGTACATGGGATTATCGTGCACAAAAGTATCATTTTGATAAAATATGGAGACAATTGACGAGCAAAATGATTACCAAGAATGAAATAGCTGATCTATTGTTAAGTATTGATTCCAAGCGTTCTGGTCTTATCAAGTTTCATGAAATCTTTACCATGATTGTTAACGTCGGTTAAGAAAACTGCACTCTTGTCAAATAGTGCTCGCAGTAGTATATTAAATCTTACACTTTACATGCTCAAAATATTTTGACTTTGGCCCTGCTAATTCTGGAGGATGAGGACTGATTCGAGATAACATTCGTGGACATCTTTGGAACGGGAAGCTGCTCCCTTGTCTGCTTCTACTGTAATACATTTATTTCGTTGGTCGTTAGGAGTGATCAACGTTATTATTTTGAGGAGTTCTGTTAGTTCGGAGAGAAACAGTGTAGGAAACACAGTTTCAGTAAATTTCTCTATTGGTTTATTATGATACATGGCCTCCAAACCTCAAATACGTGCTGGGTATAATATTACCTCAAAATGAACAAGGACCTTTATGATGGTCCAAAACTAAATTTAGGCCTGAAACACGAGTACTGGACTCATAGCAGGTCGATTTGTGGTACTTGGATGAGTTGGACAGATGCCATCTAAACTGATGGTTTTTTAAGGTTTCTAAATGGAACCCAGAGTCAGCGCATAATTGAATACCCTATTTGAGACCAAATTCTTCTGATTGAGGATATTCCGTTTATCGTCATCCTTTTTACAGGTGAAAAGTAGGTTTGGCTGGAACTAGTCTGGCTTCCCCCAGACTGGTCAATTCCAGGCATGGGTTTGATGCCTTCCCTCTTACGACTGGAAGGGGATGACTGGTTTTATTTTTGGCGGGTGCGAGCTTGTCATATCCTTGTGTCCGAAACATGACTATTGGAAGAAGAACTTTTCTTTTGCCTCTGGGATGACAGGAAGCACGTGTAAATCTAGAAAGGATGACCATTATATTTTCTTCAACTTTTTTATGGTACTTTCCTTTGTGAAAGATGGACTTACTGGTTCATGTACACCAATTGAGGCCTCTTCACATAAAATCTGGAATGTTTTTCGTATCTTGGTTGTATTTTGAAGGTGAGCTAACTAATTTGAATTCCCGAGAGCATAGATTTAAAGTTCCGAGCTATATGTCTCTGGGAGAGGAGTTCATTCTGGAGGGTTTTTCTTGTACTCTTCTTAGGTAGTGTTTTCAGTGTCTTTAAAAAAGAAGGGAAAAAATATTTTTTGCGAATGGGTTGTCTATTTCTTATTTAGTCATGTGTTGGCATGCAACTTTTATTTGATTTTCATTTTTTAAGTTTCCAGAAGTCAAAGACGACCTATGTGATTCTAGAGATGAAAGCATTTTTTTCTGTTCTTAATTCTATCATCAGCACTCCAGGATATGATGTTGTTATAGGTATACACGTATATCTTTTTTATTTTTTTCTGTATTTCTTCATTATTTGTGGAACATGATTAGGATTTTCCCATGTGTATTCAATAGATGATGCAAGCCAATCTGAGGTAAAACAAGGCATTGCAGAATTGAGCAAGGAATCAAATGAAGAAGCCATGAGCCAACCTGTTACAGAAAAATTTCGTCCGCGTTCAAACATTACTGAGGGACGAATGGGTGAGATGCCTTTGCCGGACTTTCTACTATCTTCAAAGTCCTATTTCCATAATCAGGAAAGACATGGTAATAATTAGAAGAACTTTCTGCCACTTGTTTTCTTCTGTCCTGCACATTTTCTTGCTTTCTATAGCAGTGCAAATTTTCTTTTTGTATACTTTTGTACGTGTACTGTTTATATACTTCTGACCTGCAGACACAAATATGTCAATGCTTTCATTGGGCGGGGAAAAATATGCCTATGAAAATGATAAGTTCCATATTTTCAGTAGATTTCGATTCCGTTAAAATTTTATTTTTACTCAGGATCATGCTTACCACTTTAAGATACATATTACCCTCCATCGTACTTTCCATGCTGAGCATTAATGCATATTTGGGTGGTCATTTTTCTCCCTCAAGTCTACATATCACGTAATAGAAGGCAAATAACAGCTCGTTAACAAGGGAACTAGATGTATCTTGTGAGGACAAAAAACCTCATGACGCTATAACAACTACGGCTGTAGTAGAATGCAGTCCTTTGTGAAGTCAATAATACCTGCCGATTTTGACGGGTTGATGGATTCAAATGGAAAATATCTCGATCATAGAAAATGTATCTCAAAGACCGTATACTCTCGACCGTTGGAAAAAGATTAGATACATTTCTTTCTAAATTTCCAGTTAGGTTTCTCATAAAGACGTGGATACATGTTAACCTATGCGGGCTTTATAAGACTTCATATTTTCATGGTGAAATGATGCTAAGAGATTTGAAAGAAGTCCACAATAGACAGTTTTATTCTTGATTTCTTTTGATCGGATGACTGAGAGCTTAAGTGGTAAGAGTTGTCTTTGGACCTCTCTTTTGGTATTTTGGTGTACGTGCTTGTTTTGGATTTGGTGTTACTCTCTTTTTCCTTTTTGTTGCATCACAGCAAGATTTGTTGATTTGATGGTCTTTTTTTTTTTCTGGAATCCATCTTTTATCGTTCAGTGATATTTATCATAACGTTCATCAATCTGTGTATCGTGATACTTATGCATTGCCGCGAATCATAATTTTAACTATGCTTTTGGGTCTTCTGCATCGTACATTCTTATAACGGATGACAACTTTTCAGATGTTGATAGATCCTCTGCACATCATACTTCATCAGTCTCAAATCAGGCTGTGCCAGGCATGTCAATTCGTAGTGTGCAGCAACCTGTCAGTTCAACCATTGAAGATTCTCTTACGGTTAATGTTCCCTTGTCTCAATCTGACGGGCAAAGTTTAGAAGCAGCGACAGTATCCATTAAAGGTGGAAGTCCATTTAGGCTTATTCAGGATTATGCTTCTGATGACAGTGGAGGGGATGATGGAAAGGAGTTAATTGTACGTGGTACTTCTGACCTTGTTTCAGCTAGGAATGATCTTGGCACATCTTTTGAGAAAGATGATGTCAATTCATGTTCGCCTTTGCTCTCAAAAAGTGCTCTTGCTGCTGAAAAAAGCAATCAGTCACGCATTGACACAGCTCGTGCGGATGTTGTTGGAAGCTCACAAGCTAATAAGGAAAGGACCGACTATTTTGGAGGTCAGAAGAGATTTGGACGAACATTGGGCAAAGGAACCTTTAAAACCTCTCGTCATAGAGATATTGATGGAGACGAGAAGGGTCCTTTTAATGCTCAGGTTGGGGAGTTTCACAGGGAAAAATACGCTACCAAAGGCTCTTTACTAAAAGTGGACGAGTTTGGAAGGATGGCCAAAGAAGGTGCAAGCAGCAGTGATTCAGAGGAGATGTCTTATGAGAAGAAGTATGTTAGGAGAGGCAGAAGTCGGAGCAGAAGCCAGTCACCTCAAGAAAGAAAGAGGAGAAGAAGCCGGAGTCCTTGGAGGTGGAGAGAAAGGCGAAGTCAATCTCAAAGGTACAATATCGTGCATTCAGTTAACATTTGGGGTTCCTCACTGTTGCTGAATGTGATCTTGAAGTTGGAGTTTTTTTGGTTAGTTACACATGCACAAGTTCTTAGTTTTTAGTGTAAATCTCTTTCAGCTGGTCACCAAGAGGACACAGCAGGAGCAAGTCCCCACGAGCAGCTCCACCTAGGCACATGGGAGATCATCGAAGAAGAGGCCAGGGCCGGCCTCCAGAGTGCTTCAACTTTCTCCGAGGCCGGTGCTATCGTGGAGCATCTTGTCGGTATCTCCATCATGATATGGGACGTTTTAAGAATAAAAACGAGGATTATCGAAATGTTTCTCAAGATTTCGACAGGCATATGCGTCGTGAGCAGAGTCATGGTGTTAGGAATTTAGAGAAGGAGACTGCCATTCAGAAGGAGAGACTCCCACTGGATGGAAAGAGGCACGTTATGTCAGGTAAAGCTGATTTACTTTCAAGCAGTATAAGAGATGAAGGTCCAATTGGACAGAGCAGTGTGGATTCCATGAAGAAGGATGGAAAACATGTTTTCTCAAGTGAGCAACATCAGTCAAAGAACACTGGAGAAGTGGATCATGAGCCGGCTTCTCATGAGATATTTGACCTGTTGCCAGGATCAGATCACGCTGAAAAATTGCAGGAATCACCTGATTCTCGCTTGATGGAGGATACTGACCAGAAGCCATCAGGTGACAACCATGATGTGGCAGATGACAGCTTGGATGACCAAGGTTCGTCTGCACCTGAAGCACAAAAACTGCCCCGTGGAGATCACCTTGATCGTCCGTCTTTGGCTGAAAATCATACGACTTTGCCTCAACCTGCTATTTCTGTGCTGCCCAATGAGTCAGAACCTCCAAAACTTTTGCCCTCTCAGCATCCGGTTTCAGGCCTGTCTGTGACTCAGTCTGTTCACACGCAGAGTCTGATGCCTGCTGCTCAATCACAGACTGTTGAAATACCTGTGACCACAGGCTATTCAAAGCCGGGTCCTGTACTCCTGTCATATCAAAATCAAGTTCCTGGGTTTGCTCAGTCACCTAGTTTTCTGAGTGGAGACTCGCAGCTTCACCAGTCTCAGACACATCCACCGCCATTTCAGGTGAACCCTCCCTACTTTCCACCGTACTCCCAGATGCTGCCGCGGCCAACCGAGGGATATCGTCCTCACTTTACATTTCATGGGCAGCAATCTACGGCAGAGAACACCTTGCGAACATCCAGAACAAATATTCTGCCTCAACCTTCCCCTGCCGATGGATTTCCTACTGGTCGAACTTCTGTAACTAGTAATTATCATTCTGTTTCCACAGCTCCAAAGCCAACAGCTGATGAAACTGCAAGGCATCTTGTTGCGGAAAAAAATTCCCGCTCGCATATTCAGCAAAGTGCTGTCTATCTGGGTGTTGAGTTTCCCTCACAAAGCAATTTGACTCTTGACAAACGCCAAGTACTCCATCCAACTGAGGAGCGAAATCTCATGAATGAGTTCACGCAAAGGCCTCGGCCTAATGAGACTCCACATAGTCAACCACTTGGAGGAACTGATTTCACCAGACAGGAGCAGTCTTTTCGCCCTTCAGTGATAGAAGGTCATCAGTCTGTATCCTCTCTGGATGCGCTTCATTCTGTCCAGGAAGGGGGAGGTGTGCAACCTCCAGAGCATAATATAAATTCTCAAGGTTATGGTTCTCTTGCGAGAGACGAATCCGCAGGAGGGATGTCTTACTCTAAACAGGCACCACCAAGCTTGCAGCACCAATCTGGCAGCAGTTTCCTTTCAAACATGGGTGCAACTGGCAACAACAATCCCTCAAGATATCCACCAATCCTTCCAGAGAGTGAACTACGTTCTCACTTGCCTGATGTTGGCTTGCCAAAAGTTTCAGGGCCAACCCATTATAACCCATTTTCGTCTGCTTTCGAACAGACAGCAACGAGTTCAAGATTTGTGTCCAGTGCTTTCGGACACGAGAACAGCTCGAACATTGGCAGTAAGTACCATTCTTCCTTCGTTCATGGCCATAATCTAATGTCTGAACATGGGTTATCAAATGTAGCTTCTTCACCTCCGAGTACAGAAGGGAAAAAAATGTCATTCTTAGAGAGACCTGGTGAGTCATCTTCAACTGCTCAAACAGGAGAGTTGATACACAACAAGCCATGGCACAAGTCAGAGGAAGAGGTTGCAGCGAAACAATTTAGTGTGGGGCCACCTGTTAGTGATCAATATGATCCACTTTTTGACAGTATCGAGCCGTCTTCTAGGGTTTCAAAGATGATTAGTTCCTCCCAAGAGCAAGACCCAGCTGTTCATGACACAGATATTGGCAGCAGCATTCATCTGCCTGCTGACGTTGAAGAGAATAATAAGCATAAAGTTGGTGCTTCTATCGGTGTTCAGATTGACAATGATGAGTTTGGTGAGACAGCACCAGAAGCAGAAGTGGGTGCTGTGGAGAATGAGAGTCCTGGGAGCCCAGTTGATTTACTGGAGAAGGAGATGGGAGAGGTTGAAGTCGATCAGGTCCGGTCTCCTGGGAAGAGCAAGAAAACCAAAGATTCCAAGTCAATGAAGCTTCTAAAGATCGCGCTGGCGAACTTTGTGAAAGAAGTTCTCAAGCCATCATGGCGACAGGGGAACATGAGCAAGGAGGCATTCAAAACAATTGTAAAAAAGACTGTAGACAAGGTTTCTGGGTCAGTATCCAGTCATAAGTTGCCCAAATCACAAGCAAAGATAAACCATTACGTTGAGTCGTCTCAAAGAAAACTGACCAAGCTTGTGATGGTATCCGTTCATTCTTCAACTCATTTATGTTTCTTGGCACGTGTAAACCACGAATTTCTTAAGCCCCGACTTCACCTTTCCTTGGTTCATAATCTTGAGTAATTCTTGTTCACCATCAGTCTCTAACATGGCTTATGGCTTATCCTCATTGACTCTGGAGTTCAAACTTTTTGTTGTAGATGTTCACATTTAGATTTCTAATCTGCTTTTCTGCTGGGGAGGAATGCTCTGTTATTTTCGGGTTTTTTTTTTTTTTTCTCTACTGGAACTTGACCTATACACAGGCGATTGCAGCAAAGGAGGATATGTGAGAAGTGTGGCATTGGTTGAAAAATCATGGCTGCAGCTCATAGTGTTTTTATTTAATCATTTTTTATCGACTGAGCTTGTGAAGAATTTTTTCTTGGCATTTGTCAGATGAAAGCCTGCCTCTTCGGGGTTGACCCTCGAGTACATTCTTCAAATTTACAGATATTTTCAACGTGTAGCTTATCTTGATGTGCCTCTTTGCAGGGATACGTTGACAAGTACGTCAAGATGTAGCGATGGAGGGCCAGGAGCTTGCTTGTCGTGGTTCTCCCAGTCAATAGAGCGCAGTGGAATAAGTTAGCTTCCCGACGAGTTGAAAGCTAGTGATCTTCACTGTAGGAGCGGCTTTGGTCGAACCCCACCATCCTTTTAAGCTGACTGAAGATGCCGATCTCTGCTGCTCTGCAACGGTAGGAGTGGACGTGTTTGTATGTAAATCCATTCCCGAGGGCGTTGCTTTCCTTTCTTCCAATATCTATTTTTCTCTCTGCGGTGGTAAAATTTTCCCTGTAAAGATGCAATTTTGCCATTTTGCTGAATCGTAGCTGCTTTCATGAGTTCATCCCTCCTAGTAGCCATTCTTTCCGTAACAGATAACTCTCTCTCTCTCTCTCTCTCTCTCTCTCTCTCTCTCTCTCGCTCTCGCTCTCGCTCAATGGGGATGGAGATAACATAATACTCTTTGTGGGGTCCTTTTTTGGATAGAGAATCGTTGGGATGTGATTGCAAACTTTGGCTTGGATGGTCGTCAGGTGAGCTGGTTTTCATGTCCAATCTCCTCCGTCGGATTGATCCTTGGCTCTAATGGCTTTATCTCATCGTTCTCTTGCAGGAGACTGTGGAGTCTTGCCCCACTCTCGGACACATGACCACTTGGAAGACGTCTATCCAAAGCTGTGAGCTTTCCTGCCCACCAGGCCCAAGTGGAAACCCTGTTCTTTGAATGCATCTCTTGGTTTCACAGTAAACGAGAGGGGAGCGTGCCTGCGGGGGTGCACATGACCGTTGACCTTCCTACAATGTACGTTGCTCCTCGTGGGCCCCCTCGTGCTATATACCTTGGGATCTTGCGAAAAAAATGATTTCCATTCGAGCCCAAGGCTATCCCTATGATGATAGCATGAACCCTGTGTGACTTGCTCCTCGTGGGCCCCTCGTATTATATTTCTTTCTTGCGAAAGAATTGATTTCTGCTCTAGCCCGAGGCTACCTTATGGTGATAGCATGAACCCTATGCGACGTTGACTCACCAGTTGACTCTTATCTCGATCATTTCATGTTCTGAGCTTGATATTTCTCAACTCCATTGCTGTGTACGACGTCCTACCTTTGGAAGAGTGGGGCTCTCCCTGGGCTTCTAGCCCATAGTAGCCTAGGGCGTTGACCCGCTAAATGTGATCTTGTTGATGGGTTCTAACCATGGGCGAAAACCATTATATATTTCAGTTCATAAAGAAAAGGGGGCGTAGGCGCAACCTATCGGAGGCCCATTTCTAGGCTCTATTAAATTAATCAGATAAGTTTGGTGTTGACTTGTTCTGGATAAATAAGTTGACGCCGCAGTTTCGATCAGTTGAGATTCGGGAGGACCACACCAACGAGAACAGGAGAGATGCTAAGAAAATTTTGGTACCCTTAATCGTTGAAGCATTAATTAAACAGGCCGCCCATCAGGTCCCCTCTCGAATTCTCGGAGCTGCCCGTTCTTAGCCCCTTGACTGCCGCTCCCGCGGCGACTTGTTTCGGGTTCAGACGGAGGCGGTCGCCTGAAAAAATCAACCCCGGCCGGTGCTCCAAGAACCCCCGTTTGCCATCCCCCCAGCTCCCCGTTCACACATACATGGCCTCGCCCTGAGACTGCACCCAGCTGAGCTCCCATGAAGATAGAGCGCTATCTTCTTGCTTCTCAGTTTGGATCGAATAATGGTGTCTGGCGGCGGTGGAGAAGCAAGATCTGGATGAGTTGAGAAGCTGGTTTTTCAGTGGATGTGAGGTCTTCATTCGGTGGGACTGGCTTGTCCGCCGGAGGACGGGTCGCTGGCGTTGGATCTCCGCGTCCCGTCCAAGGGACTCGACAACGGTGTGACCACACGATCCCCCCACGTGTTCCCAACCTGGCTCGTCCTCATCCTTGCTTTCTCAACAATGACCCACCCACCGACCAGCTCTCGGCGGCGGCGGCGCCGTCGCCGGAGAGGATCCGAGCTGGAAGACCAGATGGGTTTCACTCGCCAGCCCGGAAGCCGGCGGGTAATCTGAGGATCCCAATTTCTTAATCGCACTTCCTAGTGAATTTATCTTGAATCGAGTTCTTATGGCCCAGCTTTATCCTAGCTTTGCCAGTGAACAACCCCTTTTTTCTTACCTTGAATTGGTCAAAATACTCAGATTTTCTGAGTTCCCCTGGCCGGGACTCAGAGCAGCTCCTCCAGGGCGCCGCCGTTACCATCTTTCTCGATCACGAGACACAGAATTCCGGATTGGGGAGGGCCCTAATCGCCCGCCGGTGGAGGACACCACCCCTCCCCCGTCGCCGCCGTTTGGCCCACTTGTCCCCCGCAGGTACAATAAGAAGAAGAAGCAGCAGCAGAAGGAGGAGGAGGAGGAGGAGGAGGAGGAGGACACGGGCACACATGCCATGTCCCTGGGCCTAACCGATGTGACGGTGTTAGTTGGACCTGCCTAGCCATGTGCCGGCCGCCCTCTTCCCCTCGCATGTGGCGCTGCGGCCCTCGGCCATATCCCTCCTTCGGTCGCCATCGCCCACATGCACACGCATAGGAGCCGGCCCCCGCCTATGCCATAGCCTACGACTGCTAGCGGCTGCACTCTTGTTCACCAACAGCTCATATTTATTTCTGCTGCATCTTGCCACACATGGCCCCCGCCGCCCCCCCCTTTGATCGGGTGCAACTACCGCCGCCCTTCGCTCAATGATCGCCGTGCGTTGATCTGTCACCCTCCTGGAGATCAGCCCCTTCCCCCGCAACTGTACCGGGCACTGCGGCTCACGTCATAAAACTCAGCGGAATGAGAAGACATGGAGCTATTTTATGTGGGTTTTACGTGTTCTCTGTGCATGTGGGCTGCATGGGCATCCGCCGCAGACGTCATCATCCCGCCGCCGGATTCTTCCGCCCGCATGGGGCGGAGGGCGTTGGATTATCATCATTCTCGTCCCCCCCTGAATCGTTGGGAGGGCTTGACGCCTAGCGCCGGCGGTGGAATAGAAAACTCGGCTTCTTCTCGGCGATCGATCTTCCAACCACCGGAGCTGCGGGCTCCGCGATTATCCTCCCCCCCGCGGCTAATTTTTAACATGCCCGTGGGAGACGGCGGGGAATTAAACAAAGTCTGCAGCTTAATTAATCGCCGCCGTGGGGGAGTTGGAGACCTCCGGCCAGTTCGTAAACCCACGGTGAAGATTCAAGAGATGCCCCCAGAAGAAGCTCCCTCTCCTCTCTCTCTCTCTCTCTCATTCAATCTCTTTCTCTCTCTGAAATGATGAGCGCTGCCGAAATTTCCGGGGGTACTTTGGCGAGATCCCAAGCGGCGGGGCTGAAAAAGATGGAAATCGTGAGAGAAGAGGGGAGTAGAGAGCCCAATGATTGAGGTAAGTGTTTGTGTTGGGCGGCAATCAGCACCATTAATAAAGGCAGAGGAATCTCCCGGGGCCATGCTCGTCCCCTTCTTCTGTGTAGGCCTGTGACCACCCAGAAGTGGGGGATTAGAAACAGGTTCAAGAAGCCCTACGACTGCTACCCTCAGCCTCCATGCACGCGAGCGAGGAAGCAGATGACCGTGAACGGGGATGAAGAGAGAAGTTTCTCTCTCTCTCTCGCTATCTACGTCAGGATGAGCTACTCTTCCCGGAGATGGCCAGCTGTTTCATTGTACGAGATCGAGTAGAGAACCAACTACTTACAGATTATTTCTAATCCTCGCAGGTCCTCTCTTTTGCCCCGCTTTCTCTTTCTCTCCCTCTCAAACGTGACAGCTGCGCTAACATCGTGCAGTGTACCTGCAAGGTGGCTAGATAGAAAGACAGATGGAGAGGGAGAGAGAGAGAGAGAGAGAGAGAGAGAGAGAAAGAGAGAGAAAGAAGCCTCTTCTACGATTCGTTGAAAGGACAGAAGGGCAGCATGTTTTCTTGGTCAAATCTACCCTCGCCAGTAGTGTCAGAGATCTACTAGTTTATACCCTCCTCCCCGCCGCGAAGCTTCTTCTGCTCGTCTTCTTCCGCGCTGGCGTCCTTCCCCTGCCGGACCTCCCTTAGTAAACTCTCTCTCTCTCTCTCTCTCTCTACCCCCCGGTGAGTCCCATGTCCCTGGTCACTTGCTGCGCCCGGCGCCGCAGTTGAAGACTATGCACAGCCAATTTGGAGAATAAGAAAATTCCGTTCTCATACGACCTCGGGGTTCCCCCTCTTCTCTCTCTCTCAAATCCAAGTACAAGTAGATTTAGTGGAAGTTTTAGAAGCATATGTAGTAGGGCCTGAACGAGAAGCATTGGCTGTCCTGGCTCGGCTCATCCGCCAACTAACTGCTGTTGAGTATTATTGACCTTTTTTCAATTCAAACCCGATCACTGGCATCTGGTAAACCATGCGATGGATCCATAGAGAGGGAAAGAGCGCGAGTGTCATTACACGACCGTTGCGGCGGAGGCAAGTAACAAAGATGCAGTCTTTGCCCCTCTCTCTCTCTCTCTCTCTCTCTCTCTCTCTCTCTCTCTCTCCCTAGAGAGACAGAGGGAGAGAGAGAGACAGAGAGCATGAGAGCGCCTGGGTAGTAGCTTCCTCCCACTGACAGGCATCACATGCTCAGCCAGACAGCGCCAGACCCACCAACAATAATCATTCTCACATGGCAGCTCTTAGAAGGGACCAAGACCCGGCTGACCCACTCATCCCTTTCCACGCTTTTCATCCGCCTCCTGCTGACGTGCTGGAATCTCTCTATCTACCCCCACCCCCTCTCTCTCTCTCTCTCTCTCTCTTACCACCCCTTCACCGCTTCCATGCTAGCCCGAGCTCTCCGCCCGTCGACGTGTTCCCCCCTCCCGCTGGCAACCGCCTCCTTATTAATCTCCCACCCCCCCGCGCCCCACCATATATGACGCTCTCCTGGGGTTTTCTCCACGGCCAGCTCCATCGCGGGAACCAACCTTCCTCCTCGACTGCTTCCTCCATATCAACCCTTAATCCAGATCCTCTGGTAGGACACAACACAACCTCCCCACCCCCACCCCTCACTGGCACAGAGAGAGAGAGAGAGAGAGAGGGCTGGTGTTAGGGTTCCGATGATTAGAGGAGGTAGATAGGGAAGGAGGGAGGTAAGAGGAGGGCGATGTCAGGGAAGCTGCTGAATGAAATCTCGGAGGAGAATCAGGTTTTACAGAGGCGGGTCGGGTGCATGATGGGCATCTTCCAAATGCTGGACCGCCACCGTCTACTCTCAGGGCGGCGGCTCAGCCGCAAGAGGCTCCCTCCTGGTGAGTGGAGAATCGCCGCTCCTTTCTTCTTCTTCTTCTTGCCTTATCACCACACTGCTCACCTCCTCTTCCTCATCTTCCTTCTCCAGGCGGCAGCGCCGCCGCCGGCGACCACCTTCAGGCGGAGGAGAATCACCAGCCCTCTCCACGGATAGACCTGGTATGGATTTCGCCCCCTCCGGAAGAGTCAGAATCTTAGCGAAGTGATCAATCACCGGACGAACTCTTGCTGCAGGAGAAGAAGAATCTGAGCAGGAGCTTGAACGAGAACCAGAGAGTATCGGTGGAGTCATCAAGAGCTTCCTTCTCCTCCTCGTCCTGCTCCTCCTCTCTCTCTTCCCTCGAATGCAGCCGAGGGTCGACGGCGGCACCGCCGCCGCCGGCCGCATCCCCTCGCCGGCAGTCACTGGACTTCAGAGACGTCGTGAAGGGGGCCATAAACAGGGACGGCGGCGGCCCCTCCGCCATTAAAACCTCTTCGAGCAAGTCCGAGGGGAGGACGAAGCAGCAGCATCAGGACTCTCCACGGCCTTCCCTGCCATCGCCGAGGAGCCTCCTTGAAGACAGAGGAGGACCTGCGAGAAGATCTTCGTACCACAGGGAAGCGCCCCGCTCGTCTCTTGATTCCAGGGAGCAGAGCAGGTTCTCCACGAGGCTTCAAGAGATCCCCAGGCTGTCGCTGGACAGCAAGCAGGGCTCCCTGATGAACTCAAACCAAGATTCGAGGTCATATTCACTGATGAAGGACTTGGAGACGATGGACGCCGCCGCCGCCGGCCAGAATACCCATCGGCGGCCGGCCAGTGTCGTGGCGAAGCTGATGGGCTTGGAGGAAATGGCTTCTCCGGGATTATCCGACCTGCAAGCTTCTTCTCCCTCTCTCCTCCCCCTGGTGCGGAAGAAGATGCCTGAAGAGAGCAAGCAAGAGCGGCCTGCCGGGACTTGCCCTAATCTTTCCCCCAAGGGTTCTTCCTCTCCCTCCTCCATTCCGAGGATCAGATCAGCAGAACCAGCGATAAAGCCGACCCCCAGCTCCAGGATTCCCATCGAGCCGGCTCCATGGAAGCAGCCGCAGGGGAAGCAGACGGCGCACAGAAGACAGCCTCAGGAGACTATTTACAGTGAGACTGAGAGGAAGCTGAAGGTACCTGGGTTCCAGCAGTCGAACAAGGACTTCCGAGCTCTGGAGAGGATACTGGAAGCGATTCATGCAAAGGGTCTGATGGAGTCCAAGAGAAGAGATAAGCTCAGCGGTGGTCCGTCAATGGCCGTGTCCGATCAGAATTTGAGAAGAACAGAGGGGGTGCAAAATCCGCAAACCAGACAGCTGAGCAGATCTTTCTCATCGGAGTCTCCTATCGTGATTATGAAGCCTGCAAGGTCCATCGACCGGTCCCATTTCCCTTCGTCTTCGATAATTCCTCTCGGTGGGCTCGCCAGTCTTCGAAGGGTTCGTACGGGCGGCGGCGTCACTGAGAACACAGAAAATCGCAGCTCGCATAGAGCTCGAGTTCAGGTCCCCCATGGCTCACCTCGGTCTCCGCATCTGACGAAGGAGAACAGCAGCGGCGGCGCCGTGAAATCGTCTGGCTCAGTCAGTCCAAGGCTCCAGAAGCTGAGGAATCCGGAACAGGAGAAGAAATCTGAGCCAACCAAGCCGAGGAAGCAGCAGTCCACGACGAGGCGTGCCTCAGAGTCTGTGTCACCCAGAGCTCGAGCTCAGTCGAAGATGGTCGGGCTGGTGCAGCAGAACGACGACCAGCTGAGCGAGATCAGCGTGAACAACCTGAATCGTCGTCCCCTTGATTATGAGACATCCCTGAGAAGAACAGAGAGCAACGGTCGTTTAGATGCATCATCACCAGCGAGGGAAGTGTCATGCGCAGAGTTGGCCTCCATCTTGATCCAGCGGGAGCACCCAAGCCCACCGGCAAAGGTACGTAGCTTGATGTTCTTTGCGTTTCTTCAGAATGTGATCTGATTTATCTGAAAGCAATGCCCTGTCGATGATGGCAGGATGTCCACGAAGATGTGTCTGTAGAGTTTTCTACGAGCAGGCTGGAGCAGCCGAGCCCCGTCTCCGTGCTTGACGCCGCCTTCTACAAAGATGATCTGCCGGCTTCACCCATCAAGAAGGCCCTGAGTTCATCCAGAGGTGATCCACTTCTTGTCCCTGCAGCTCCTCTTCCATCACAACCACATCGAGAATGAAAGTAAAAGCCGTCCATTCTAACCGGTTTCTTCGGCCTGTTCCAGCAGAGGACCCTCAGAACGATCATCATGTTCCCGGCAGGGGAATCTGGAAACCGGCAGGGCCCGACAGCCGCCAGCTGCCCAACAACCCCGCAAGCGACTCGAGCTCCCCTGCGTACCACAAGACAATTAAGAGCATCGACAACCTGCTTCAGAAGCTCTGGTGGCTCACCTTGTCCAAGGATGATGATGATGACGACGAAAATTCCCCGGCAGCAGCACCAACCTCCTTGATTGAGGTGAAGAACCCCGACCACCGGTACGTGTACGAGATGCTGATGGCGTCTGGCCTTCTTGGGATGGGGTCCGATGATGGCCCAGCGCTGCCCACCCGGCTCCACAAGTCCGGGTGTGTAATGGATCCTGGCCTGTTCCTCCTGCTCGAGCAGAGACACCGGCCAAGATCCCAGGGGGAGAAGCTCCGCAGGAGGCTCCTCTTTGATGCAGTCAATGAGATGTTGGCCCGCAAGGTGGAGTCTGCCGGGCTGGTCCAAAGCAGGCCTGTGCATGGTGGGGCGCAGTTGCTGAAGGAGCTCTGCATGGAGATTGATCGGCTCACTGCCCACCGGGGCGGCGCCGCCAGCTCTGACGATGAAGAGGATGACGCCTTGAAGCCAATAGTGTGCGAACACATGGTGCAGCAGTCAGAGGGATGGGCAGACTTTGGCAAGGAGGCCTCTGGGCTTGTTCTTGACCTCGAGCGATCCATATTCAAGGACCTGATCGGCGAGCTCGTCAATGGTGAGGTGGCAACTGCTCTGAGCCTTCCGGCCAGACTCAGCAGGTCACTGTTCCGCTAAAAACAAAGTCAACTACACACATGTTACATAAACATTATATTCATAAATACGTATATATTGGTTTATCTATCCATTACTTTCCCTGTCGACAACAAGTAAGATAAAATCTCCTCAGATGTAACCACAACAGTTGAAACATACCGATGGTGTGACTGGGAATCTGAAAGTAGCGTAAAGGCACGTTTAGACTCGTAAATTAGGAAGAATGCTGAAAGGATCTATTTAGCACTGAAGAGAAGTGGACATCCAGTTACTGCAGCCCTCCTCGGACAAACAGTAATACCTGAACCTGAAGGAAAAAACGATGTAGAGCCATTCGAATAAACCTTCTCATTCAACAAGATACATGCTGTACCTGGAGGAGCCGATGAAGAAATGCAGGTGATGGGAGAGCTCCAGGAAAAAAGAGATGCAGGCAGAGCCTTTCGGGAAAGCCTCTTCAAGAAATTAGGCATAGATTTCTGTCAGAGGATACAAATCCCCGCTTCCCATTACTTCAACCAATGTTGGAATCCTTTCACATCCAAGAGGCCAAAACCAATCACCTTTCCAACCAAGCAAGTAAGTTCCCACTCACAATGTCCGAATAAGTCGAGCTCCTTGAAATCATCCTTCAGCATATCGCAGTAAAGAGTAACCAGATGATGACCACAATTTCAAGTGTGTGCTCACGGTTTATTCTTTCATAAAGGCGTATGGTGATGGATGATATAAAGTTTAATGGTGTACAATGGATTGGAAGAATTAACTCCCTTCACTTTGAATTGAAGAACTCTCTCAAGAAATTGGTTAAAAAGAGGCGATTTGCATAAGGAGGTCCATAATCATTTAATAACCAAAATCAATGTGCTTTTTGTGGTTGGCATGAGGATCTGTGATCATTTCCCTATGAAATTATTAGAGTCGTGAAAGTTTATTTGCAATAAAGCCCATTGCCAAGTAGGGAATTATTCAGATATTACTCGTTTGGTGCAAAATTGGTCTGCCTCATGTCCCATGACGGGTGCTTTTAATTGGTGGAGAATACTTTTACAGTCTAACTCACAAGATATGAAGTGAAGAAAATAACAGGAAACTTCACCGAAATTTTGAGAATTCTAAAAAACGCAGTCAGCATGGTCATACCGTACTTATTAAACTGGCCATGAACATTAGAAATGAGCGACAATCTTCATGCGTTCTTGCTGAACGCGATTGATAACAGGAAAAATATGTTCTAATTTATTCGTCTTTTTCTTTTTAACAATCATCTTGGCAGATGATCAGAAGAATTTTTGTGTTTCCAATCTTACAGTTGTATTTTTATGTTTTTATTATTCTCATTGATTATTGTTTTAATGCATCGTAATTGTCATCTGTTGTTTTGTTGAAACAGAGGGTACGCCACCTCAAAAAATAAGCTGTATTCTTGGAGTTTGACATTATCCACATCCCAGAAGGCTGATGTCAGGCACTGAGGGATGACAATTTTATCATATGCTTGGAAACACAGAAGATCCGAAAGAGAATAATATGGATCGCTGAAATGAAAATAAAAATGATTCATTTTAATGACAATCAGAAGGAAATCATGGTTTCTTCTTGTTCTTATAATTGTGGACATGTGAAAGCCTTATCAAAGTTTCACTCTACACTATCTTCAGAGCACATATATCTAGTGAAAGAAAAAAAAAGAATCGATTACGCTACAGTGAATTTTACGATTATACAAATGAAAAATACAAATGACTTATGATGATAAATCATGTTTAATCATCCAGTGAATTTTTCACAATACTTTTATTCCACATTAGAACACAACGACCAACCAACGATGAAAGATATACTTTAAAAACATATGTCTGCCTCATTTTATTCCGTATGCTTCCTTAAGAGCTGCAGATCTTACACCATTAGCTAAAGGAAAATTCGCCAAATAACGGTCACGATGACCACAACTGCAGAACGATATGCCTAACGTCATTCGCTGAAATTAATATGAAAAATCTCCCAAATCAATTGCAATAGGATATTATCAGCCATTAAACTCGTAAAAAACAAGACTTTGCAGGCTGAAGAAGAGATAATAAATAACTTAAGGAAAACTAACCACAAGTTTGACCTTGTACATACACCGATACAGTGTTTGATCATTGAATGGTGTTTTTCCTAGTTAAATTCGGGGCAGTTGTAACTTCACGATAGTAGCTAAACTTATTTTCAGGGTGACGGGCAGCGTGAAAAGAAAAGGAAAAAGGGGCAAAAAATGCGAGAAAAGAACGGGCTTTCTATTCACTACGGAAAAATTTGATTCTAGACAAGTTTACAGCCTGATGAGGGTTTCTGGCATACCTCAAAAACAATATGGAAGATACAGTGAGGAACTTTTAATATCAGTCCCATTAATCTCCATACCACAAAGGTGTACAACTCGGCATCAGGCTACCTGCCTACAAGTCAATCTACAACTGCGCAAGTTCATGCGGATTCTCCATGGCCTCTTTGAGTATCAGCTCTGCTCTCCGCTTCTTGTCATCCTTTTCATCATCCTTAAGGATCCGCAAACCTCTTTTCCCAGAGCTTGGAGTTTTAAATGAAAAAGGTGCAGTAATGGACTTCTTGTTACCAAATGTGAAATGCACTGCAGGCCTCTTAATAGGCAGAATCTTAGATTCACCACCCATAGAATCAGAAGCTCCCCTCTTCATAGCTTCAATGGCTGGGGCAAAAGTCTCAAGAACTGAAACCTTGTTTCCCACGGCAGCATCAGGTGGAATAATCGGAGATACTTCTTTTTCGCCAAATAGTATGGGTGGGGCAAGAAAGGGATTGATAGGCACCTCTTGCTTTTCCTTTCCACGAATATCATCAACCACTGGAGCTACAGATGTAGCGCCACTGTAGGCCAAGCGCTGTTGTAAACTTAACAAGGACCTTTCTGCCTTTCGTCGCTGTCTTGCTTGCTCAATTTTTCCCGTTCTTGGGTCTGACGCCTTTTCATCCCACACTGGTGTATGGATGTACGTGTGCGGGTCAGGGAATGCAGGAAGCCAATCAGGTATATGCTTCCCCGGTGGCGGTTCTCCAATCTGTGAGAAGGCAAGAGAAAGCTTCCGGTGGTGTGCGATTGGAAAATGCGGTACAGATCGAGCAAAAGGGGCCTCATCTGCAATGCTCACGTACCGAGTGAGGTCACGCACGACGCCAGAGTTCACAAGACAATGGTGCACATCTGATGCGCTGGAAAATCCCTGGGTTGATCCCAGTTCCTCTAACCCTTGCAAAACGTCAAATACACTGCAGCCCGTTCTTCCAGCTAGGTTGGCATAAAAGTGTGAAGTTCGGCCTAAATCACAGATGTAACGAACCGCCACATCCGAGAGCGCATCAAGGGCAGACTGCTGTATGCTGTTAAATCCCAGAGACTCGCAAATTTGTGCAACAGCAATCCTGGCAATTGCTCGGCCGAAGGCATCTGCCGCCGAGCGTCTACTACCCAATTGGCGGCTCTCAGTGTCCCTTGCACTCTCCTTCCCTCCATCGTTCATATTCAACCAATCATACCATCTGTAGCAAAGTTTTACAGTTCGAGATCGTCCTCGACCTCCCAGCTATCCAGCAACGGAGAAGCAGGTCACCGACAACACATCACTCGCAGTGACCTCGCACTGTCGCGAGCTGACCAATTGAGTACAAACGCCGCAGTCACGCCAGGTTGGGATTAGGGTGAAACCTAGATTCCCGCTCCATTTCAAGCGGAAGCGGCTGGGAGATAGCGGAAACAAGCAATGAGCTCCCAAGTTACTTACCGGAAAGTTTGCACGCCCGCAAACCTAGCACTCCACTGATTCCCGGAGCAGCAGCACCGAAACAGTAAACCCTAACGCGAAGAACGATTCAAATGCTCCTCCACTCAATTCACCTCTGGATCAAGTCGCGAACACCATCGGCAACATGGAAGGAGAATCCGCTGGGGAATTTGTTAGGGTTTTCGGAGGGACCATACAAAAAAAAAATCCACCTAAAACCCTAACCGAGGGGGAGGGAGGGTACCGACCGGCGGAGAAGAAGACATGAAAAATCGAAGCGCTCCGCCCCGTGCCGGGCCGTCATTTATTAAACACACCGGGATCCCCCTGATCCGCCGGACATATTATCCTGACACCCCCCCTATAAAGTCTTCCTTGCACATACATCTTTCGAGATGTGCTATTTACTTAAAGCCCATTACCGCCTCCGCGTGGAGAAGAATTTCTGTCTTACAAGGTCAAAATGCAAAGATATTTCAAAGGCGCCAGAGTAGCGGCGAGGGATGCCAGCTCACTTTCACATCGGGGAGCGTTCTCACCTCACGTTAGTTAAACTACGACCTTGGAACAACTGCTTCGAGCAGCTTTTTTATATCGCAAGAATTACCGAAGAACTACGTCAGCGGATTTTTTCAAATAAAGCAGGCGCCTTTTTTGGTTAAATCCAAGAAAAAAAAAGGCCCAGTTACCCCAAACCCTCATTTTTGCCGCCCTTTTGCTTAGAGACCAAGATCGTGAGCCGCATTCGAAGGAGCCAATGAGCTAGGAGAGCTCAAATCCTAATCTGGGTCGGCCCCCCCCCCACTTGATCTGGGACTCCAAAACCAGATCCTGACGGCCCCCCACCTGGGTGGTGCCAAACTGTTCTTCAGAGGCCCGAGTCAGATCTTCTCTCAGATCCAACCCTTCCTGATCCGCGCCCACACCAGCGCCGCAACTAGGGCACCGCCGAGGTGCGCTGACCCAGAAATTCGCTCCTCTCCCTGTGGAATTGAGACAGGAATCAGAGAGGATGATCCTACGCCAGATTTGGAAACTCAGAAAACCAGGGGCACATCACCTTTTTAATCTTCCACAGATCGGATCCGATGATTATCGCCCCCTGAGACAACAGATCGATCAAAAGGGTTTAGGAATCGGTCTGAAAACATGGAATTGTCTCATTTTTTTTTCCATAAAGGGAGAGAGCCCACCATCAATGCCGCAGGAACAGGGATGAAGAAGTTGAGATAGTATATGTTCTTAGGGAAGAGGAACACATCAAGGAGGAGAATGGCATTTACAGCCGCGCTAGCGCCCTGTGGAATGGGAAGACGAGGAATTTGATGGAAATTATGTGGCAAAAAACGGTAACTCACATAACCATCTGAGCGAAATTGTGTACCAGTGCATAGGATCTCGAGTGAATCATCATGTCCGCATGCTGAAATATCCAAGAAAAAAGATGGCAACTTGTTGTCAGTGGGGGGGGATCTTGAAGGTAACGGGGTTCTCCAGGGATGGAAGAAAAGCATCAGCATTTCAAGATCAACAGGGGAGATTACCCTGAAGGAAGGGGAAGTCAGAGCTTGGTGCACTAAATAGAAGCTGGACCCGCTGATCGCCCCTGCTATGTACAGATTCAGCAGAAATCTGGGCCCAAACAGACTTCCGATCTGTCGGCAAGGAGGATTATCAAATTGAGAAATTATCAGAAATTGTGCTAAAAATATCGGAAAACAGCATTTTTCTGAAGATTATGGAAAGAGGATACGTCTTTTTGATATTAATGGATATGGAGGGAGGGATAGGGCGTGTCCCTTGTATGTGCATAAGAAAAAAATACCCGTTCGAATATACTAATCGACATAAAAGTGAAACCGGGCTAAATGGATAAAAGCATGATTAGAAAAGTAGTTTAAGGTTTAATTATAAAAAAATTACAAGGCATTTCTGACAAAGATGAAGAATTTAAAGAGGGGTAGAAAGACTGGAAAACACTGATTTCTTTCCTTTCGACGGATCACCTGTTAGATTCATAAGAACTGTATTCGAGCCAGAAGTTCAGCATGCTTAAATTAGTTTTATTACCTTTTTTCTGACGTTAAATGGGAAAGCTTCTAAAAATACGGCGAGTCAACAACTTTACCACTACGTCTACATTTTTGTGAAATTTCGAGTGTCCATATTTAGTAGGTTAAGTGCAAGATTAATGGTCCAATAAGGATAGGTAAGCTTTGTGTAGCACATTTTCTTTAACCAATATTTGACAGACTATGGTTCATATGAACAGTTTATTTCGACAGACAGTCTAATATTACACGGAGTAGCATGCCTTAGATTTCCCATCCAAGACGGTCACATCTACCTGCATTAGAATTCTCAGTAGATCCTCTTCCATGCACAGTTGAAAATAGTTTCCAAAACCATATTCGATGGATGCAAGACGATAAAGATGAAATCCCAATACAGTAAAGCCAATTGAAATGAAACTGGTCAAGAAACAGTTCAATATCCAAGAACAAAGGACTTTCTTCATGACACCTTTGAGCATATAAATTTAAAGGCATGAGATTGGATATCTGTATGATATAAGATCCAACATGTTACTAATATATTCGTTCAGATCCAGCGAAGCTAGTTCCAACAACATTTTACTAATAAGATCAACATGCTTGGTCTTGAGATATCATGATTGCTACCTCTTGAAGAATGATTTAGGATCAAATTTTAAATATAATTTTATAAAAGAAATGAATCAGAATCGATGCATTAGAAGGCAGGATCTTACATTTGTCCCAAAGAAATATAGACCAATCATGTTGATCAAGATATGATCTCCATCCATGTGGCTGAATGCACTGGTAATCAATGTGTGCAGACGCCCGCTCTTAAAATTTGCCAACGAGATCTGCTTCAAGTGGGTGGATATTTCAGCCGGTGAAATCACAGATCTGAACTCTAAACCAAAATAATAACATCAAGTTCTCTGAAGGATGGGATGACCCTCCTCTTGACGAAGGTGAAACAAATATCAATATCAGTGGGAGCCACACGAATTTACTCTTGTACTGACCGTGAAGTTTTCCATCATGAATCTTGGATCTACAGTCCTCCATAGGATGAAAACGGCAACATTGACCCCAATCAGGCCATAGACAACTCCATCTGACGTTGGTATCCACGATCTCCTGGAAGAAGAAAAAAAAAAATACAGACTTTTTGCATCACAGAGACAGGGACTGTCTTTACGTTAAAATGGTACGCATGCATAGCTGTCAAGAAATTAGGTTTCATGGCAGATCCACTGAAGTAAATTGTTAGCAATCAATGCTCTCGTCTTTCAAACCTTGAGCCTGAAATGATATGAATAAAGGAGTAAAAAGATCTTCTTAAGCCGTATCAACATCAGGCAGCTCTTTTCTTCCAGGTTCTGAAAGTGGACAGTGCTGTTATCCACTTATACGTAGAAAAGAGCCAGGGATGTAACAGGGTCACTAAGCTCTCTCTCTCTCTCTCTCTCTCTCTCTCTCTCTCTCGCTACAAATTTTCCTTCCCCTACCAGTTTCTTCCCCTTGCAAATTTTCCTTCCCCTACCAGCTGCTGGTTCCACCTCCTCCTACTCCTTCCCTCACACCCCACCAGGGTCCTCTCCATCCCAAAGCCGCAGCTAATTCCTCCTACATCTCCCAAAACCACATGTTCATTTCTCCTTTGCCTACCAGCCACAGGTCTCACCCCTCTTTTACAGCTATTGACCGCTCACTACACCTTCCCTCACCTCTTACCAGTGTTGCCTAATGCCCTCATAACTTTCTAGTGCCTTCTCCTCGCCATACACCCATCTTTGGATTCCAATCTGCCTTTTTTCTTCTCCCAGGATGAATACAGACAATGACATGGGCACCCTTCTGTTGGCCATGTCTGCCACATAAGAGATAAAAGCAAATGACCATATGTAGGTGTAGATGTATATATCATCCTATTAGAGCCAGCTGATGAAGGGCCGAAGTTGGAAATTGAAAAAGAAAAATCTCATTCGTCTAGACATGGTGAAGACCTCAGAAAACCAGGTCATTGTGAGAAAGAGGACTGCTGGGGGAAAAGTAAGTATACCACTTTTTTCCCAATGAGTGAATAAGAATGCAAGGGAGGAATGATCTGTAACGTACAAAAAACTGAGCAAAAAATTTCCAACCTTGGGTGTATGATTGCGCCCTGGTGAAAGAAGTTCTGTTCAGCCTAGTTACCAATCATTGGTCAATTTCTTGATATCCAAGAACCATGGTAAAACCGAAAAAAGAGGCGGAACGGCGTCCTTTCCTGCGTCTCGGTAGGAGTTCAAGGCAGAAATGCCCACCTGAACGACATAAATATTCATAAAATGTAGAGGTGGAAAGCTGATGAACACAAACGAGCGAGGCACTGATACCCAAAGAACTGTGAGGGCTCCGATGTGAGAAGGGTAACGAGAAAGAAGCACTACAGGAGTGGCAACAATGGACCGCTGAGTGTCTCTGTTCTTCAACGTATCTTCAATTCGGGTGAATTTTAAAGACTAGGAAACCATAGGTCTGCCAAGATTTCATATTATACAGAACTTTTTTCATAAATAAACGTAGAATGATGGGTTTTGGGGAAAAGATCGATCCCCGTACCAGTAATTTCGTCGCCCGAAGTAGTCATCCAGGCGAGATCCTCGTCTCTTCTGCAGCGAGAACTGCAACCAGCGGAGACCGTGGCCCTTGAGGGTTTTGGACCGTGCGGCAAACCAAGGAGCTCTGGGAGCCGCCATCAGCAGCCGCTCCAGAGCGGGAACCGCCCTTGGGGCTGAGAGCAGGCATAACGCATCGGCGAGTCTCCGCTGACAACGCCACCCACGGAGCAGAGAATCGAAAGAGAAGCCCCCTGGCGAGACGGTAGAATGAAAATGGGGAGTGGTTTGCCAAGGCGAGGAGGAGAGACCACCATGAGAGACACCGGAGGGGATGGTGGGTCGGCGACCAAGGTTGAGGGCGCCACCAGGGCTGGGGGACTTCCGGGAGAGGAGACCCCGCAGCCCCCGCATTTCCACGGCTGTCAAACCTCGCCGGTTACGAGCACATGCCGGAGTCTGACCGCCGGCGACCTCGTGGAGGTGAGAGGAAAGACGGAGATGACAGCGCCGCCTCTCAGGAGGTTGTCTGTAGAACCGACTTGATGGCCTGAACCCATTTAATTGTCAGCAAGTTGAGAAATCTGTCCTGACCCATTTCTCGTTAATGGATTTGAATCTGAACGAACACCAGAGATATGAACATATTCAAGATTTTTTTCACAAAGTGGGAATAAAATAATTGATACTTTTTAACTAAAATCCCACAATTTTGTCATCCTGTGGGATGAAAAAAAATCTCAAAATATGACAGGTTTTAGTATATTAAAAACCCAAGAGATAGGTTCTGAGCCCTTTTAAGCCCTGGCCTAGAGAGAGAGAGAGAGAGAGAGAGGCAATGGACTTCTGGGTTTGATCCTAGACTCTCTCGGTTCCCATAGTAAGTACTCTGCTTTGAGTCTGCATACAAAGGATATATACCAACACAACCTGATCTCAATTATTATCAAAAAAGCTATGAGATATAATGTCAGAACATGTCGTAGCTATCTCAAATATGATGTTAAATGGGAGAAAAAGCAAGGTTTATCGACAGGAATGGCTCGGACTAGACATCCTTCCTGGACCCCTGCAGCTGCCTCTTCACCAGAGCAGTGTAAACTCCATCCATCTTCAGGAGCTCTTCATGGGTACCGCTCTCAGCAATCTGCCCCTCCGAAACGACCGCGACCGTGTCTGCGCTCTGGACAGTAGAAAGCCTGTGCGCTATCACCAGGACGGTTCTTCCCTTCATCAAGGAATCCATGGCATCCTGGGAAGATGAGTCATTTCCACCAACAATGAGATGTCAGCACTAGGAGAACAAGCCTCTTGGCGTCTGAACATCACTGTCAAATAAATAAAATAAAATAAAATAAAATAAAAACTTTGCTGACTATTAAAGAATTTCGCCAAAATATATTCTGGTCTTGAATGCGAACAGAAAAAGAGGGAAAATATGGAAGCACCCATAAATTAAAAAAATGAACGAATAAGTAGTTCCAAAAATATAATTTATATATATATATATATTGAAATTATTGGGGGCACCTGAACGAGGTATTCACTCTCAGCATCCAGAGCGCTTGTAGCCTCATCCAGAAGTAGAACCTTGGGATTCATCAGCAGGGCTCTTGCAATCGCTATTCTCTGCTTTTGGCCCCCAGAAAGCCGTATCCCTCGTTCTCCCACGTGGGTCTTGTATTGATCGGGAAACTTTGATATGAACTCGTGTGCATTAGCCATTTTCTGGAATTGGGGGTTCAGCGTGTCAGGAGTGGGACGCTTTTCGGATAAGCATAACGCACAAATAAAAAAACCCGAGCCTTACAGCAGCGTTTTCTACGTCAGCAATGCTGGCTTTTCCATCCAATCCGTATGCAATGTTCTCCTCGATCGAACAGTTGAAAAGCACAGGCTCTTGGCTTACTATGCTGACCTGTGGTTTATGAAGAACCGGTTAGTGCAGATTTATGGGAGAGAAGAACCCAGAAATAAATGAGCACGATCAGGAGATTAAGCTCAACTTGACAGGAAGTCAATACTGTCTGAGACTCCGGGTCCTTGCAAGAATTACTAGACGTTTTTGGCAATGATCCGAGTTATATAAAATAATAGAAAAAAGTTGGAATGTACAAAAGTTTTGTACTGGATTTCTTGGATGCAAAATATTCAAGACCCCATCCAAAACAAAGAGTTCAAGAAACCAGACACATCCTACACACCCGACACAGCCTTACATATCCTCTTTGTTAAAAAAAGGCAACTCTGTTGACTCCTCCTGGTAAGTTTGACCATATGATTATCGCACATACCAGCATGCTCTACGCTTGGGCATGAGTTTTTCTACCAAAAGCCAACGAAAAAACAGCCAAATGGAGGGAAGCATCGAAAAATATGAGTTTTAAGGCTAAAATGGTGGAAGAAGGGCCAGAAGATCCAAGATAAGGGACACTCAGAAAATGGAACAAATTGCTTCGGAAGTCACAGGACTAGCTCTGCCTGGTTACCAGGCATTTCGTTCTTCTACTTTATTCATATTTCCTCTGTGCTTTCGAGTTGGATACCAATTAAGTACTGATACTTCGTTTTTTTAAAATCAGAGTTTTGATCCATGTACACAGAAATATGTAGTATTGACTACGATGAACATATAAGAGGTAAGTCGATGACAATGCAATGAATACCTCTCTGTGGAGAAATTTGTGTGATATTTCCACCAACGGCATCCCGTTTAGTAAGATCTTCCCTTTCATGGGGTCATAAAATCTCTCGATCAAGTTTGCTATCGTTGTCTGTAATAAGCACAAAGATTAACAGTTAAAGATAATTTGACACATAACCACGATGAAATTTTGGAAAGCCTTTCAGTACGCAGGGAAAAACTAAGGTAAGCTTACTTTTCCACCTCCACTTGGTCCAACAAGTGCAATCTTTGATCCAGGTTTCAGCTTCAATGATATACCCTGAAAAAAAGGAGATCAAAATAATTTTCCCAGGCGTAAAAAAAATTCTGATTATAACAGATATTAGTAACTAATTAACCATTTGAGCTATTATTTTACACTACACGTAATGATAGCGCCACCACTGAACAACATAAATCATGATAAAAAAAAATATTGGGGAATTTATACGAACTTTGGAAGTTATAATTTTGGAGTGATTCATATTTTCGTAACTAGTCTATGGAGCCTGACTGTAATACCAACCGTCTACTTAGTCTCATGTGTGTTACTGGAATGTGCAAACAATTGCCAATATATTCAATATAACTGTCGAGAGAAACATCGTTTTCTATCCGATCTTTGGGTTCTACAACGCTAATCATAAAAGCTCTGCACATTCAATATCCAGTAGTCACCTGAATTTGGAAAATTAACCTAGAACTGAGATTTCTTCCTAATGTTGAGTATATTGATCCCAATGATCTATTCGTATTCAAATGGGAAAGATTCTTATTCTACCCAATATCAGCAGGAAACCATTTGATCAGATGAAATTCAAGAAAATGATCCATGACTAAGAAAACCCTGAGGAGAACTAATATAAAGAACATGAAAATGAGCTTGGGGATCGAGTGAAGAACATCAACCTCGAGTCCAACCAACCTAGGTATACTTGGCACTCAACTCTATTTTTATTTTGTAATAGATATCGAATGTCTACATCTATCACAGATAATCACATTCGGATGTTCAAGTGTAACCCCACACTTTCATCATCTAAGGGTTTCAAAGAAATCAAAAACACCAAATTTGGAAGAAGGTAGGTCACTTTGTAACTAACAAATTATCAAAAGAGGACATCAGAAACGACAAGGTAAATACTTCATATCTACTGAATCCTGGCCAAAGATCCATCTCTCTCCCCTCTCAAAATAGATTACAAGTTGACCGGTGAACAGTAGGGAAGAATGAGAGGAGCCAAGAAAAAAAAGGAGAGGCACAGGCGCAAAGCCCTCAAAGTGATACAGCTATCTTTTTTTGCTCACAAAACATTGTTACGATATAGTTCCACATAAAATAGTTTTATTCATACTGCAAAATATGTCTACGTTGTTAAAGTACGCATTTAGTTACACAGAAGTAATTCGTATCTATCGAAAAAGAGTTGTTATCATGTAATTTGTGCTTATTTCCACAAAAAATTGTTAAGGTATTATCTTCTCAGAAGAGGTGTTTAGTTACCTTTAGGACCATATGGTTAGGGCGGGAAGGATAAGCAAACCAAACATCTTCTAACTCGACATCCCCCTCGAAGCCACTGCAGTGAAAACCAGCCCAGCAGGTAAACTTGTATGAAAGAAAATATAAGAATAAATGTAGGAAGGAAACCAACAGCTTGGATTTCCGTCAACTGACCCCATAGGACATTTTTCTCCAGCTTTTGGCATAGATGATGTACGATCTAGTAGCTGGAAAACTCTTCTGCTCGCTCCGGCTGCCTTCATCACAGTTGTATACAGTCCAGATAATGATGACACAGAGGAACCAACTGCCAATTTTTTGTTTGGGGAAGGCACGTCAAGGGAGTCCAGTTAGTGGATGTCATGTATGAAACGAATTGGAGTACCCGGCAAAACAACAGCTCTAGGCTACTTCAGAACGAAAACACAGTGTATATTAGGGACTGAATAGAACATAAGAAAACCTGTAAGGCTGTAAAGAATGAATGACGTCAGTGAGCCTGGTGTCATTGATCCAGTTATTGTTAAGTTAGCGCCATAGATCATCACAAAAACTACTGACAATGTCGATCCAGCGTTCATTCCCCCAAAGAAAAGTCCAACGACTTTCTGCAACAGAACAATGACTCACTGTTTCAGACAAAAGAGAAACAATGGCATTTTATGCAAGAATTGTGATTCTATAACTCACTGCTTGTCTCAGTCCAAGTTTCAATGTCTCATCTACTTTCTCAGAGTAGCGTGAAACTTCAAAATCCTCTTGAGCAAAAGATCTAACAGTACGTATTGCTCCAAAAGATTCCTGAATCCAAATGAACTAATTAATGGTGTACGTGAACAGACAGTGGCAAACAATAAGATGGTATCAAATGTGTTACTTTATTTTCCATATGAATACGTAATTGACAACACAAATAAAAGTTCATGTAGATCTCATGCCTTGGCAACAAGAAGCAAATATCATTGGCAAAACAAACCTCCAACTCTACATCACAGTAAGACGAATTACAGAGAAGCAGAAACGAGATCCTTCATAGTAGCAATAACCAGTAATCAAAGTGATTAGAAGGATATTTAAATCAATTGAAGTGTTTACTAGTTCAAAACAACATACTCTGTTGTTTCAAAGTTTAATAATGCCGTTTAGAATACTGAATTCTCATTAAGCTCTTTGAAACAAAAATACAAGAGCATTTGAGAAAAGGAATCCATGTTGAAGACGTCCTGACAAATGTATACATTATGCTCTTTGAACAAACCAATGCATTACATAAGATTAGAAAATGCATCCAAGTTTCCCTTTTTCACGTGTCATGTCGAATCAAATAATGCGATTTTCATGCAAAAAAGAACTTGCTGAAATTCGAAAATTAGAAATACACCATATCTTATATAGAGTATTTTTTTATAATACCCCTTGAAATATTATATTTTTAATGGAAAATATTGTAGGCTAAAATGAAATATGCAAGGCACAGTCTGTTTCAAGTGAAGTCATGACATAATGATGCAGTTCTTCACTAGGAAGCTATGGAAAAGGCAGATGTTAGGTTAAAAAATATTTAAGCATGATAGAATCATTTCCACGGAAATAAGAATGTCATCCTGTGTATTTCATTTTTTAAAAACTTGAATATACACGTAAGAAGGTTAAAAAAAGGGAAAATTACAAATTCAGCATACCCAATTACAAGGTGTATCACAAATCACAATTACGTAAGCCATTGTGTTCTCCATTGATTCAGTAGTTACGGTCACATACACAAACTGAAGAATGAAGGCGATCAAAAAAAAAAAAAAAACCTCAGCAATCGAGGATGCTACTGCTGCAGCAGCTTGAGTTTTGTGAGAAAGTTCCCGAAGATAGCGCCCAAATTTTCTCACAGCAACAGACACAGCAGGTACAATAACCAATGCCAAGACTGTAGAGAAAGACAATTGATCAATAGTTTCACCCTTCCGTTCTCTCAAAAATGTTCCATACACGAATATGTTACGTTCACACGCAAACTATTGAGAGCACAGTTAAGTCATACAGATTTCAACATTGACGATTTTATTATGAAAAAGCAACGACATAAATTTATTCGTGAAGTGGAATCAAAACTCACATTAGTAATTCATCGTGTAAATGATACAAGTTAATTTTAAAAAATAAAATCACTGAGAAGGGCATAATCTATAAAGAAAAAATTTGAAAACGGAGAAAATTATTCTAGATAATGTAAGATAATAGCCATATTTTTCTGTCACATATTATGCAAAGAGAACAGCAATCTAATTTCAATGCAGAATACAATGTAATTTAGCTGCATTTATTCCACTGAAAACAAGCATGTCATTTTTATATTTCGTTCACCACTAAACGGATGACAAAATTAATTTCATACATGAGGCTTTGATCAAGTTAGACAGAAGCCTTAAAAATGACCCAAGGGTGCATCCTAGACATGTCAGAATTAGACTTCACTAAAAAAAAAATCTAGATCACTTCAAACAATGGCCACTGAATCGACATATATTAATTTCTGAATTTCAAATCTCCCCATATGTGGACTAGGTCGTCAAGAACATGGTGGTAAGTTTTTAGAGGAACATAAGAAGAAATTCTTCTGAATATGAACTCTAAAAAGTAAAGTATACTGAATATGAACATTTTTCTTTGTAAATACAGTGTATCCAGAAACAAGAGAAGAAAACTCTTCTGAATATGAAATCTAAGGAAAAGGTATGCTTAATATGAAGAATATACAAAGTTCTTTGTAAATACAAGAAGCCAAGCAATTGAATAACAATTAGATAACTTTGTCAAGCAAATGGTGAAGCATACAACTAGAACTCCTTACGTGTTAGTTTCCATGATGCTGCAAACATAAATCCAAGCCCAATACATGCAGTGGAGACATTGCGTAGAGCTTCTGAGATATTGGTAGTTGCAGCATTTTTAATGATTTGGGTATCCTCTGATAACCTACTGAGGAGTTCCCCTGTCCGTGTGACATCAAAGAAAGCTATTTCCTGGATGAATTAGAAGTATTAAAATCAACTTTGAAAAGAAAACCTATGCACAAGACAGATGACACCGGGAAGAATCACTGGGTTGAACTCACCTGGTAAATAAGATGCTGAAACAAATCTTTCCTGAGCCGAGCAACTACTCTTTCACTGGCAGAGTTAAACAGCCATGATCGCAGGGATGTGCAAATTGATCTGAAAATAGAGGGTGTTAGTCATTCAAAAATTTAGACACCTAACTGAACCCTACTCGAGTTATGAAATGAACTAAGAAAGAGGAGATCAGATCCTGGAATTCAATGCCTACCGTCCAATAGGAGTGAAATCAACATAACAAGAGCCAAAAGCCATGTAACTCACACATAAGCACACATTGTGGTATGTGCCCAAATACAATGAAATAGATTAAATGTGGACGTCACGTATTTTATGTACATCTTTGAGTCAGATCATCTAGGTCACCTTTAAATGCCTTCTCCTCTTGCAGATCATAACTAAAGTGCTTTCTTCTTAACGGTATAATGGCTGAGATTTGAGGATTCTTAAAAACACCATATTGGGCACTTTTCTAAATTGATTAGCTGCATAACTCAGACAGTTGACCATGATACCCGTGAATGACATGAAAATAATTCACCTGTCATGTTTCACCCTGAAAACTAATTTAAGCAACAGGTCAAAGAGGTAAAGGAATCTCATTGATTGCAGGGTATCCAATGTTACCTACTTTCAAACATTCACCAGAAAATGATTAGAACATGACCGTAGGAAGGATTTGCATAAATTCATTGTCTAGTGCTTTGTCTCTATTCATATGTCCTTGTGACACCTTCCATATACAGTCTGACCCTATTCGATATTTTCCATGAGTTTCCTTTACCTCTTAGTGGAGATAATATGATCAGAGATCTGAAGACAAGGAAAACATATCAGTCTTAAAAGGGCTTCTTAACACATTCGGTGAGCTTAAGCTTAGTGGCAAGTTTGTTATTTAATGGGCCTCCTATGAACTTATGGGGACTTTTTGACCCAAGTAGTCAAGGATCCAATAAGATGTTATAGAGACATGAGGGATAATGTTGTAATCCCAGTAAGGCTTTACATGGGTCTTGTGTTAACTTATAGACACATAGAGATGGGTTCTATCTCATTAATTTTTTAAACAGGCTAAATTTCGTAAACATCTGTGAACTAGGCCTCGTTTCATAAGCCTGTCAAATGAGTTAGAACCCACAGACACATTGAAAAAAAGCTTGTCCCATAAACTCGTCAAATGAGATAGACATATATATGTAGGTGTCATCTCATAGACTTGTCAGATGGGCTTTACTCTAGAGGCAACTAAAAGGATTTCATCACAAAATCTATTAAACAGGTCTCACTCGATCCCTTAAATCTGTACATGTCTCATTAAATAAAGTTTACTTATAGTATGATTTTATGACAATTAGGCAAAATTCTTTTATCATAAGAGAAGTCATTTATTTTACTCGTCTAGTAAATCAAAAAAATTGTTATCACTTATTCAGCTTCTTGTGCACTTCAGACAAACATCTAAGGCTCAATTTGGGCATGAAACATAAATAATCTATAGATGATCACTTCCGATTACACGAGAGGAGATGATGACAAAGTATGCATATTTATTGAAGTGCTTGAGAACTTACCTTCAAGATGTCTAGGCTAGTTTGATATAGTGAGACAAGTGGAGACTATTATATCCGTGCTTCATCTTATTTAAACAGCAAACCATTACTAGTTGGGACTTTGAATTCTATAAGAAGAAGGTATGTTCATAACTTATTCTAAATCAGTTCCGCAAATATCACCTTAAAAATCTCCCATAGATCTCCTTTGATACCATTCTTTGTTATCGACCGCTACCACACACTATTTAGAGAACACGATTTCGTGGGGTCATTCCATAAGGATCTTATGATTTTTCCCATAATAAAAAAATATCCCGTATATATATTGTAACTGTATGGCAACGTCAAAAACCTTTCAACAGTTAATTAATAATTAGTCAATAAATCTGTTTTCACACATTTTTCAAAGCGAGTGTTGTGCCCCAACGGAGACTACTGATGCTGTGTAGGATGAATGTTGACAACCCCCCTCTTTCTTTAATCGAAGAAAACGCTCAGAATATTTACGCATTTTTCCTCCGTCTCAAATGTATAATTTTCTATGTAGATATATAATGAGAGTTGGGCTGTAAAAATATCGCATCTGCATAATTGCTCCGTTGAAAAACATGTTGTGTTCAACCCAATTCTACAGTTATGAAAATGAAGAATACAGACAATTTTTACAGAAATAAAGGATGAACAAAAAGTGAGTAGCCATGAAATTCTCAAAAAAACAAAAATCATACCATACCCAATAATAACAATTAATACGATCTCAAATATTGTGTGATTCACAGCGTCTAGAGCTTCATTTTGCTGCTCTGGCGTTCTGGTATCTCTTGAGACTATGTCTAAGATCTTCCCACCAAATCTGGGCTGAAAAAAAAATCAAAGAAGCTTTGTCACAGCGAGTTATGAGACTCGAATTAACATCTCCAGATCATATTCTAGTGAAAGTTGTGGCAAAATAATTTATACTACAACATATAAGCTTAAACTAAAGCAGTTCTATTTTCCTGAAGGCCGTCTCATGGTAAACTGTATTATTCGGTTATAACAAGTGTTTTATTGATTAACCACGCATTTAAAAATTACAATTTATAAATGCTCAAAATCCAAATACCATGATCATGTTAAGACTTTCAGTGATATGCTGTCCTCAATCGTCTAGTATCTTTGCCAATAATCAGGCAGCCAGATGGAGATACCTTGCTTGTCACTCACAAGATTCTGCAGAGGTCAGATGGAGCTTCACTCGCCATTGCTGGGATCATTAAGCAATGCTTATAGTAACAGCGGAAATAAAGACCGTCACAAGACTATTATGAAAATTGGAGTTTTTTCACTATATGTTTTTTAGAATTTTCATTTTATGGATGCTGCCCACTTGTCAATGCCTTCAATAGCCTCTACTGTTTCAATGTCCATTAAAAATGGTCTGAATTAATGGGATTAAATGCTATGGGGTGCAGTATGAGGTCAGACTTATGATTCAAGGATCCTTCTGAAACTTTTGATAATCTGCGCCAACACGTCTGCACTGGATTTGCAGGTAAAGTCAAACGTTTGAAGGAGAATCTACGACAAAAATGCTGGTACTTTCATGGAAGCTAATTTGTTCTGTACGTCTTAACCAGGAGACACGCATAAATAAAATGCACAAGAAAAAAGGAGCAAAAGAATTGATCAGTCAAAAAATGAACATACGAGTTTATGGATTTAAGGAAGGAATACCTACAATCAGAATGCTTGTTGTTGAAGCTATCAGCAAGAAAATGGTAGCAAAAACTAGCTTCCCCACTTCAGGCTTGGCCTAAAAATTTGCAGTACGTCATATAACGCTCAATAAAGCTGGTATATTTTACCTGAATGAATAAAATGAAACCTTACCAGTGATAAAACCCTGAATGGCCCAACATTAGCTGCCTAAATTTCCACGAAAAATCTTGTCAATTCCATCAGCCAAACCTACATCAGCAGCCGACTAGGGAAAAGGAAGAATGACAAAACTACCTGTACAGAATCACCATGCTCAAGATCTGACAGAGGATCGTTTGATGACTGAGCTGTCTGCAAAATTGACCCAACAGAAAACCCATTAAAAAGTAAATTTCTTGACCAATCCATGTCACCGCAAAAAAATATGAATAGAACCATGCCCAAAAAAAAGAGTACACCTTCAATGTGACATTACTGAGAACTTACGTGTAGAGTCTTTCCATAAGATTATCAAAGCTGTGATTACAATGAATAAAGATTCTCAAAATAAGTCTAGATTGAATAGTGAAAGGGAGACAATTTGTCCTTATTAAACTTCTATATTACTGTAACGTCTTGAAATACCAGATGGGTTTACACGTCGAAGGACGATAAAGGCAATCAAATTAATGAACCGGAAATAGAACGACATATAGACGTGGCTCTTCTACTTTTCTACATCCATGTATTGTATGAAGATTTAAATATGAGGCACCACTCTGTACTTGAGGGGATTATACAGAAAATGCTTATGACAGCAGATAACTGAGCTGATACCAAGTCCCAATAAATAACCAAACTTAAACACTCCGCTGGTATTTTTCTCGAATGAAAAATAGCAGCACGCACACTGAATCAAAGTGAACCACGCCTTAGCCTGTAACTGCGCCCCCATAGACAATAGACAGCACAGAAAATCTCCAATCCGAGACGTTCAAGACAAGATAAGAAACTCCGAAAACAGACCCACCCTTGCACTCCAAGTCGAGGAGAGGTGAAAGATGAAGTTCGAGATTTCATACCTCTTGGCTCAGGAGAGGTTCTCTATGAGCGCTCGCGCTCGTACGAATCGAATATTTGCCCATCGGTGACGAGATGCTGTCCGAGGTAGGATCACTGAAGAAAGGTGGAGAAAATGTCAGCTGGCTTGCTCTCGCGTAACCCCTGGTTCATGGGAGGATAATTAACTGAAGACCGTCAACCATTTATGGGGACGACGACAAGGCCAACGGAGAAACTAACCGGAGAACTGGGATTCGCAGAGGATTTCTGCCCCAAAACGGAGGGTAGCGAGTGAGAGAACCAGGACAGCACGCCACGTACGACGACGGAGGGACGTCGTCAACCCCCTCTGGCAGGAAGACGCCGTTGTTTCGGTAGGAAAAAAACGACGATGAGACGAACGACCATACAGCTGCCGGCGGAGGAGAATCCCACTTACACCCGTGAGCGACGGACAATATTCCATTCAGATCCTCATTGCTCGCACGGGCGTATTTTCCGAATTTCTTTAGATAAAATATTATTTATAAAATACAATTAAAACATTATTGAAGGTGGTGATCCGACGCCTTGGATTTCCAAGCGATTTATTTGAGATGATTTATCTATAATAAAAATTTGAGCAAATCTGGTCCCTGGACTTAATTTCGACCGACCAAATATTTTTTAAAATTAAAAGGCCAAACGATAAATTATTTATTGAAATAAAAAATATATATGGCATATCATTTTCTATTGGTATAATTACCGATAAGAGGGGAAATTGGTGAGTTGAGGAGGAGAGAGAGAGAGAGTGGCGGGGTGAATCAGTACTTTTTTAATAACTTTATATTTTTTGAGTTTTCTATCTAAATTATTTGACCAGATTTATATGATATTAGCTCAGCCCAGTTGACTTATTCCACTCACTATGAACCTTATCTTTACATCCAACTAAATAAATAAGCTTCACCTAGCATCTACTAAACTTCTCAACTCTAAGTGTATCGATTAAATTAGTAACCAACTAATATATTTCTTGAAATCATAGTTTTCTGTTGGAATGATTATTGTAAATAATCCACATATAGTTAAGAAAAAATAAATACACTCATTCGTTGACAAAAGATATCTCGTTTAATATTTTCCTTCATTTCCATATATGGGATAAATGCTACTTCAATAAGTTTTTGCTCTTAATTTTTTGACATTTTAGCAATCAACAATACAAGAACATTAGGAATCTACCACCCAATGATCACAACATTATCCAATAGTTAGCTGAAGGGTATTGTAGCCATTTGTGATCAGTCTATAGCTCGTGCATACACCTTAATACTATTTTTGTTTGTGTCAACTTAGCATTGACTATGTTCCCACAACAAATATGGAAGCACATTTTAAAGGAAATTCTATAAATTATGTTATATTATTTTGATATATAATTATTTTTTAAAATACAAAAAATATGATATTTACATTTTAAGATACTAAGATATTCTAATATTTTGTGATCTCAATTTATCATTTTTCTTTGATATATTTTCTTCAATCTACGACTCGTTCTTCTTGGATAACTTGACCAATTTACTTGGGTGATAAATTAGATTGTCTCCTCTTATTGTGCCAGTATACTCACTTAATCAATGATTCCAAAGGAAGGCTTCTTAGTGAGTTAACTCACTGTTACATTGTCACTTCTCATATACGGTGAGTATGATCATTATATCGAATTAATTTTTATTGTACACATCGAACAATTAAGATTTTATGATATTTTATAATTTTTATGCCACAATTTTCATGCCATATTTATTATTCCAAGTGTAATGTATCATCTAATTAAATGAGTCAACCCTATTCCTGAAGTTAGAATGAAGTATGACTTTTCAATAATTCAGGATTATTTTACTAATATTTTTAAAAGTTTATGAATATAACTAGTGTGATATAAAATATTATCTTTACATTGGATCTATTTTGTTATCATCAAATATATAAATACTTAAAAAGCTTAAGGGAGAAAATAAAAAATATATTTAAATTATATTTAATGGGGATTAAAGCATATTAGACTTTAGTGCTTATATTTTGATTTTTAAATATAGATTCTGGCCAATGAGAGGTGGACTCCTGGAGGTCTTACAGCGAACCTTTTCCGCAGACTCCACCTGTCGGAGCCCCAACGTCGTAACGGCCGACTCATTCTCTCGAGGTAGAAGCTCTCCCCCCCGCGCTCTGCCCGACTGACGAGATCGGAAGATCAGAGGAATGAGATCAAGCTCCTCTGTCTGTCTGTCTGTCTGTCTCCTTTTCCATGGATTTTTCTCTGCGAGAGCCGCCCTCTTCTTCCTCCCGAGTGGGGAAGCCCCGCTCTAAGGCGTCGGACCTCTACTCAACTGTTATTGTCCATGGAGAAGACAGCGAAACGGGTGGGCGTGGGGGGTCGGAGGACGAGGATGACATTTCCAAGCTCCCACCTCTCCTCCAGCGCCTCCCCAAGGGGTTCGGTGCCCACCCAGACGACGAGGACGACGACGGGGATGATGAAGACATGCTAGGGTTCTCCGGGACTGTAATCGTCAAGCCCGATCGTCCGTCCGCTTCGCCCTCTGCCAGGAGGCCCCTGAGGTCCCCTTTCGCGGACGCGAGGCGCGCGAGTCCCCGCAACCAGTTCGACGAGGCGTACGCCACCTTCTTGCGCCAATCGACGCCACATTCGAGCCAGGCGAGCCCGAGAGAGGACTGGGATTCTGGAACGGTTGTCAGGAGGACTAACAGTGGTGGCGGGTGGGGGGGCGGGTTCGGGATTTCCCCTTCCATGAGTCAGGCGGTGGAAATTATGAGACAGGAGGAGGAAAGCCACCATCATCAGCACCACCAACAACAGATACAGCAACAGAGGAATAGGATGTCTGTGAGCTCAGTTCCTGACAGCATTACAAAGGAAGATCCTACCGCAAAGTACGATCTACTTCATGAACTTGGTAAGAGTGGTTCAAATTTCCGTGTTATGTAGCGATTAGTTGAGAATTATACAACTAGTTTGTGCTTTAGCTATGTGCTTTTTGATTATTCATCATTGGGAAATAAATTTACTTCGCTCAGTTTTGTAACTGATCTATTATGAACAGTCGGGATTTCAAGTTAGCAAGTTGTCTTTTGAAGTCTTGACAACATATATCACATTTCTGAGACACTAATTTGCAAATACATAAATAGCATACATAAATACATAAATACATATCGCCAGTAGTTTTTCAGGTGCATGACACTTTTTTGAAAAGGAAATGGAGAAAAACGAAATGGATAGGAACGCTATTAGGTGTCCATATTCTAGACCAAGAGATGAACCAGCTGGCTAGTTGTAGCTTTATCGTTGCAGGCCATAGTGTTGCGCTGATGGAATCCAATTTGTCTAGAATCATGGGTTTTCTCGTTTCTGTCTGCTTATCTTGATGCAGTTGGAGTTTTTTTGCCTGAACGTTTACGGATTGTATGGTGTTCATTTCATTTTTTTGACTGGGTTTGCTCTCATGTTGTCAGGAAAAGGCTCATATGGAGCTGTCTACAAGGCCAGAGACATAAAGACTTCAGAACTGGTGGCTATCAAAGTTATATCGCTGTCTGAAGGGGTAAAGTATTTCAATATCTATTCATGGTTTCTTTTTTGTTCTTCGTGGCTACGTGCTTATCCATAGCACTCCAAAGTGCGTTTCCATACGCATTTCATGGTCCTGTTTAAATGGCTATGAATCAATACCTGCAAGTTAATTCTCTTATGAGTACTCTCTTGTTAGGTTATTGTCGAGGGGGGAATTTTACTTTCCATCATCTTATTTTTGAAAGATTATTCTGGCAATCATGTCGAACAGATGGCCAAGGGAATGCGACTATATTTTCAGCTAGTGTTAGGTTTAGCATAGTAAAAACTTCTCTGGTCTATTGCAAAGGTCACTTTAAGCAAGAGGACTATAGCTTTGTAAAAAGCAGAAGACAAGTTGTAGCAGTACATTCAGTAAACGAAGGAATCATTTTGTTTTTAATATGCAAGAGTTCATCATATAAATTTATTTTAAACATATATATGATAAAATTACGTAGTGATTGCCTAAAGGGCAGTCATTGAGATGAGTGGGGGCTCTTATCACGATGTGATGAGTGGAAAAGTCTAAATCATGTTTTCAGAAGTTGGGCTGGAAATGTGTCAGAAGCTGGAAGTTGACGAGTTGCTGTTCGAAGATGTGTAGAAAAAAACAGAAGACTTTGATTGAATGATTCATAAGGATATCCTCTTCTCATCTCAGCGAGGGACATTTAGCTTTACATTAAACTTATGAACGCTAATAACTACTACTTGTGTTGCACCTTCGTATGTATATTATACTTTAAAAATTAGCTGTCTTTAGAGTGTGCTAGAAGGACGACAATGAGAATTGAGGGAATACGAGTGAATAGTGCCTATTTCCTCCATATTTAAAGAAAGCATTAATCATAGCTGGAAGAAATCTTTTCTTTGGAGTACAAATAAATCCTTTTGTCTTCATGACTATACTTTGATGTTTACTGTTCATAGAAATTGAGGAAACGAAAGGATTCAGCTGAACCATGGCATCTGGAGATGATGAGAATTATGATGAGTGGATGTATGGGTTAGTACTTGGCAGTTCTGTTGGTATCGCTAAGTTGGGAGAAAAAAAATCTGGCCATAATGTGTTGCCAGTGAATGTGAACAGAAAAGGGCAACTGAGGCTCTTCATTTTAAACTGGGGGGTAAAAAGCTTTGAAATTATTTTATTTTGTTCAAACCTAATGAGGGTGCAAGACCACGTGAGTGACAAGGCATTATTCAATGAAAAGACCCTTTTTGGGCTTCTATTGCGCTTTCTTTGTTTTTTTTGGGGGGCCTGAGCCTTGCAAGAGAACATTGGATAGAGATGGGTAACAGGTAAGACTCTGTTATTCAGATGTGAGATTTTCGAGGGGTTTTCTAGGCAAACATGCTGCGTAAAGTAATTGAGTTACCATTGATATGAAACCCTAATACCTTGATGAGGATATGATACATAATACCAGTGCATATGATATCGTATCCATAAACACTTGCTGGAGACGAAAATATAGTCATTAGGCACAACTATCTTCGGAAAATTAAGACAATATGCCGGAGGACTAGGTGAGCCTGATGTTTTGAGGGGTGGTTAACTAAACTCTGGTATAATGAGCTACTATTGCTGTGAGAACTCTGCAACGTTGATAGATTCGCATGGACTGTAAACGGCTGGGCGGTCTGGATGAAGGTGCTTTTTTTGTACATAAAAAACGGTATGATCTCTGCGAGAAACAAGAAAGGGCGGTTTTCTTTAATGAAGTACGAAATTTGATTACAAATTTTACCAATTTTTTTTTTCTGGTGGTGATTTCAATGTTTCGATTCATGGATAGGTGAGGAGGTAGTATCGATGCAGAGAGTGTAAAATACATTTTTTGATCGGTTGATTATGCATTGGAATTTGTTTGAAAAGTTCATGATTCATGTTTTCTCATGAAAAATCTAATGAAGAATATTCTAAAACTTGGAAAGTTTTTGTTTCAAACTGAGACAAGCCAAAAAGAATATGTTTTTCATATACGAATGTGCATGGATGCATCACAAAAGTATAATTTTTCTTGTTTAAACTTTTGAAGAATGTAAAAGGTTGGATATTTCACGAATAATGTGTAGTGAAATACATCTGCTGTTTTGACTGTAGCATGTATATTTCAAAACTTGTTTTTTTTGGTTTTTGACTGTGTGATGTCAAAGGAATTATTGTGCTCGGATATGAATATGATGGATACATCACAAAAACTTCTTTTTCTCAAGTGGTGTTCGGGGGAATAATTTACATTTTTTTTAAGAAATATGTGTGGATGGGATATTGTAGAAAACATATGCAGTTTATCCGCTTCTTTAATTGCAACATGCATGAATTGTAGCAGAATATTAATTTTTCAAAAACGTAGTAGGGATGACTTTATTATCACGAAGTAGTAATTCATGGCCTCTTAGGAATGCACTTGAATAAAAAAAAAAGTTGAAGGATCAATAAACGATTAGATGGTTTTGGGAGGAATATCGAACACATTTGGACGTGATGCTGGAATGAAATCTGAAATATAAAGGTAAGTTGATTGATATTTCAGGAACGTCAAAAAATTTGTTCACTTTTGTAGACAGTTCCTCCTAGAGGTGGGAAAAGATGTGTTAGTGTCACTTTAATTAATTAATAAAAACATTCTTTTCACTATCCTCTTCCTGGGAAGTTCTATTTTTGTTAACCTTGCTGATGATTCAGTCCGTGTGTTGAAAAAAACTAAATTGCAACTCTCATCATCTTTTTCATTATCTCGCACACTATTTTTTTTCTTGAAGTAAATATATGCTTACTGCATTAGCTTTATGATCAGGAAGAGGGTTATGAGGAGATTCGTGGTGAAATCGAAATGTTGCAGCAGTGTAGCCATCCAAACGTTGTTCGTTACTTTGGAAGCTATCAAGGAGAAGAATACCTCTGGGTATGAACTTTTATACGTGTTTTATAGTAAATAATTTTTTATTGACCGAAAAGTCATGTTCCATTAGTGATATTGCGAGTTATTGGTTTTTAGTGATTGTTTAGCTGCTTCAAGGTTACTTGTGTTATGAACAAGAAACATAATCTGATATCCAGATAGGATCCCATTGATGGTGACGTAAATGGTTTTATGACATTCACCGTCTCTTGATTCGTATTCAGTTTGATAACTCAATACAACCATTGCAGATTGATTACTCACTGCGGTCGTGCATGGGCCTAAACTGATTGCGATTGGTTTGACCCTGTAATTTAATACGGTATCAGAGTCGGTGATTGCTCTTGAGCTGCAAGTTTGTTTACTTATGTGAAAAAGTCATGAAGTGAACTTGCAAGTGATGGTGTGCTAGAATAGCCTTCTATTCAAAAAATCATGTGGCTGGATATATGGACCTACTTCACTCAGTTGGTGATTGATTGGTTATTAGATGATGAAATAACTTTGAAAAGCTTGGCAGCCACATTGAAGACGAAAAACATTTCACATCTACCTTTTGGAGAGTAGTTTCAGTTAATTAATGTTACATTATATGCTTCTTAACTCATGTTGTTGCAGCCTCCTCAGTTAACATTTTTACCATTTAACTGAATGATAATACATGGAGGAAGATGCTGTTAGAGGTGATGAAGAAGAGAGGGGTTTGAGAAGACAAGATGAAAGGGGGAAGAGAGTTGCTCACTGAGCGTATACTTCTGACAATAGTTGGGTCATCTTACATACACTGCTGCACTGAGTAGAGAAATAAAAGTGGCATCATGCCAGAAAGTAGTTTCTCCTTCAAATACAAGGAGGTTAGGGGAACACATTCCATGTTTACGTTACTTACACCAAAAAAAATTCCACGTTTGAAATTTTTATTCTCTGAAAAGTTGTTTCTGCCTTTTCTACTTCACGTTCTCTACTTCAAAAGAAAAAAAATTGTTTATTGGCAAAAAATAAATGGTGGATATATCGGATCTTCTGGGAATTCTGACTTTTGGCGAATTCATTTAATTGGACAGTCTTTTCCTTTGCTATTGACTGTAGTACCTTGTTTAGTGCTTAAGGCACATCACTCCGTATATAGAGAAAACTAAAGACGTGTATATCTAGTTCGGATGTAACCCTATTCATATGTGAGTTACTCTAGCTGAGCATTACTATTTATTTGCTTTCTTCCAGTCACTTTTATTTTGCTGGGAACTATTACGATGTCTTAGAGGATTCTATAATAACAATGTCTTACATCCATTATAAAATTATCTTTCTTTTCTCTTGGTGAAGACAATTTCTACATCCTAATGTTCACAGCGCAACTCTGTTCTGGCAGATAGTTATGGAGTACTGTGGCGGTGGAAGTGTTGCTGACTTGATGAACATTACTGAGGAGCCTTTAGACGAGGGCCAAATAGCATACATTTGTAGAGAAGCTTTGAAGGTGCAAACCTGCTGTCTGGTTACTCCAATGGAGTAACTAAGGCATGATCGCTTTTTTTTTTTTTAAAACGTTTTCCTCAGTAACGTCATCTTGTGGGGCCACAGTCTATGCACAATCAGGCATTGATGTCTGTTCTTTTGCCTCTTGAACAATATGGAAATGATTCTTTCAAAATGTGCTTCATATTTCACTTTCTCTTGATAAATTTAAGCTTCCTGTTTCAGGGGCTATCATATTTGCACTCTATCTTTAAAGTTCATAGGGACATTAAAGGAGGTAACATTTTACTTACCGATCAAGGAGAGGTAAAGCTGGGTAAGTGCTGTACTTGTTCATGTTATTTTTCCAAATTCACAGCAAAACTTTGGACGCAAGAAGTTCAAATTTATGAGGTGACTTCATAACTTTTTTGATAAATATAGTTTTATGTTGGTAACTTTGAATAGGTGATTTTGGTGTGGCTGCTCAGCTTACACGGACTATGTCGAAACGCAACACGGTAAATATTGATTAAATTGTGAATACAGTTTAGTAAACTGTTGCATCAGGCGCATGTTGTTTTAGTGATATGGAAGGAATGTCATATCTTGTCAGGGAAGCCAGACTATCTCTTCTTCATCTTCATCCAGGATCATGTTTGTGTGATTTTCCAGTCTTATCGTTAACGTTTAACCTTCACTTCTCAATGTGAAAAACCTCTTCCTATATGTTCTGTGCCCAGAAGGTACGCCTTCTACACTGCTTTAGGCTACCCTCTCAACAACAACCCCTTTTATCTTTCCGGTTCCTGATGGCTATTCGAAAAGCAACAGGGGGTTCCTTTTGTGTTGAAGGCGGTCTCATGGACTGGTCGCCTTTTGCTGTCCTCTTGTAGAAAATGGCCATACCTCTCCATTAATACTGAATGTGCCAACACTCGCTTCCTATATGTTCTGTGCTTTCCTTCTCTGTACCCTGGTTTCTGTGACCCTCCATGATCACATATTTTTTAGAGGTCTACAATCTGTTGAGCTCAGCTACATGTTTAATGTCATAGTAAATTATATTTTCTACACAGGGTTGACATAGTTGGAATCGTCAAGTGAACCAATTCTATTCTTTCCTAGATCCCTTGGGATCTTGTCTCCAGATGCGGTCTCACTGGAGCTGAAACACAAAAAGACTGTCTCAGACAATAAAACATGGTCAAGGGAGTATGAAGGTCCTACTTAAAGAGAACATTGAGTGGAATATGATAACTCTTTCTAGCCTGGCACTGAATTCCTTTGTAATTAAAGATAGTTCAAAAACAAAGTAAGAACGAATCCAAGCCTTTGTAGGGAAGTACGTCTTTGCAGGCGCCTAAGAGAGAAGATAACTTGAACTCTGCTTGTTGGTACAACTCACTTGAAACAAAATTGCTGTCACCAACTCATAGAATCAATTCAATGGCCACTGGTGTCATAAAAAGAACTTCCAAAAGGAATATCAGTGTACAGCCAAAATTTCCTGGGCAGACGTTGAGGGTCATCCACCTGCAGCAGCTTTTTTTACCTTATGGTGGCCATTCGTTGCTGAATGGCCATGGATCAGCGAGAATTACTCATGTGATCAATCCTTTATTCAGGATATTTGTGCAATTTTCTTTTTCCTTTCCCTCTTGAAGCTATAGTGCGGGCAATGCAATTCCTTTGGTTATATACTAGAATTATGATTCTATCATTGAAATAGGGTGATTCCTTTGGATCCTAAGTTCACATTCCGATTTGATTCCTTGGCACTAACTACTTTATACCATTTTTGTCTAGTCATCAGATCAGTAGTAGAATTGATGATTTCCCTCTTGTGGAAACACAATGTTCTGGTCTGCAGTCATTGTTAGAAGAATGTGGGATTTTGCTTTTTTGAAAGATGTAAAACCGCTATTCATTAATAGTCAGAAATTGCAGGTAATGTGACAAGGTGTATAGTACCTAGTATCCTGTTGAATATAATATGACGAGAATCAGATGTCTTTCTCTGAAAGGAGGTAATAATGCAGATAACTGTGGGAAATTCTAACCGGTTCATTATCAAGGGGTCTGATAGTGCTGATTTCCAGATTCGCTGCTTTTATTCAAATGTTAATAAGTAAGTACTACCTGACTAACGGGAACTCTAGATAGCATAAATTTTCGTAGTAATTAAAGAACATAAATTTTCTGTGTATAAGTTAGACCACAGAGTTTAAATCTCAATTATAGTAAGTTAGTTCATTTATTTTCTGCTATTTGTTTCAATATTTTTTTATCAGGTACAGTATATCATATTTACAGCAGGACAGTTTAAATTTGCTGGTCTGCATTTGAATGGTGTTAAGAATTTGAAGCTGCCTAAATCTAGAGTCGAGCTACCTTGAGCGCATATATAGTTGGAATACTTGGCTTAAAGCTGCTACTTGTTTTGCAGCTTATTGGGACACCTCATTGGATGGCCCCAGAAGTTATTCAGGAGAGTCGGTATGATGGAAAGGTAACTTGCTGCTTATTACTCATAATATCTTCTCATGAATTGGTCTTTTTCATTCTATTGCCTTTGCATTGTAATAATAATTCTTCGAGGGATCCAACTGTTATCATTTTGTTTCTTTGGGATGTCTTTTTTCCTCGTTTCAAATTCCTTCTTGTTTTCATTATGACAGTGCCACAATTTTCTAGACGAAGCTAGAAATACAAGCATATTGATTTGGATCTAGGGCTTTCTTGTATAGGATAGTGATATCATCATTTGACCTTAGAAGTTGGAAAGGAAGCGAGTAATGAACGTATGTGGGAGGGATATGAGCAATTGAACTTGCAGCTATCAATGATTCTCAATGGAAAATCTTAGATTACGTGGAGAGGTGAAGTATCCCAGAGTCAGTTATATATTGCAGTGCCTCTTGGTCACTGGCTGCGCTAGTTGGCGTATTAGTAGGGAATGCGTTTCATTACAAAGCAACTTAAAACTATATTATAATTGTATAATCTGTTAATTTAAGTTAGTTGTGCGTATCTTTTTTTTTTTAATGTAAAAGACATTTCCGCTGTTTCTTTAATGACCGTATTTTTCTAGGTTGATGTATGGGCTCTTGGTGTGTCTGCAATTGAGATGGCAGAGGTAATTTCTTGCCACATGTCGCCTCTACATTTTGTACTTATCTCTCTTTTTGGTTATGTCAACGCTAAAATTCCCTGACAGTCATATATCTATGACCATTGTACATGATTTGCTTCTAACTTCTGTTTCTTTCTTTCCAAATTCCAGGGATTCCCGCCAAGATCCAATGTTCACCCAATGAGGGTTAGTGCCTGGCTTTTTTATGGATGTTTTGTGATATGCGTTTCCTCTATAGAAGCTTATATTGAATGATACTTTAGTTTCGTGGTTACTTTTAATGCTTTCTTTTTCTGTATGAGCTCTCAGGATATAAGTAGCTTCATGGAACCTGTGCTTTGTTTTAGATTCCTATAGAGCTTAAATCTTTTGATTTGTTTTAGAACCTGTATGAGCTTTGTTTTCATATGGCTGGTGCAGCTGAGCTTGTAAAAATCTGCATAATTTAAACTTAGAAAAATGAGCGGTATTTATTAATCAATGTTTACTCTGCTGAAATACGGCATAACAGTTCTCTTTAGCAGTCAATATTATGTGTCCTCTGCAGGCATCTTGTCTATTCTGTTGTATCAGGTTGTCAGGATTGATGGATGAGATGCCCAAATGGATTCTGACTTCCCAAGAAGCATTAACCAAGTGTAAAGTCCCACTGTGCTAACTGATCTGGCTGAACATGGGGGAGATTTGGAGGGCATTAAGGGATTATTTACTGGATGATGACGAAAAGCATTAAAAATCTGCATAATTTAAACTTAGAAAAATGAGCGGTATTTATTAATCAATGTTTACTCTGCTGAAATACGGAATAACAGTTCTCTTTAGCAGTCAATATTATGTGTCCTCTGCAGGCATCTTGTCTATTCTGTTGTATCAGGTTGTCAGGATTGATGGATGAGATGCCCAAATGGATTCTGACTTCCCAAGAAGCATTAACCAAGTGTAAAGTCCCACTGTGCTAACTGATCTGGCTGAACATGGGGGAGATTTGGAAGGCATTAAGGGATTTAAAGTCCCACTGTGCCCAAATGGATTCTGACTTCCCAAGAAGCATTAACCAAGTGTAAAGTCCCACTGTGCTAACTGATCTGGCTGAACATGGGGGAGATTTGGAGGGCATTAAGGGATTATTTACTGGATGATGACGAAAAGGGTTAGGTGGGAGGGAATTTGGAGGCAAGAAAAAATAAATATTTGAAGAAGGGGAGATCAATATTAGAGATAGGTGAGAAAAATAGGGGAGAAATGAAGCATATGGTAGATAAAGCTTCGATTTTATCGGCGAGGATAGATGCCAATATTACTTTGGTAACATTGAAAACAAGTATGAAAAATCGGACGAATGAAAGAGGTGCAGCAACGGAGATATGGTAGTATAGAATATAGGTAGGGAAAATAAATGAGGCTGATGATTTACTGGGCAATGAGCTGGTGTGATAAGTCTTTGGTGACAAAGTGAGCAATAGAGCGGGAGCTGGTGTGATATGTCTTCGGTGACAAAGTGAGCAATGGAGCGGGAACTTCATGAGGACCGTAATTCTTCGGATTTTGCTTCTGTGAAGTAGTTGAAGTTTGGTATGTAGATTCAAGTTAGCTTCATAAACTCAGCTTTAGTTGTATGGAGATAATATTTTTGGGAGTGTCTGTTTATGTTTGTGCCTTCCACTTCGACGTGGAAAGCACAGCATTATTGGGGGATTTTTTTATTATGAATCGGTTCTGTTGCTCAAGTTCCTGTCTAAATGGAGATTTTAGTGCATGTAAATCTTCAGAATCGATTTTTTTAGGTTCTATGATGTAATTTTGTTGCATTATGTTATTTTCAAATTCTGAACTCTGAATAACATTCGTCATTCCTTCATTCGACTGAGAAGTTTTGAAATTAGTATTTTCGGTTACAATATTTTGCTATAATTCCTTCACATGGATAGATCTGGTTTTCTATAACTGTGGAAATTTGTTTGGTGTGGGCGGGGCACTTCTCATCAACTATTCTGATATCATAAGTAGGTAGGAGGTTTGATGTTGATACTATTTCAGAAGGGTTGTTTGCAACTCTTCCTTTCACCAAATTCGGCAATTATCTAGTGAATGTACAGTTATTATGAACATCTACGTAAGGACATTGTCCATTCTATCTATATTTATAAAATAATGTTTGGATGCTTTGAAATATAGATCGTTGGTATGCTTTCTCTCAGCAAGGGAGTGCTTCTTGTATTTACTAATAGTTTTTGTTTTTTCTGTTGATAAGTAAAAGTCAATGTCACAAAACGGTTCCTTTCATGCAGTTTGACTGTGTTCCTTTCATTTACGATAAGTACGTCATGATTCCCACTTAATTGTTTTTTAGGTACTGTTCATGATTTCTAGCGAACCGGCTCCTATGCTTGAAGACAAGGAAAAGTGGTATGGTTTCTTGCCAAGAAAACGTCTACGTGAGTTTAAGTATCATACGTTGTTGCTACATTTTTAGGCTGATTGGTTTTTACCATTCCTGACTTTGAATGTTTCCATTACAATAGAAACACAAGTTAAATATGTGATACTTAGTAGTTTGTCTGAGTCGGATGGCCTTTTTTCTGAGAACTAGAACCAGTGTATATTGAAAATACGACGCCTTAATAAGCCATCTAATTGGCAGTCAAATTATTTCCGAGATATTGCCGTTGCATCTATAACTATTCTGAGGTTATGAGACATTCCTCTATAGGCCTGAAATAGCGTGATTCTTTGATTTTCTGCATTGTTATGCAATAACCATAGCGGCACTAGTACCTTATCTTGATGTATTCCACATGTTTTTACTGTTGTAATTTATGCTGGATGCTAATTTTTACTCTAGTTCTGTCAACTTGAACCCCAAGCACATCTGCCAATTTCGGTCTGATCTGTCGAGTAGAGCTAATATATAATCTGACACAGTGGGTTTGGGAATGGATGTCAAATCTCAAAATGGGAAATACTTACCAGGGTCGCCATGTTGTTGACAAAATTGTTTTTGAGAGATGACAATTACTGCATCATTTATGAATATCCCAATGCTATACGATGAGCATTCTCTATTTCACTTTTTTTTCAGGTATTTCGCTGACACGAATCGTTTAGCCTATGTACCCATGACTTATGTGCCTTATCACTGAATTTTTTAATCCAGAATATTTCATTCGTCGCATCTTTCCTTAGAGAATGAAGATATATGCACTCTGCAGTTTGTTTAAATAAGCTGGTATAAACCATTGCAGTTATGGCAGGAGATGTTCTTGCAGTATCTCTGTACACTTGATTGTTGGGATGTGAATATATAAGTCTAGATTAGTTTAAAGTTTCATTTGGGCTTTGAGAAACTTCATTTTCTATGGAAATTGTTGTGGTGATCATTGTATACTGGCTGGTATGTTCACCATTTTAGGTCGGCCTTGTCCAATTGTCACATTCCACTTAAATACTCTTTATATTGAATGCATGCGTTATGAAGCTGTGGATATCAAAATAAAGGTTTTTCATTCCTCCTTTCTATCTTTGTTTTCTGGCGAATGTTTGTAGTATTCTTTCTTTTGAGCTAGCAACCCTTTGGATTTTCAGACATTAGATTCCAAAAATCAGTTGTAACCGAATTGGTGGTTATTAAGCAAAGATCTTATGGTTTCTTTTGGCATTTAACTTATTCTAGGTCTCTGCTTTTTCATGATTTCGTTGCGAAGTGTCTCACAAAAGATCCACGACTGCGTCCTACTGCTGTCGAGATGTTGAAGGTGCGTGTGAAGTTTTATAAATCAATTGGTTATACAGAAGTCGTCATCACTTCACCATAAATAATGCCTATCCTTAACGGATTTCACCTTGAAATGCTGCTAGATTAGAGTTGTCAGACGGCAAAAAAGAAATTCTATTTTAATTGCTAACATGTGAATACTTTCCGCTGATGATATTATCTCTATGATTTTTTATAAAGAGATATAATGCCAATTTGATTCAAGGGTGTGTTTTACGCTTTATTTATCTATTAGCAGGTGCCTATGAGCATATTTCACTGAGAGGAAGGTAAAAAAGAGTGAGGCAGTAAAAACGTACTCCCCAATGATAGCAACCAAAATCCAGTACAGGCACAATTATTCGGTATAGATGGCAGGAGAGTAGTTAAGATGGAGGTGAAAGATTAAAGAGATCGAAAATCAAGAAAGATGCTAGAGCATAGGTTCTGTGCTGAGACGTCAATGGGAGACCAAGGCTCAATGAGTGGATTTCCTGTTGTATCTTTTGTGATGGATAACAAAGATCAGCTCTGAAGAAGTTCTATCAAGTCATAAATCTCGTGTGTCAATGGACACATTTGGACTACGTATTGTTTTTACTCAAATATCTCCTCAAGTAGTATCCACATTCTGGTAGTGTCCCCTTCCTTGGTATCATTTGTTGGACCGCTCTCCTGTCAAAAAAAAGTTAATGGTATAAGATACAATAACACGGTTCTCCTAACACAGACTCTCATATTTGGGTTCTTCAACCTTCGGAGTTTTAATACTCCCATTTACGTAACCTAATTTTCCTATCCGGCAAAATATACTTTAAGGCGGCAGCGGACCACTACCATGACGTTGGTCTGATTTGACTTCAATGGTGACAAAATTCCACTTGGTATAGCTGCCGAGTCTTCACTGTTGTAGAGGAGGCCACTTCGTTTGGAAGATGAACTCAATGATAGGACGGATGACTGCTGAAGAAAAATAATATTGAAAAACTAGTGAAAACCTGTAGCAACGAAGTCAGTTCTGCTTGAAGCTTAGCCCGCCTCCCCTAGGTACAATCACCCATGAAAGCACGTTCTAAACCTCTGTTGTGTTGGCCAGATCATTGGTCTCCCTTTGTGTTCTCAGGAAAAATGGAGTGTTATGGTTTCATACGTTTCAAGTTCTGTAGAGAATTAGTCGCCACTATGGACCCAATAACTAGGACTCCCTGAAGAGAAATCTGGGATCCTGAAGTGAGACCGAAATAGGTCTACTGGACCACTTCCTTGGAAGCCCTATATTTTAGGTCTTTTCTTTCTCCCTGATGTAAGACTTCAAGACAACAGCTGTTTTCTTTACCCAAAGACCAGAATTAGGCGTGTGGAGTTTCTTGCTGAACCCTAGACTCCAGGTCTTCCTCGAACTTTCTTTGTTCGTTTCTTGTGTTCTAACATCTACCAATTAACTAACTGGAGATATTAATCGAAATAAAAAACCCACTATTACTTAATTACGTCATGAATAAAAAAATTCCTCTGATTTATGGCAGGAATCAATTTCCAACATCATAGATAATCAAATTACTCCCTGAAAGGTGGAAATCAAGATAAAACACTGATTACTGTTCTTGTCAGAGCTTGGGATCTAGTGGCTCCTAGCAGTCTGATTGATTAATCGTTTATTTTTTTTGTTTCTATGTTTCATTCTCACCACTGTATTATCAGCAATTTCGAACGATTTTCCTTTGTTTTGTAAGAGATGTCTATGATGAGCTGAAGTATTCACCAATTTTTTTGCTTTCCATCTTCATTCATACGAAAAAGGAACAAGTTGACGAGCCGAATTATTCGCTAATTGAAGATTTCTATTATGGTTCTGAATTCTGATGCTGCTTCTACTCCCTGATTTGCTGATTTGCTTTGTGAGTGCCACATCTTCTTCTACTCTCTGTAGATTGTTCATGACATCTAAATAGAGTTGGAAGTTATCGAAATTTGGCGTTATCCTGTTATAAACCCCTGGATGATCCTTTTTATAGCGATGCACAAAATTCGAGCTGATCAGCGTATTGGATTGCTGACTCAGCTGATTCTTGATGTGGATTGGCCAGGATCAGCTCACGTAAGTTGAATCGAATGGGATGGATTGGTCAGGAATTGGCTGATCAGAGAGGCTTATAATAAATTAATAAAGTTCTCACTTCTCCTGGATTGTCTGATCTGTTCCCAATACCAATCCCAGTCCCAATCCCAATCTAGATCAGATTGGGCTTAGCTAGTTCAGCGGCCAAATCTTATGCAGAATAACGTGGTTGAATAACAGTGAACTAGACACTCTTACATCATTCTTCGTAATTTTATCTTGACCTCTGAAGGAACGTTATTCAAGAAATATACAAATGATTTGAGCTTTGTTTTCAGCACAAGTTTATCGAGAAATGCAATTCTGGAGCTTCCAAAATGTTGCCAAAGATTAAAAGAGCAAGGCAGATTCGGGCTACGATAGCCGTGCAGGTAGTTATTAAGTTTGAGTCGTTTAGTGTCCATACACATTGTAGAATTGGGCTCTCTGTCAATTTGGTGGCTCTATCGCTTTAATTGAGACAGTGATTTCTTCGTTCGTATTTTTGATGTAGAACAGCCTGTTGAGGAAGAGAAGGGTACAGAAGAAGTTGTGAACCTTGGAGATACCTTTCCGGTGAAACCTCAGGACATAGACACGGTTGATAAAGGTAGTACTTCCACGAAGCATCAAAGATTCCAAGATGTTGAGCTTCCGTCAGAAGGTGTTCCTTGATCTATCTATGGACAATCTTTGGCCAACATTTTGATCAATATTGATGATTTCTCTGATTTATCTCTCGTTTTTAATGCGAATTTAAAGCGCAAACTCTGTCAATGCAAAATCGTGAATGCCTGTTTAAGATTAAAATGATATTTGATATGATTTTTTTCATCTGTTGCTTATCCAGAAAATAACCGAAATATTCCCTTAAATTGTGAAAGAGACATAATGAGTACTCCATAAGATATTTTTGAAGGGACTTCTCCAAAAGGTGGTTTGCCTGCATCGACACTATGATCAACCAATCTGGTCGCTATTATTTCTATTGCTCGATCTTTTTTTTTTTTTTTTAATCTGTGGTTGGCTCAGTGTATGTGATCATTTTAGTTTTGTGGGGCATAATTAATTGCTTCTATCAATGTTCTAGGCTATTGACTCTATTTATTCTTCAAGCATATGATTTCCTTTGTAATCCTATTTTGGGTATAATATTTTTGAATTTTAAATATACCTAGTCTTTGTTATGGACAGTTCCCTCATAAGTGGAGGTTTCTGTAATCAAACTTTCATTATCAAGAAACGAAGGTAGCAATGCTGTTTTCAAATGTTTAGATAGATCATGCTCAACAGGTTAATGAGCCATCAACTTATTCTGGATCTTTTAAGACTGAATTTTTTCTCAATGATTTTCCGCTTTTAGATGATACTATGACTTCATCTTTACAATATTTCTTCGCTTTTTAATGATCTACAAGGATAAACGGCTGTCTGGAAGTGGGATGATTTAGTTACTTTTCCCCATGGATGTAGAGCTCTTTTGACACAAAAAAGTGTCTCTCGTGCTCCTATCTGTGATGAGGCTACCACCAATCCTTGGATGACCTAGTGAATGGGTTTCAAATGGGTCTTGCTAGCTCTGTGGAAATGATGATTTTACTCAGATTATATCAGTGTCCTGCCTTCAGTTCCCTTAAGAGTGTCGGCGTGGTTGGACTTGCCTTGGTGACAGGGTGTGCAATAAGAGAATGCCTGTAATTTTTTGGAGTATTTGATAGATTAACTAAATTAATAAGTCAGTTCAGTACCTTTTGCTGTAATCTTCAAAGATTTGTAGCATTGATATCTCTTCCTCTTTATACTTTCAAACTGCTAGGGTTTGTTTCAATTATTTATAGGTAGCATGCATCTTCTTATTGTACTCTCCTAATGTACTACTTTTGGTTTATACATGACAAATTGTTGAAGGCATCTCATTCTCATTAAAAATTACTTTTCTTTCAGGTGATTTTGGAACAGTCATAGTTCGCTCCCACACTAATGATAATGAGGTTGGTCCTGAAACATCCAGCGTCAATAATGCAGAAGGGCTTTTACCGGCGTCTGTGGACGCCAACAATGATGCTGTAAGCAATTCAGGAGATAAGATCACGAGTCTCAGGTAACTACTTTTTGTAGGTTGTCTGTCTGTTAAGCATCTGAGCCTGTCCCTTAACTTTGTCTGTATGCAATATACTGAGTGGTTTGCTAGCTTAATCTAGCTTATGCATAATATGCTCTTGTTGACGCAATCTCTAGGTTTTTATTCCTAATTGTAGTAACTGTAAAGTTAATTAGGACTACCTGTAAGGTTGGTTTATTTTGCATCTGGTCATAATGCGTCATATTTCTGGAGGTGGCAACTATGGATTGATATTGTTTCTAGAAGTGGTACCAATATCATTACGAGTTAGAGGTACAATGCGGGTATCACTTTACAGTTACTATTTAATATGAAGTTGAAAAATATTTGGCATAAAAGAATAAGTTGCTGTTTCCCGAATCCGAAAACAATCTGTTAATGTTTTTTATGTCGTATAGATTTAATATGAATTGTCTCCCTTCTAAGTACAGAAGATCAAGTAATCACGTTTTCAATACGTGAGTTCAGCAGAAATACTATTTCAACAGAGATTTATCCTGTTTAACGTGGCTGGGGGAGAAATTTATCGGGAAAACCTCTGCATTGATGGTAGATGGGTCTTAAAATAATTGATCAAAAGGAGTGTAATTAACGCTGAGAGCAAGATCACTTTTTGGAAGGTTCCAGGAGCTATATCAATGAGCGTATCCATTCTATGGTAGATGGGTCTTTTGATTTATTCCGTTAAATAATGGTTAATGAAGAACAACTCATGAAACCTTTGTCTGTGTCAAGTAAATAGTTGTTAGCAAGGATTGCCAAAATCAGTATCAGATCAGAACAGTCGCGTCAGCCAATCCAAAGGGAGAAGCCGATGTGACTAAAACTATAGAACAAAAAATATTGAGATTTACTTATAATTGTATATAATGAAAAAGATAAACAGTTGACTGCTCCGAAGTAGGTGGCTGTTTATTAAAACCTCCACTTTTGTTCCCTTCCCTCCCATCCCACCCATCCCACCCATCCCACCCAGCCCTTACCCTTTTCCGTGAGTATTGGGTAACTTTTGCGGGGAATAACAGCAGTTTATGGTTCCACATGAGTTAATTTTTTCCTCGCTTTTTTGTTATTTTTCTCCATCTATATGTATCATATATTTTAAGGTTCTTTTGTTCGTGCTTCAGTCTTTGTCTTCAACCAATAGTGGTCAAGAGTGAACGGCCTGCAGTCTCCAACTTCAGTAGGCAGGCCCCTTTTCGATCCTGACATTGACCAGGGTTGGGAATCGAGTGTGGTTTTCTCCATCTAGTTTTTATTTTATTTTTCCTGATTTTGTAGGGTTCGTCCTAATGTTCCTCCCCTTCGATCCAAATTGGTAAGTCCGGATCAAAGTGACCACAATCAGCAGAAAATGATTACATGTTTTCGAGTACTATTTAGGTATGGCAGAAACATTTGATGTTGGTCTCAGAGTATGGGGTTTGAAAATGAGATTTCTAGAGGAAGGTTCAGAAGGCCTGAAGCCTATGCGTGTCATCGTGTTAAATCGGAAGTGTAGCGCCTCATGTTGCTTTAAAGGCAGATCGTCCTTCTCGAATGGTGGTAAACCTTTTGGACTCGGATAGCCTCCCAGTATCACCGTAGAGCTTTAGTTGCTTCAGTGAGTGGTTATTCCTTGCTTACAGTTCTTATTCGTCCTCATCTAATGGTTATAAACCTTTTAGTTCTTTAATTGCTTGAGGCCGCCTTTACTGCTTTTGTTACCATCTCTTCTGCATATTTTCCATCCCTTTCCGAATGGAAGCCTCCCTGCCTTTTCATAGCGGTGATACCGTCATTAAGCTAACGCTTTCTATGCTGTTCTGATGTCACAACCAGGAAAGCCACCCAAAGACCGCAGGGCGTTGATCAAACCCTAGATTTCCAAGAACCAAAGGGGCTTCAATCTACAGCCCCTGGATCTCCAGTGAGTAAGCTAAACGCAGAAGGGGCACATCAGTCGCGGGAAGATGGCAACAACTCCGCCTCTAGAGGTGGGCCTGTTGTTGGCAGCACAGTGAAAGTCACTGTGTCTCGCAAAGCCTTTGCAGTACAGGATAAAGTAACCTTCCACTTTCTCATCTAATATCTGAGCAAGTTTTTGGAATCATATGGCGCCAAACTTACTAATATTGTTCTACACCCTCTGCTATCCTCGATTTCTACAGCTCTGGTCCATTTATGCCGCTGGTAACACGGTGCCAATACCATTTCTGAGGGCGATAGACGTCTCTCCTCTGGCCTTGGTCTCTGACAACGTGCTGGGCGACAGATCGCCGGGGAGAAGCGGCGGTGCTGCACTTGAAGCCGTCAGGGAGCTGTTCAATGGTGACGGGCAAGCAAAGAAAGCCCGCAAAGCCCAGAACGAGGTCCACCGGCGGCACCTACCGTTTTCATTTCATCACAATCCAAGCTGTGCATGCGCATCTAGCTCATCGTCTACCTGCTTCTTCTTATAATTATGTAGATTCCGCTTCCTGCGAGCGTACAACAGAGGCTAGCCGCCAGCTCGACGCTGATGAATCTCGCTCAGGCGTTGGCCTACCATCAAACGTAAGCTTTCCTTCCCCTTGCTCTCTGGCATTGCCCCCTAGAGGGGGAGGGAAGTTCACTCGTGCCGTATCATGCAGGTGTTACGAGGATATGCCGCTCCAAGATCTACAAGCGGCGCAAGAGAGGCAGACTATTCAGAATCTGTGTGATACCCTTCGTACGATTCTGCGGTTGTAATATGTGTTCCGTGATTATTTATTAGATTTTCTTCGGTCGTGAAAATGCCCACATGAATCAGCCTTTTTTTTTTTGCCCATTTCCTGAACAAGAAAATTTGTTATGAATCTAAAAATGGGATCTGATGCAATCTTGCAATCCATATTAGATGCACTTTGTTCATCAATCCTGATCATTTAGGGAAGAAAATAATAAGATTCCTGATCATTTACCATCTCTGTTGATTTTGAACAAGATTTGACGCTTAGAAATTATATGTTTTCCCAGAAAAAAATCTTTATGTTATTTACTTAGTTGAAGAGTCGATAAACCTAATACTTGCCAGTAAGTTACTACCAATGCAATTTTTTTTTTCCTTTCCCTTTCCGGGCTGATTTTTCCGGGGAAGTCTTTGTTAGAACACGCAGGCAGCATAAATGTCTTCAAGTATATTCTGCTGCTATATGTTTTTGACATCGTCATATAAATACTGCATCCTGTGTAAAACCCTCTAAGAGGGTTTAGAGATGAGGCCCCTCCCCTCTTGGCTGTGAAGAAATTTTTGGGGATTTTTTTTTCTATAGAATTATTGGATTGCTTTATCAATAGGGTTAGGTCATAATAATTCCGTTTTGAGCCTGCACTATGTATATGGGCATTTACGAGAGTTGCCATCTGAGATGAGACCCACGAAAAAGATTGATCTTTTCGGCTGGAGGCCCTGACCTAAACTCGCGTCGACGCGGCGAAAATTCTGTCTTTTGGGGAAAAATTGCTTTTTTTTTGTACAGACGAACGAGCGGCGCGCACTGGTGAGGGTTCCTAACCATCGGACATTGCCGCCGCCAGAGAGAGAGCGAGAGAGGGGGAGAGGAGATGTCGATCCGACAGGGACCTCCAAAGCACCAGAACAAGGTCGCGTGGAAGCCCCACGCTGGGAACACGAAGAACGAAACGGTGAGGGCAGCTTCCTTCAACCCCATCCCATCGTGGTGGTTTCATCGCTTCTTGGTATCTTCGCATGAGAGATAGTGAGAATACCGAGAAAATCGATGTGCAGGAAGTCGGGGGCAAGTTCCGGCCGTACTCGGACATCACAGGCGTGTGCGGCCGCTGCAAGGATCAGATAGACTGGAAGCGCAAGTTCGTCTCGTCCTCCCAGTATAGGGTTTCAGGGGTTTTTTGGTTTTAACCATTTTATTCTCTGATTTGGCTTCGTTTCTTGCAGATACGGGAAGTATAAGCCTCTGATCGAGCCGGCCAAGTGGTACTGGTTCTTCTCACATTGTTCTATTCTCTCTCCTTGTAGTCTTCTTCAACATTCGAGTAATCCCGATATGCTGTGTTCCTGGATTTGTCTTCTCTCAGTCAGAAGTGCTCGAAGCGTGCTGTCCGGCAGGCCTACCACAACCTCTGCACCAGTTGGTCTCTCTGTCCTTTGCCTCCTCCCTCCTCTCGAAGTTTTCTTATGGAAAATGAAATGGGCATCCTGTTTCGTTGACTAAATCGATGAATTATCAACCTTCCAACTGCAAAGGTTGCGCCAAAGAACATGGGGTGTGCGCCAAGTGTTGCTGTAGAACGGATCGTATTATTGGAAGGTTTCATCTGCCCTATCTTATTTCCATAAACATATGACTGTTCTAGTTTTCCTTGGCCAAAGATTGATCACTGATTGTTCTAAACTTTGATCTATCATGACTGACTTACAGAGATATCTCGGAAGTAGAGGCAGAACGGAAACAAGTCGAAGAGGTAGAATTTGCGTCAGAACACGAAAAACTTAGTCAATCCTGCTCTGTGTTGATGAGTTTTTTAAATGTCGCTGGTTCTTGTGTACAGGCTCTTAAGCATGCTCGTGAAAGGGATAGGAGGACCCTTCTACGCGCAGTAAGATTTTTTCCGTTCTCGCTTGAACTTTTAGTTTTCTACGGTGGGCATGATCATGTAGGATTTCTATGCACCTTGGAATGATTCAGAACTACTATGATTGTCCATTTTATTTGCTATTTTCTCATTTTGAGAGATTATATGGAGTGCAGTTATCTGCGGTCGACTTAAATCTTCTTTGTTGGGTAACAGTTGACTTCAGATGGCTTTTGAATTTTTTATGAAACTATGGCCAGAAGGAGGTATTTTATTTCAACCGGTGTCCTATTTTTAGGAGAATTAGGAAACGTTATGCTTCTGTCTTTTGAAGGGCATAACGGAGAGCTATATTGTTTATTCCTTGGTTAAAAAATAGATAATAGGGGATGTTTTTTTCTCGCCAAACCTTCTTTTTTACTAGTTGGATAGATGAAAAAAATGCATATGGGTTCAGATGGGCTCAAAGGCCCTTGAGCACAACTAAAAATAACACTCAATGACACAAGCTGTACGTAGGCAATGTGTATGTATATATACATATATTGGATTATATTTTCTGAGATTGATGAATAGAAGAGTATTGTTGACATCCTATAGAAATTTCAGTACTTCTTGTTGGGCTAAATTAAGCATCATTTCTTAACAGATGAGTAAAGGCAGTGCTAGTAGCAAGAACAGTGAAAACCCAAAGATCGCTGACAGGAGCAGGGAGGGAGATCTGTTCCCAGCTAAATCCATCGATGAGTATGCGGCGCAAGCGATTGACCTTGATGATGACAACGATGGCTTGATATGCAGCTGAGGCTGGAGAGTTCTATAATGACGGTGATTGGATCGATTTTGAGGAATCCAATTTTCTCAGCTTGCATTTTTTTTTTTCGCTCTTTCTTTAACAGTGGTATAATGATGGAATGGTGTATTGGAGATTGCAGTTAATATCTCTTCTCGTTGCAATGTTGGAGACAAATGCATGGTGATGCCATTCGAAGTTGAACTATAATTTTCTTAGAAAAAAAGTAAATATTTAACATGACATGGGCAGTATTGAGATAATTTTTTTTGTGGGAACGTTTTAGAGTAATTTCTAAAATATTTGATGCAAATTCTGTGAACATCATATCTAAAACTAATTACCCTTCATATTAATTTCAATATACATTTAAGACCAGACATTCTCTCTAGATGACAACGCATAATCACCACATTGGTTGCCTAAAAATCTTGTAATCAAGTCCACCGTTTGAAATGATTCTTCAGTGTTTTGGATCTGGGTATTCCCCAATTCCTCATAAGGTTTCTCTTGGATGATACATTAGGACAAGTAAAGTCAAAGCTTTCCATAAAAAAAAAAACAATTTTCTGTTAGCTAAACAAAGTTCATGATGAAGAACAGAGGTCTCATACTTCCTTCCAAAATCTGATGGATCTGTCACCTCCACAGGTGATGAAGGCCGCCTCAGTTGGGGAGTGTTCAATCCACCTTGGGGCTCCCACATGGTTGGATGGCCATCTCGCCACCCTCTCTGAAGATAATGCGTCCCAGACCACAACCTGCCATTTGGGCACCCCCATTCCATTCAGGGAATGACATTGAACACTCCAAGAATCAGGAATTTAATGTAAGGTATGGCCGGAGTGACCTCATTTTTTACTTCATCCACCGAGAGCACAAATTCTTCAGTCTCATTGAAAACGGCCTGCAGTGACAGAGAAGATTCCCAAGGTGAATAATATGTCAAAGAAATTATGTAGACTTATAATCATCATGAAGTCATACCCCATTGATCTGGGGTTTGCCAGGGAGTTAACCAAAATCCCAACAATCCCAGTGGATTGTGGGAGGAAAAAAAAAGGGGTATTTCCCCTGGAGAGAAACTTCTTGGCTACTCTTACATTGCATAGTTAGAGATTAAATGAAGGATGACACAGAAAATCACTGTGAAGAGATGCCCTGTGTAGGAAGCAGATTGATGAAGGTCAACCAACCTGGCAAAGCAGCTGTGTGTGAACTGCGCCAAGGTACTGCTTGACAAGCCTACCTGAAGTCACTTCCCACAGCTTTATGGCAGAATCCTTCCCACAAGAAAGGATGAACCTGTTGATTCAAGTCATAGACAGGGTGATTTAAAGGATCAATTTGAATGTGAAATCATTCAGAAAAAAAAGAAAAATAGCCACACAAATCCTAGATGTTAATGTTTTCTCTGAGTTGACTTAGTCATCTTGGGAGTTCCAGTCAACTGCATGGCCTACACCACCTTGGTGTAGAATGTAGTTGTTCTGCAGGAAAACTTTGAAAGTTTCACAGAACACTTACATCCGCATGCCTTACTCCTTATGGTATTTAGTGAGCACATGTTACTACCCACTTACAGAAATAAATCACTACATAAATACAAAGTATGCTGCAACAGAGTTTGACTCATGACATCTTTTACCTTCCATCTTTCGTGAACCTTGCACTAGTGGACTCAGACAAGCGATGTGCCTGAGTAATGGTGCGCACACATTGAGCAGTCACCCCGTCCCACACTCGAATAGCACCATCTTTGGATGCTGTCACATACAGTGCCCCCGAGTTCGAGTATCTCACCTACAAAAAAAGGAGAGAGGAGAGACATGAAAGTCCATGGTCAACCAAATCTTGTAGAGGCCAAATTTTCAGATAAACCAACTAACGCACCTGGTTGATGACAGCATTGGAACCCAAGTCTTTCATGTCGGCAGACAGGTAACACTGGAAGGTATTGATATCATACAGATGGGGGATGGGATGGTCTGTACCTGTAATATCAATTGCAATAAAAAGATTTGAATCGAATTCAGAACTGACAAGCGGCATCTACTTCGTTTCCTTAGGCTGGGAGCCAGTCAGGAATTTCAAAGAATATCAAGTTTCTTTTTTTGGTTAGCAGCTGGGGGCCCCCCTCCTCGTTTTCATCAAAGCCATCAAGGCTACCAAGGTGTTTGCTAAGGTGATAAGGCTGACTACGAGCCACTGAGGTTAGTAATATATTGTCATGATACTCATATAAATTATTCAAATGCATTCGAGAAGGTAAATAAATCTACCAGCACAAGAAGCACTACCTAGAATTTCATCACCATACTTGGCGTAATAATCATAAAAAAAAACGCTTAACTCCAGATTAGTAAACTTACCAAGAGACTCATATTTCAGGCATTCAACTAGATGTTTTGATACCACCATGCCATCAGTTTAGCCGCCCATTTCCAATTTGGTAGATGACAAATAATCAGCAAACTCCACTCGGTTGTTGAATTCAAAGACGAGATAATCACCAATCAGCCCATCTCTAATGATCCTTTTGGACTCTCTCATCTAGTTTCCCAACTGCCCTTAGTCACCCTTGAAGTGCTTAGTTACTCACCCTTAACATGTGAGGGATGAAAAATATGTTTTTGGATCCCATGCTCGATCTGACAGATAACCCCATGACGAGCTGGAGCTGCTTGTAAGAAAACAGGGCATTCCTCCACAAGCACGAAGGCTGGTATTCAAAGTCCCAAAATCTATATATTATATATAAATTGTTGATAATACTACCTCGTTCAATTGCAGCTCTTGATTGAAATAAGCATGAAAATACACACAAGAGCACGAAAAAAGGTAGGTCCAAGAGGATTTTGGGACTTAGCATTTAGATTCAATGGTGGATAATGATGAATGGTTTCTAAAGGAGGCAAGTAGATAAATGATTGTCGCATGACTTCGTCCTTCCAGAATCAAGATAACTAAAATCAATAGCGAAAATGTCCGATGTATCCAAATGTATTATGAAAAGTCAAACTTGCAAACCTAGTGAGAAAATACCTGCCAGTAAAAATTCACCAGAAGGATGGAATGACACAGACCTCACATTGTGGGTATCCTGCTTGAATTGAGTGAAAGTTAAAGAAACGCCATCAAGTAGAAAGAAACAAATTCTATCACTGGCAGTAAGTAACAGGTGCTTGCATAACCTGAATAACTCTAAAAGCTCTCCTTGCAACTGTTTTGGAAAAATCAAAGAACCTGAAAAGCATAGAAAATTAAAAATTATCTCTCTTTTCAATTACTTATTGCAGACCATCATATACCAGAATTTCTAAGAATTCCTTCTTTTTTATCTAACACGGGTCAACTTGTCACACGAGGAGACAAACAGAGAAAATATCAGACAAAATACGGCACAGAGGTGGGCATCTTTTGACTAGGCTAGTAAATATCCAGCATGTGAGAACTCATTCAATCGTACCAGGTTATGTCAAAAAACAATGCAGCATGCGCAATAGTGTGAAATAATGTGTTCACAGACATTATTACAAGCTTAGTAAAATTTCTTGCTCCAGAGAGAAGTCTACAGCACAATTCAAAGCTTATCCTTCTCAACTCAGAATTCCAAAATAATAATATGTCAGGTATATACGACTCGATTTCATTTAGAGGTCCCAATCTGGTTCAATTCTATGATGCTAGGGATCAGAGTCTCATCTGCAGGGAGAGATCAATAGGCTCCCCAACAATAAAGTCTTCTGACATGATGCGAGGGTTTGGCGTGATTTATGTGTATTCTCACGTGATTTGGCCAATCATGAAATTTGATGTGAGAATGTATTTACCTGACCATTGGGTACGAGAATGGAAATGAAAAACACCATAAATGCTTCTTTGAAGATGGAGATTTAGTTTTTATAAATGAAACAATGAAGATGAAAGACCTAATGAGGATCTATGACATGCATATTGATATGGCAACAACAGGAATATTCTTCAACAGTAACTTGAAAAAAATACTTTTGTGAAAAGCCGCTGTGATGATAATAAAACCTTGTTAAGGATATTGGGCGATCCAACTCAAATCAATTGGTGATAACAGGATAAAGCTTATCTTTTCGACAACAAGCTTACCTGTATGTTAACTAATGCGAGAGTTGTTCTAGCAAGCTCAGTCATATGCAGAGCAACATTGAGCTTTGCCAGCTCTAGAATGCTGATATCACGTTAAATTTCTTTGGCTATCCAGTATGAAGTCAGTAGGCTATGGGTGAATTTGGATTGTCTTTGAGACCACAAATTTGCTTTTATACTAACCAAAATATGAGACCAACCTAACAATTCACAAGACTAATTGTCAAAGTATGACAATAATGCACAAGAGAACGATTCAACTACCCTTTTAAGTATCAGTTCCAATGAATAACTTCCGCGGAAGGATGAGTGATATCAAGAATTCTAGAGCTGCCCAAATCCTAGGTTTATGCAGAGGATTTCAGACCATGACCTCCATTGCCCTAGGTTTAAGGGAGCTTATGACGTCAAAATTACAATCTAGAAAGCGCTGGTGAGAATCAGAACATTTGCATGTAAAATGCTTTTCTTAAAATACACTGTGATCATTATTATTTATTTATTTATTATCACACACGACTACCAAACTGATAGAAAAAGTAAATAAAGTTTCATAAAGACACGAGTTGAGAGCTTTTGTAACATGGAGAGTGAAAGATGAGACAAGCTTCAAAAATAATATGATTACAGAACTAGCACTAAACTCAGAATTAGATTAATCGACCAATAAACAGAAGCAATAACTTCAAACTATTCCCCTGCCTAGGAAGGAAACTATAAAACGTTATTCATATAGTGACACATACTTGATTGTGTGATCTTTGGATCCAGATATCAGAATGTTGTTTTGAGGATGAAAATCCAGGTCATTGATAGCCTGAAAGACGCAGGGAACAATCAAATAAAGGCTGTGTAAAGAGGTGCATCTTATTTAAAAAATTGACAACATTAACTGTAATATATATCATACAAATACAAAAGCATACTTGTCCCATTAATTGAACGAGAAAAACGCCCATTAATTGACATATCAACATAATTTCCGTCATGGCATCAACATTAAATGGTTCTTACATTCAAATTTATTTAATACTTCGAATACAAACTTTAAACACAATATCATATCGAGCATTTTGTAAAAACACTTTCTACCCCGCCTTTGAACCCTGATCCAGATCAACCTTGCCATGGGATAACAAGGAAGGATTGCCAGGAGAACAATGGAGGTGCTGACATCCATGGGCAATGAAGGTAAACGACGTCATGCCTAGCATAAACTAGTGTGCTACCTGCGGCCACAAGATGCATGATCAGTACCCCAAGAAGAAATAGAGCAGTCAATGGACAAAAAGATTGAAACTGATCTCCAACCATACAAGCCTTCCATTAGGTACTTTAGTTATAGCTAATACGTACTGGTCCTTGAAATTTGAAAAATATACGCCAAGATAGCAAATTTTATGAGCAAAATTGAGAGGACACGGTATCTTAGGAAATTTTCCCTAGATGATCATCAATACTGACACTCCACGTTGGTGAAAACATAAATGCTATTTGATGGCAGGTCTCTTACTTCTGCGAAATCAGCAGACATTTGACAAAGAAAAGAGATCTTCTTTGCCGTACTGGTCTAGGATATTGAAGCGATAAAGAAAAGACAAATCCTGACATTGGTAGCACCTCAAAAAAGCCATTCCTAAAAAAGTCAGAACAGTAAATCTTACGAAAGTTTGACGAATAAAGCTACCTGAGCATGATCATAAAGAGTCCGGATAACAGGTCGGATAGGTCCATCACGAGACTCTGGAAGCATCAATTGTTTGATTTTTGAAACCTACAATAAATAAAAAGTCAAGATCAAGAACTATGCACAAACAAAGTGGGATTTCAGACGCATAGATGACCTCAAAGAGTTTGATTGATGTATCAGCACTGCCAGTTGCAACAAAACGCCCGTCAGGACTAAACCTGGAGCACCGTGCGATATTCTACAGAAATCAAAAGACTTCGTTTCAGTGTGAATCAGGAAAAGAGCAAAACAGCTGAGTAACAGAATGTGAAATTATAAAAAAAACCTGAAATTCATGAAGAACATTGAAAAGTTTTACTTATATTGCTACACCTAAAGCACAGAAGCAGCAAACTTAGTTCCAGTGAAAAAGAAAGAGAGGAAGAAATCATCGTCGGAAATTCCTGCCGCCGTATGGGGATCACTTAGGGCAATATAATTATCAATCAATCAATGACTTTACTCTAAAATTCTGTAACGTTGAATCTGGTCAAACATTGCCACGTATTTGTCAGAACCATCCAGGCCAACTTTGCACAATTTTACTGCGTTTCACTCGGTTGAACCATTGAGGAAAAACGCAAGCAAATAAGGACAGGATGATAAAGGGAGAATATGAACGATCAGAGAGAAAAAAGGCAGAGAATGAGATGGAGAGAAGGGAGAACTAAGACAGTGGATGATGAGAATCAGAAGAACAAAGATGAGGTGTAGAAGAAGCCAATGATGAAAAAAAGAAGAAGAAGCAGAACTACCAGTAGCAACAACACCTGAAGCAGAGGACAAGTTCCAACCTTTCTAAGAAAGTGTCAAGGTAGGTACATTGTTAACTGAGAAAAATCAAAACGCAAAACTAAATCCAATTTCATGTATAAGAGAATCCTCACCCTGTAAATCGGGAAATTGACATTTTCTTTTGAGTATTTAGCAGTCACACACAAAATCTAGTTTCTAGCGCCTAATTCAGATTTTTTGCTTCTATCCATTCTAATATCATGACCAGTACTGGCAAGTTGCACCCTATCTTCCCCTCTTCTCATCCTTCTTCCAATACCCAATTACAACAATCGGGGATAACAGTATGAACCTGAGCAAGGCAAGCCACATATAATCGTGGCAGATGTACACATTAAACAATAAACCTAAAAGACATCTAATTGACTCAAATTTAGTTATATTTACCAACCAAATCAAAGATCCAGCTAACTTTCTGAAGGGGCCTAGTTCACTATAATTATTTCAGCTCCAGAGAAGCGAGATGATGAAATCAAAAAGCGGTTAGGAGAAGTGGGTGGTGGTACCTCAGCTCTTGCAGAGGGGATTGTCATATGAGGTTTCTCCATTGATTCTCTAGTGTGGACATGGTGGCCTCTGCTTAAATCATCGGAAGTATTGAAAGTTTTTGGCAGGTGCTGTCTAAATGTCATGCTCTCATTATCAACTATAGTTGCCCTTTATTCGGCACACAATCTTTTCTCCATGATGAAACCCAAGTTTTTCTCTCTCACGTTGGCATCCTTTCAGTTAGAATAAATCATTTGGGTATTTCCTTTTATCAAAGTCATAAGAAGGAACTTATTTTACTAGTTGAAGGTCTTGAAACAAGCTAAAATTCAGTCTTCTGTGATTTCTAAAATTAGCAGGGTATGCATTCGATTTGAGCGGAATATAAATTCAAAGACCTTCCCCACCGGATTAGGACAATGTTAAGAGAAACTACGAAAAAAATCTTAAAAAGTAAATGCTGATGGACGTTTGTTTAAGTAGATTTTCCATGTCTGTACGTGCAACTCATGTCATGAACCAATTGGACGTTTTCTAACCCTAATTATATTCCTAGTCAGACTTCAAATCTCAATTATAACCCTAATTATAGTGATTGATCAAGTATCTAAAATCTTAGTTAAATTAAAAGCTAAAAAACCTCGAGTTAAAATAATCACAGCTATGTGTCAAGTAGAGAGAATTAACAGGAGACATGAATGCCCACATGTTCGTTAGTCACCGTAATTCTCAGGCATACCAACACACTCTTCCCCAGTTTCAGGGTTTCAGCTGCAAGTTTTAAGCAACAAAACCTGTTTCCTCCTATCCAATCTCTCCAAAGTTTCTTGTTAGTGTTCTCACAATGGACAGAACCCCATTCCACTTCCCAACCAAGGAATGCCAACAATTTAATAAACTATTATTAAGGATTTTATTTAAAATCTAAAATTGTTTCTAATTACTAAGAATAGTTCTTCAAGTTGAAATTCTATGAAATTCGGATTTAAGAAATTTACATCTAATAAATAGTTTTGTCACTCAACTCCTACGTTTATTAGTATTTACATAATAGCACGATCAACTTTATGGCAAGTAAAGGTTTAGAAATTTAATGTTCAGAATTGGAGCTCGAATATTAATTTATTTATTCTTTTAACTAGAACTTAAAATTAGAAATTTCTTGCGAAGGCCAGTAATTTGAGAGACCCCAAATGATCTATATTTTCTTCTCCTAGAGAGTGATTAAATAGCGCCATCTGAACACTTCTCACATCCAAGATCTGGAGAGGTTCTCAGTCAAAATTCTCGGAATGATACAATATTTGGCATTAGTCGCACTGAGATGGGCCATATAAGCATAATCTTTTAATAGCCCCTTATGCTCTGAAATATCCTTGTTTATTATTTTCAGTAAACTAAGTTTACTCCCTATGCTAATTGTAAAAAAATGTTCAATCAAGATATGATCATTAATCCGAAGTATCAAGGCGTTGATGAAAAAGCAGAACCGTTCGCCCGACCTTATGCTCTGAAATATGTCTTGTATCATGCTTTGGAAAATTCTTGGAGGTACCCTTTGTTTCCTGCACAGCACTGGTTTTCATAATAATGTGGTTAGCAGCTCAGCAAAAACAAGGAAAGGGTGATAAGAAAGGGAAGCTCAAGTAGCAACCATTATCCAGGAGCGAGGAAAAAAATCAAAAGAATACTAAAATAGACAAAAAATAAATCCACAAAGTAAGGTAAGTTCATTTTTTGGACAAATTAAACCTGTATAAAAGATATACAGCTAATTATATATCTAAAGGGAAATCCTCAATTTGGAGTCTCTAATACAGAGCATGAATTTAATGCCACACAGTGAAATGAGTAACATGACCTGAAACCATATTGGAAAAATCACACTTCCATGGCCTTTTACTGAAACAGCTTGACACTTGGAATCAACTTACATTTCTTAATTTTCCTTTTCACCACTGTGAGCTTGTAGGCTCAACCTTAATTTGTTACAGCACCATATTGCCTAGGTACCCAGAACGCCTCAACCCCTTACAAACCCTTGTTGCCCGACCAATTCCTGGAATAGAGCTCAGAAACTGTAGGCTCAAAGAGTAGTAGTAGGGCTCTTCCATATCTTTCTTCATTTTCTATTACCACTGCCATATACATTCTCTCTGGAAGTTGGTTTTCTTTCTTTCTCCAGCTCTCCACAATTCGTCTTTGGAAACCCAGTCATCAGTCGTACACGCCCATTCCTCAATTAAAACAGGGAAGCAGACAATGTGTTTCCCTGATCCCTGTGGATCATGTTGCGCATAGCAACATGAACAGATAAAGACCTCGCTCATGAAAATAGACAGAGGGTGCCTTTTCTGTCGTTCTGCAATTGGTGTGTGATAATTGTGTGAAGACAATGCATGCGTGTGTCATTTGAGCATGCATTGTCTTTAGAACAGAGTTCAGACAGAACTGGTCACAGTAGACATGCATATGTCATTTGAGGATGTGTATAATGAGCGCGAATATAAATTGAGCAAGCTTAGGAATTTCCTCGAATAATCATTAAAGTTATAAGAATTATAAATTTTCTGGACATAAATTTTGTTGAATCTCGATCTCCTTATTTTCCTTTGTTGGCATCAATGCATATGATCCAGATTCTTAAAGGAATAGTGGCAATCTGTTGTGACACTAAATTTCTTAGAATAGCCTTACACCTATGATAATCCACAAATCGAGGAGCAATAGGTTGAAACCAACGAGAATAAGTCACCTGAAATCGACAGCGCCAGAGGCAGCAGGCGCTGAACGGTGCTTGCCAGACGCCGCTGATAGAGCGTCTAACAGAGAGCCAGACTGAACTCCCCTAGATGCATCGTCTCTCTCCACTGCAAGACCCTGCAGTCACCTCAGCACCCAGAAGTGGAAAAGCCGGAAGGAAACCTTTCACCCTGCCTAGATTATGAAAAAGATGACGACGATGACTGTGAAGGCAAATAAAATGAAAACCTTTGCAACAAGATCAACAAGTCTGTTAGGAAGAGCTTCAGCGCTGCTCAACGGTGTCATCGTCGCCGAAGCCACTGAAGCAGCAGCCTGCGAGAGAGAGAGAGAGAGAGAGAGAGAGAGAGAGAGAGAGAGAGAGAGGGATAAACGTTCCACGACACCAAAACCAAGGCAACCCAGATGGAGGAAACATCCGAAAGTGGAAAGAGAAGCCTACGTGGTGGTGATTGTGCTCACGGAGGTGGGCAACGATCAGCGCGTCAATCTGGCGCAGGAGCTTCCCTTCTTGAAGGGCCTGATCTAAGCTCGAGTCCATTGCAGGTCTCCGAGCTCCCTCACAGACGACGGCTCACCGCAGCTTGAAGATGTCAAAATCTGATCATAAAAATCCAATCTTTCTGGGCCTCTGAGGCGACGAAATTTTCTTCAATCGTCGCAGCTCTCCAAAACGGAAACAAATTAGCGTGAATTAATCAGGAAATGGAGTCGCGGATCCCCATACCTCGAGTAAAGCAAGGTCTTGCTTGCCACCGGCACACTAAAAACCCTGGTTACTGAATGCGCATTGCTTCGGCGTCTCCGGCCTCATAAACCCTCAACGCGCCACCGATTCCGTTCCTCGTATGCGCCTGCCCGAGTGAAAAGAAGCACGAAGTAGCAGAGCAATTCCCACCTCGGCTGTACCTCCTCCCTCTGATGAGTTCAGTATCGGTCAACGGCTCTACCGTTGTCGGGTTCTTCGATGTATTAGCTCTACATCCGATATATCTCTTCTTATATGCTCAAAACCATACTGCTACTCATAGATCTCTGAAATATTGCTGATACTATATTATCCCTTGATGGCGATTAAATCTGTAAAATATCAATTTATTACTATACATTTCACTAAATATATTTTTTAAAAAATTATCCACTGAAACAACAAAACCCAAGCAAGTAAATTAATATATGCGTTTTAAATACGTTAATCATATTTTTTTCTATATATAAAAAAATATGTCCGAAAAATAAACCTCACAACTGAGACTTTAAAAGAGATGATTACATATAATGATTTATGGGAGTAATTTTTCTGCAATCGACAGCTCCCCAATATTTGTCCAAAAAAATTACAACGAAATAATATATGATCCACCACGTAATTCAAGGATAGATGATGAATAAAAAAAATAATGGGTCATTACAAAAATACATTCTTTTTTATTCGAAGGTCAGCGGAATAAGATCCCCACGGAAAAAAAAAGGGGGGCTTGTGCAGTAATGTTCTCCATTTAGAGTGCTTTCCACAGGGCCACAGATGTCATCAGAGTGAACAAACGACTAACAAAGAAAGCTGCTTCCGCTTCTCCTGTCAGCTAGTGAGACTGATGACGTCAGACGGCATCGTCCTTAGAACATGAGCGCTCTGCCAAGACAAAGATAAGAGCTAGTGAGACTGAGGTTGACCTTACAGAACTTCACATTCGCAGAGAAGTACACAGATTGAAAAAAAGTACATAGTGGAAAAAGTCAAAGTCATGGATACATGCAAGAACAGGAATACATCCAAATTTAGAATAAATCCGACTACTCCATTCCTTTTTTAGCTCCTTTCCATAGTGAGATGGGTGTGCTATAACTTTTTGAATATGTGGTTCCACATCTGGGTTGAGTGAAGGTCAACCTCGTGCCAAGAATTTTTTCAACAAAGAGATAAGTCACTACGAATTCCTACAAACACATCCTTTTCAGAACGTTTAGGTCAGTGTTAATGATTGGTGAAAGCTGTCTCCTCATAGTTTGCCATTATAATAAGCTGGATGTCCGGAAGTCAACATAGGAATGCTACTTAATATAGTTAAAAAAAAAGATACAAATGCAGTAGACATCGAGCTTTTATTTTTTGGCGACGAATACACATGTCATAAAGAAATATAGTCATTTGCCTCGCCTTTATAACTGTTCATAGTGAAACAAAGAAATTTCTGTTAGAAAGCAAATACTCTCGTCACCAACGAAGGAGAATTTATTTTTTGGCTTCCCATATACAAAATTAATGTCAAAACATCCTCGTGTATGTTAATATATAACAGCGTTTAAATTAGTGACGGACGGTTAATTTATTTTCCAAGCACAATGCACGCAGTTTCATCAGTGAGAATGAGGGTCGTACGCAATCGTTACAAGCAAATATAAATGACTGCACTCTAAATCGCTTATAGAGGAGAGTTCACAGCAATGGAAGCCTGCACTTACTCAGATATTCGTAGGCCAATATCATTGAAGTGCCCCATGTAGACATGCTGACAAAACGTGGGCCCAAGCCTCTATAAAACCCTTTCCATCCATCCTCCGAAATCAGTCTTTTGACAGTATCTCTTACACTTTCTCGATTTCTGCTCTCCATTACCTACAGTCAAAGAAGTTATCGTGAATAAACAACTAATACAGATTTTTAATTTAAATAAACAAGATCAGTGATCAGTTCTTCGTCAGAAAAAAAGTTTCAATTCCAACAAGCATCATGCACAAACATAATTCAAATCACAAAACAGTCTCCAGAAGACTGAATCTAAATCATAGGAATTGACTCCAACAGGTCAGATTGATACGAATGGTAGAATACCTGAGGAAGATCAAAAATGATTCAATTACTCAATTAGGACTTCAAAAGTTAGAACTGACTCCTTTTGGATGTTCTTTACAAAAAAGGCCCAATGAAACCTGTCTATACATGTAGGAGAAAATTTTTACAGACAAGGAAAATTTAGCTGGAGATAATCTAAACTCTGTAGTAGCGTAGGAAAAACATCTTAACATAAGCTGCTCTCCTTTTCTCAGCATCATATTAGCTGTTGACGTAACAGATAACTACTGGGTATTGCAGAACAAGACTTATCGAAACTGTAATTTTCACTGTTTATTTATAGAGGTATCGCAAGGTCTGTCAGCAATGATGAATACGGTAATCGAAAGAGATGCAGCACCCAAAGTATGATCTGAGAGGTTGAGCAGTAAACATCTTCTTATTGACTTTCCAGTCGTTTAGAGTGTAGAGAAAGACTGCATTTACACCATTCACGAAACAAAGACAACATATGATAACAAGATTACTTGGTCATTAAAAAAAGAGGTTGTGTATCACCTGCAATCGAGTCTTTATAGTGTCCAAGGGAGTTGTAATGCAGGAAGCCGTTGCACCGGCAATTAGTCCTCCGGCACCTTGCACAGCAGTTACCGTCCATTGGCTAGGACGGTATGATGCTTGGTCATTACCATGGCCCAAGAGGCTGTCCAAGGAACCAAGAAACTAACTAAGAAATATTAACAAAAACTGAAAGATTGAAATCATAAAAACACTTAAAACCGTAAACAGAAGAACAACATCACTAAAAACTCATCCTGTTAATTTCCTAGAAAAATGTCAGTTTACAAGCCTAAATGGACAATAAGATAAAGATCTGAAAAATAGTCCAAAACATACAATGTAAAGAAAAACCAAAGATGGTTCCCAGAAATCGCTTGAGGTGTCAGCTGAAGAAGAACTCCAAAATATGATGAAATTAACACTGCCACACAGGACACTCTTAGTGAATAATATATTACCTCCAAATTATTCGTTGACTTGAGCCATAGCTTGCCCACCACACAGCACTAGATGGAGAATACACCAAGACTGATAACCCAAACCCTCTATACAAGCCTCGAATTCCATCAGCCTTCACAACCTTACGAACAACATCTAGCCCGCCGCTGTAGCTTGCATAGCCAGAGTAACCTTGGACCATCAACTTTTGGCTGACCTAATGAATGTTTATCATGATCAGAAACAAAATATTCAAATCAAATCAAGGTGATCTGTGCAGAGAACTTGCCATCGACCACGATGGATGGCAAGCAACTAAAAAATCAAACTGAATTACACCAAATTAAGATGACGCATGTAGAAAATCTGACACCAACTACAGTAGGTGCCACCATAAACCATCAAGCGACAACAGTCAAAATGAATTGTGAGACAAGAAATTGATATATGAGAGATGAATTATGATTCTTTTTCTATTCTAGGGACTTTATTTTATATCATGAATGTGGACATACTTTTCCTTTGGTTAAGAGTTAAATGCCCTTTTGTACTCACTAAAGTGACAGTGTCCGAAGCTCACTTCTCTTTTTAACTTTGAAATACGAAAATATAGATTGATTTGTCAATCCTTTCTCGTTTACTTGCATCAACAAATCAGTATTCCTTGTTACATAAGATAGGAATTGATTTGAAACATTCCAAGAATGACATATAATCACATTTTCAAAATTGCTGAGATCGTTGATCCTATTCTCAGTTTGATAATGATACGATGGAATCACACAGACATTATGCAAATGTCTCTTGGAGGCAAAAACGACAGCAGAAATGTATGTCCATTTACGAAGTATTCCCTCCTTTCTAGATTGAACTAGATATGCAATAGAACTTGTAAACTATTTGATCCACTGAACCATCTATTTGGTGAAAATATGTTTACATGAGGCAGCTGTTTGCAGGTCGATCAAAGGCATAATCATCAACACTTCACTTTCAATTTTCAGATGTATACTTCAAGATTTTTGACTTGTCAACATACGGTTCTTTCTTTTCAAAGTTAAACAAAGTCTGTTTGATCTAACTTTGATATATATATATATATATATATATATATATATAGATATATGTATAGTTGCTCAATATAGCTGCCATATGTAAAGGAAATGATAGCTTATTGACTAAAACTTGAACTGCACGCATACTTTTTAATATTGCCTACATATTAGTAGACTTGTGAGATGTATTCAGTGCTGCATGAACCTCTCACATTTCAGTTATTTAATGGTGGACTAAATAGAGGTAGTGAGGGACCAGCGCATCATCTTGCCATCTTACTCTACCATATTTCTCAGGGAGCTCGTTTCCTAACTTCCTTTAAAGGAGAAAGAGCAAGATGATGCTTAAATCGGAACATCGAGAATCTCCGTGGGTTCAGAACCTCATTCACAGCATCTATTGTTTAGGAAAAAACAAAGACAAATGAGCAACGACTACTGGTTAAAGACCTAATAAAAAATAACACAGTGCATGCACGCAATAAAATGGTGTCTTTTTAATTTTTTTCACACAAAATTTAAGGCAAACGTTGGCAAAATATTTTTCTAAGCATTAGAAGAATTTAACTGTTGACTTACTTTCGAGCGCTTGAGATAGAGACAACTTAAAAAATATCATGACCAGTAGATAAATCCAGTTATTTCCTTACCACATCGATGGGTACAAATACAGCCTGTGAAAGAAGAGATGCTGTCATGCCACCTGCACCATTTGCTATTGCTGCCTGAATTGGGTCTGAGAGCTTGAACGGTTCAATTAACTTGAAGGAAGCAGCTTTTGTGGTCTCTAGAGAAGTGAGGAAAATGATCCTCGCAGGAATGGCGCCAGTGATGACAGTACCAAAGCCTCTATACAGACCAGGGACACCATCTGTTTTCAGAATATTTTTGATAATTGAAACGGCACTCTTCTCTGCAACCTCTTTTGAGACGACCTGCATCCTTGTCTTTACAACAGAAATGGGATAGAGTGCAACAGTAACTCCAGTGAAAAGGCCAGCTCCCACGACATAAAATTTGGTTTTATCAAGCCTGAAAAAGAAAGGGAATGTTTAAGGGAAAAAATGATCACCAGCATTCCATAATCAACTCTCTCTCTCTCTCTTTCTCTCTCTTTCTCTCTCTTTCTCTCTCTCTGTGCCTCTTCAGAAGTAAGTGTTATAATTGGGTAGCTGGTGTGTGCGCGTGCGCGTGTGTTTGTTTGTGCATGACTTCAATTTTCTAATGTCAGTGATAGCATCATTGTCAACTATCAACACAGTCGCACATTTATCTAACCAAGATTTGGTGACGATGTTAATAAGTAAAAACCTAAAGGGGAGAGAAAATCACTCCATGAGATGGCGAAATTTCTAACTCTTTGTCAATGTTACGAAGGTGAAATGAGAAATACAAATTATTAGAAAGAGAAGTTGGAAATATGACTTCGTTAGAATGACAAACACATGAATATATTTAATCACTGGAAGACAAAACACAGAGTACGAATTATTAGAAGTACAACAGTAGTTAGTCCACCTATGAAATGCCAAAAAAGGATCTACCAAATCGGAAAATACCACATGTTATTATTGCAACAGAGAGAACAACAAAGTCATGAAGGATTTTCAGTATCAACACAGATAGACGAACAAGGGTAATCCAAAAATCTCTACTCCTACATTTGATCATTTTGATTGTCTTAGACGGACAAGGGTAGACAAGATAACAGAGAATAAATGACAACAAGCACCCCGGTAACAAGATTGGAGAACCAATACAGAATCAGGGAACATTGAAAGACATGTTATCAGACGCGAAATGGCATACGATGAATGCATAGGCATATGCGACCGAGCGAGCGAGAGAGAGAGAGAGAGAGAGAGAGAGAGAGAGAGAGAGAGAGAGAGAGAGAGAGAGAGGATTCCATACTTGTCCCAGTTAATCTCGGTCTGGCCGAACGATCCGACCCCCGCCTGAACGGAGCTCATACCCTTTCTTGGAAGATCCCAAACAGGCGGATGGCCAATCCAGAAACACGCTCCCCACAGCTCCCAATCGCCCTCGTGATTCCAACCCCCCACCCCCCCACCCCCCCTGTTCCTCCCAAAGATCACCCACGAACAGATCGTTGGCGAATCCAGAAAAACGACACAAGCAGCCGCCGGCACAGCTTCCAATTTCCCTTCTACCAGTCTAGCACGAGGAATGCGAGGAGAAAACCTCCCCCCCCCCTCCCTCCTCCCCCACCGACCTTCAACGTTGGCCTGCGGCAGAAGGAATTGTGGAGGAAAACGGGGAGGTAGACTTCTCCCTCCTGCGACCCGAGCACGAACGTTCTCGTAGGCGCCGACCTTTTCCATCACCTGCTCTGGTCCTTATTGCCACGGATCGGTACGTCCTCAGAAAGCCATGTTTTCGCCACGCAACCAACCTTTGTCACCATAGCCCTAGAATGTACAACATGTGCATATCGATATGTACCAACTGTGAAGAGTTCGCAGCTCGCACGATCACTCCCAGAACTGCCAACGTCTTTTGTGGCCTGTTAGGACACGGGTGTCCCCCCTCCCAAATATTGGGCCTTCAGCCGTCATGAGGCCCATTATGACCAGATACCCCCAGCCCATTTCGCGCGCGGTGGGGGCCCAATCCTATACGCCTTCTGTCTCCCCTGTGATGTGACGTGAAGGAGAGAGAGACAGAAATAAAGAGAGAGAGAGAGAGAGAGAATTCTCTGTTAGGAATATGGCTGGCGGAGGCGACAGTTGGGCGTCTTCAAGGCTAGGAGAGAGAACGGACCGGAAGAGACTAGCCATGGCCTGGTTACTGTAGGGAGCTTCATTATTGCGTGGGGGGTCGGGGGAGGATAGCCGACGAGCGGACGGCCAATCGGCCCAGAAGCGGCGGCGGCGGCGGCGGAGCTCCGGCGGTTGGAAGCTCCGGAAAGGGCGAGAAACAGCGACGGGGGGAAGAAGATAGGACAAACCAGTCGCTCTCATGCACAGGAGCTCGACGCCGTGGTGGGTCAGCGGCTGCCGATACCGCGTCTGAGGAGGGCCGTGGAGAATCCTCTCTCAGCTTCCAGAGCGAGAAGCACCTGGAACGGGTGCTTTTCCTAATCAGGGCACGGAAGCTTGGAAGAGAGAGGGAGAAGGTCAACTCTCAGACCGGAGGCGTTTCACATGCAATCTATTCATGGAGAGGAAGAAGAGGAGATGGGAAGGAATAATGGGCGAATCTCCGAGCGGGAGGGGGAAGATCCCTGGCGAAGACGTCACGCGCACAGATGAACGTGCTTTCCACGACATCCCCTATCCATTCCTGCTTTCAGACGTAGAATCTCGGAAAAACTCTGGAGCAGACGGGAATAAAAAACTTGCCCATCTAGCGATCGGTGACGAAGGCCGGCTTTTGAGGGGTCGGATGGATTGGGGAGCAGGAGGTGGCGAGCGGAAGAAATCCAGAGTCAGGATTAGTTTAGTCGTGTGATCGGAAGCAGGGGGAAGCTGATGGAGACGGACGACGTGGAAGGTCCCTTCTCTTGGTGCCTGGGTGGAAGACGAAGGAACAGTGCCCTTGAATATAATACGGTCGGGTAGCGTACTCTCAAGCCTCTGGTGACGCCAGCTGATTCGTCCATCTGTCGGCGATTCATTTGGACATCTCTCTCTCTCTGTCGCTCTCTTTTTTTGTCTTTCTCTCTCTATGCGCCCCTTCTCTCCCAGAGTGAGAAAGAGTGAGAGCTCGGAAAGAAACAGATGGGCATTCTCCTTGCTATCTCCTGTTCTTTATTCCGACCCGTGTCCAATAAAAGCGGGGGAGGAGCGCAGGCAAGGGCGAGAGACAGAGGGGAGGGAGAGGGGGCTCTGAAGGAAGGGAATTCTGCGAAGGACGGAGAGGAGAGAGACCTGGCGGGTGGAGAAGGTGGGCGGGTCTTTTCATTTCTCAGCGTTGTGGTGTTGATCCTTTTCTTCATTTCGCCTGTTCTCTCTCGGTGGCTCAACTCTTCGGGAGCAGGAGGGAGGAGGGGAGTATGCAGCATTCCATCTCCTTTGCTACCTCTTTTCCCTCTTTTTCTGTTGAAGGAGTCGACGGAGGAGAGGTCTGGATTTCCCTCGTTTTCCCGCATTCATCCCCCTCCTCGCTCTGCTCCTCCCTTTCTTCCCTCTCTTCAGGCTCCTCCACCCCTTCTCTGTCTGTCTGTCTGTCTGTCTGTCTGTCTGTCTGTCTGTCTGTTTGTCTCTCTCTCTCTCTCTCTCTCGCTCGCTCTCTTTCTGCATGTTCTGCCTGGGGGAATCCATGGTTCTCGAAGTGGGTTTTCCTCGAATCCTCTCTTTCTCGATGCCTTCTTAAGAATCATCCGAATTTCCGCGGTTGGAGAGGTCCTGGCAGAGTTTCTTCCTTCTGCTGTTCGCTGTGCTCGAGACCTTGGAGAGTCCTGGGGATGGACCCTGCTTCTCTTATAGAGAAGAACCACCCCTTTTTTCCCTTGATTATCCCAGAAAAACAGCTCGTGAGGAATTCCCCCTCCAGGTTCTTCTTCCTTGTTCGGCTTTCTTTTTTCTTCTTCTAATATTCCCGGTAAAACAGACCTTGGAGAGTGCACCTACCTTACCAGGCTATGGCGTTCTAGCTATTTCTTCCCACTGAGGCAATCCATCTGATCAAGAACCCACAAAAAAATGTGGGTTCACGTCAACAATGTCGATCGAGAGTTAGGATTCTCTGTTCGAGTCGCTTTCTTTGACTCTGCAGAGGCATTGGTATCTGGTCGCAGATTCTTCGCTCTATATCTATCTGCTCCCTTTTTCTCTCTGGGAAATGAAAAATATGAGAGATGGATTTTACTTCTCACGATTATTTCGAGCATCAAGTTATATAATTCCATTATTTCCAAAGAAATAAACCATTTAGTTTTCCGTAATAATCTCCTACTTTTTAAATGAGTTGACTTTTGTTAGGATTAGCCGTCGTCCACTAGGCCGACTGATTAAAAATTTTGTAAGCTTAAGAACACGGCCCGCATATTGTTTTTAACTCACTATCGGCATTGATGGGAAGAAAGATTTGGTTCATTTCTAAGTTTTCTACCCTATTTAACAAAAGATCTTCCATTTTCTCTCGCCAGGATGCCTTTGACTTTCTCTGAGCGGCCAAAGATTGCAGCTTCCAGTGGGCCTGATGGAAGGGGGGAACTGAAGATTTATGAGAATCTGGATGATCTCGCCACGGATTTTGCCGACTACGTCGCACAATTATCAGAATTATCTGTGAAGGAAAGGGGTGTATTTTCCGTCGCTCTCTCTGGAGGATCCATCATCAGCTTGATGCGGTGGGCGTTTCTTTACTTTATTTAATTTCCTAAATTATAGTTGACTTGAGACATTCTGTGGAGCAGGAAGCTCTGCGAAGCTCCTTACAACAGAACCGTTGACTGGACAAAGTGGTATGTCTTCTGGGCCGACGAGAGAGTGGTCGCCAAGAATCATGCGGACAGCAACTACAAGCTCGCAAAAGATGGGATTCTATCCAAGGTATGAAAATTTGGTCAACCCCAAATGCCAAGATCTGTTTACATATCGGCCGAGCTCCTGAAAATGGGGCAGAAGAATTATTAAGCTTGTCGTTTCTGCCATTATATCATTGATTTCCGCATTTATTGGGCAGCAAGATGATAGAAATTGGTTCATCCCTTGTAGTGAAGACGACTGTGATTGACTTTTAGCATTACATAGATTTACTTACTAACAGTAGGATCACGCATACATTGGGACTTTTGTGAAAGTCAGCGCTGACCCGGCAGAATTTTTCTGCTGTCCGATGTCTTGAAGAATCTATAACTTCGAATCACTTTATTTATTTTTATTTTTTTTCCCCTAACCAAGGCATGAAAAATCTTTCCCCAGCATGTTCCTCAAAATGGCCTCGCCCAAGTTGTTACATCGTCTGAATTTATACTGTACAGAAATGTCAAACGGATAAATCGAAGTCAAACCAGGTTTCTTCTTTGGAGGTTAATCCAGTGTCCCCGATGAATTCAACCCTACGACATGAATTGGAAGTGCCCATTTATCTAGTCAAACAAATTCTGAGCGCCTTTCTTCGCATCATCTGATCGATTGGGTTGACTTTTGAAGCATAGAACTCTGACACGCGGGTAAAAAAATTTAAAAAAATCCCAGGTACCGGTGCTCTCCAGCCATGTGCACTCCATCAACGACAACCTATCGGCAGAGGAAGCGGCCGAGGGCTATGAATTCATCCTCCGCCAGCTTGTGAAGAGCCGTACGGTGGACGTCCTGGAGAGCAGAGACTGCCCGAAGTTTGACCTCATCATCCTCGGCATGGGCCCAGACGGACACGTGGCCTCCCTCTTCCCGGGTCATCCAGCAGTTGACCAGAGGGAGGACTGGGTCACCTACATCACCGACTCCCCCAAGGCCCCACCGGAGAGGATCACCTTCACACTGCCGGTGATCAACTCCGCCGCTAATGTGGCCATCGTGGTCACCGGCGAGGCCAAGGCCACGGCGGTGCACCGAGCCATAGACGCCGCCCCAGAGGAGCTAGAAGCCGCCGCAATTCCGGCCCGGATGGTCCAGCCGACAGACGGGAAATTGGTGTGGTTCTTGGATCGATCCGCCGCCTCGAAGCTCCATTGCGTGCCATTTGAGGGGGATTTTTGTGCCTAGAGCAGCTACTATTTATGGGACGGAGATTGTGAAGGGTGGTCTCCGGGACTGAGGACCTGACCTCTTTTTGGCTTGCTGGGTTCTTCCCCTTTCCTTATAAGAAGGATGTAAAGAGAGGAGCATCAACCTGGCGGAAATCTGCTTGTATCTGTTTGTATTCAATCAGAATCCCACCGGAGACTGAGCTCATATAATCTCTGCGTGGCCCATCTTGCGAAAATAATGTCCTCTGCGTAAGCTCTGAAGAAGAAGAAGAAGAAGAAGAAGAAGAGGGGTGGTGGGTCGAAGAAAGCTACCATTTTTAAAACCAATAACCTATATAGTTCTCTCGGCGAGGACAAAATTTGGAATCAGATAGAGGAAAGGAGGAAGAGGGGTGAAATTATTGAGAAGGCGAATCAATCGGCGAAGGAACCCACTGTGCGGAACTCCTTCTCGGAGATGGATCTCACCCCGTTTTCGTCGGGCACGCCTTCGAACCCTTCCTTGGGGGGGAACCCGTAAACCCGTGAGGCCGTCCACTGATCGATGACCCCGCAGGTGATGGCATACTTGGTCACGTGCTCTAGATAGCCCTTGTCCGTCGCCAGATGCGGCTGAACCGAAAGCATCCTCATGAGAGCTGAAACCAGACCAAAACCATGATCAACGCCGATATACAGGAGCTAAAGCCTTGGCGGGCCGCGCCAGTCGATCATGGCTGATTTAGACCACCAGAGAGGCTTACCGGCTACAATGGCGTCCCCTGATGCGGACATATCGCCGGTGAAGGGTGTGATCGGCGCGTCCTCCATGCCTCGCACCCAGCCCTCGTCCTTCTCGGTGTAGTAGTGTATTTTTGAGGTCCCATTGGTCACGAAGAGCACCTTGAGGTTTTCGTGCCACAACGACTTCACTGCTTCATATTTGTGGTGGGCAAACTTGGACTTTGCGTTGTTTTTGGTGTCGAATTCTTCGACTGGCTCGATCCCGCAGAGGAACTCGAGTTCCTGCTTTGTGAGCTCGGCGATGTCGGCACATTCCCAGGCTTCCTTGATGAACGCCTTGGTCTCCTCGTTGGACTGCCACAGCGGCAGAGGGAGGTTCAAGTCAAAGAAGATGACCCCTCCGAGCTTCTTTGAGGCCTTGACGGCCCGCATTGCTGTCCTCCTCAGGTTCTCGTTGAGCAGAGATGAGGAATTGAAGTAGAACATCTTTGCCTGAACGAGAAAGAAACAGGATTCAGCCATGAACTAGTAGAAACAGATACAATTATCTAAATAAGGGTAGAAAAAAATTACCTCCTTCAGCACATCGACGTTGACCTCGGAACTCAGGAAGCTATCCTCAGCACAGGGCTTGGTACAAGTCGTTTTCAGGCCGCCCCTCCTGGCGAGCTTCATTCGGGACACGGCTGTAGGCTTCGAGGCATCAATCTTGATCGAGCGAGTTTGGACTTGGTTGGCATTAAGATGATAGAGCACGGTTTGACCATACTCATCGTCGCCAAGCTTCCCCATGAATTCAACACGACCACCCAAGCTTGCAAGGGCGAGAGCCACACCAGACGCTGAGCTCCCAGGGGATCTCACAAACTTATCTGGGGACCAGAACATATCCCTCTTCGTCTCATGGATATCATGGTCTATCAGCCTGTTTGCTGGCCGCCCAGAGGGTATGAATCCATGTTGGGCAGCTCCAAAGCAGCAGACTAATGGCGGCCAGGCACAGGTAAAGCTAGAGTCCTCTCCCTCATCTTGTGTGAGAAGCAGATCCTCTTCGTCCTCAGCCAAGGGGGGCTGTTGAGGCAGCTCAATACTGGCCTGGCCCTTAGCAGTGATTTCATCATCCGCACTCTCCACCTTCTTCTTCGTCCTCCTCCGGCCTACTTTCTTCTCTGTTTTATCCGTCTCCGAAGCAGCTACGACTCTCTCAGCTTCAGCCTCCAAGGTCTCACCATCGGAGCTAGGTGCGCTGGCTGTCACTGCTAGATCATCACACCAGAAAATTCAGGCATTGTTCTTCAGAATCAGCGTTGGTTATGGAATGAAGCTTAGAGAAAAGGACGATTTTGGTAAAGTTTTTCACCTTTCTTTCGGCCTTTCCTTGAGATCTTCTTAGGAAGTTCAGCGGGTGCGTCTGGCAGGTCGCCGCCCTCTTCATCTTTTGTAGCCAGTGATGTTACCGCATCATCATCAGGAGTCTTGACGGGTGTTTTCTTCTTGCTGCGCGTGGAAGGCCGTCTAGAGACTTTCGGAACATCTTCTGGGGCCAAATCATCCTCAGATGATGAGTCTTTTGCATCAAACTGCGAAGGTTTTTTCTTGGAAACTGCCCTTATGCAGCAATGGTGAAACCTGGTGTCTCTGAGTTGTAGAACACTCGGCAAAGAAAAAGTTGACCAATATTTTGACTGCTCCCTGAATGATAACAGCAACCAAATAAGGAAGAAATAATTTAGTTATTTCTGAAATTATATTACTGATCTCCATTACATTTTTCAGATAATAATATGGTGGATGCTCAATGCTCATAGTTCAATGGAAATTGATTCGTCACTTAAACTGAAGCCTGATCCTGACATCTCGCATCATTTCAAGTTATCTACCGACAATATAACCACTCAACTTGACAATTCTCCAGAAGTCAACGCTGAATGTCTGTACCACCAAGATCCTAACGTTCTCTCCTCAAGTTTCTTCTTATGAGGCTTCTTCTACAACCCCTGGGCTTCTGGATGTGAAGAGGAATGCAAAAGCTACCATTTCCTCTATCTTCAGGAGGAACAACACAGGGTAATTTCGCGAAAAAAACTTCCTATTTTAGAAAAAAAAAGGTAGCCTGGAGTAGATTTCAAAGCACTGAAATTCTAATCATACCATCCCAAAAACAGCTCAAATAAAGACGGGTTCGCAGTGTTTTCAGAAAATAACATCAGGATTCATGGCTTACTAGCCCTTATTCTTCAGGCACAGTAGAGATGTGGCATGAACAGCTCAACTACAACTCGCGCACAAGCTTTAGAAATGCTGAGCGATTCAATCGTAAAATCCAGTTTCAAGGATGATACCAAAATCTTAGAAGAGAGGGAGAAACGGAAGAATTCTGACGAAGTTCGACGCATTTTAATGGAGGTAGTTCAGTAAGCATACATTAGATGGAAGCCGTAATCTCAGAAATAAAAAAGGAGATAGAGACCTGAGCAGAGGGATAGACGGCGCGAAGAAGACGGACGCCATCTTGACGAAGCTTCAGCGGACCTCCCCCGAGCTCCGGGCTCCCGAACAGTCCACACCCATTAAAGGAATCTGCCGCGTGAGAATAGTTCAGGAGAAAGTGGGAGAACCCACAGGCTACAGTTACCAGATGTGAGGACCAACACACGCAGGCAGACTGCTTCTTGGAGCTCCCTCGCCGCCGGAAGCGGCAGAAGGAAAACGGTGGGGAAGGGAGAAATCCAGAAACAAAGACGGGGGTTTTTGCCTTCAGTTCCGATATCCGGTATACCCAAGAAGGCCCCTCTCTGTGGATAAACGGCCATGGTGTGAAGGGCAGGCGCCGGAATGCCATTCTAAGAATGAGGAGAAAAATGACATGAGAAACCTTCTTCTGATGGATATACGTCCAATTATCGTGAAAAACTCAATGCAAAAAATGCGCTCCCTCATCATGAGATGCCAGAATGAATTCTGAAAACTTGTAGTAATTTCTGCATCTAGTAGGGGCAAAGTCACTGACAACTCTTATCCGCTGATTCTCCGAAACCCCTGAAAACCCCTCGGCCCAAGAACCGCAAGAATCCGGAGAACACCGGCATCTCCGGAAGGCTTCGCCCATCTCGGTAGAACTCAAAGCTTCCCTCTTTCTTTCTGCAATGCTCCCCCGACAGCTTTGGTTCTGAGCCCAGCCGCCAGCCATTTTGATCCATTTTCTATCGAAATATGTACGAGTCATCTGCACTTCTGGGGGTGATTCTGGAAGCGTTCTTCTGCCGCAGACGTTGTTTCTTCTCCCGGCTTTCTGGGCATCTGGCTGCGGCTAAGACCTGTTGCCCACTTAACTACTAAATTTCTCATGGAATGATCCGAATTTTTCTAGTTCAGATGTGCAGCAGATGATCTACGACTTCACCTTGATTTTCCTGAAGCACTTGAGAAAATGCTCCATCTAGCTTGAGAAATATTTGGGGCAAATATTTCCACTCCGAAGGGGGTTCCTCAAAATGGGTACTTTCTGAGGCTCCTAGCATCACTGGTTCACGAACAGATGGAGATTACCTTTCTTCCTCGGCGATTGTTTCCCACAAATTGGGTTATTTAATTCAGGAAAATTTGGGGGCCCTGCTGGAATCAACCCAGGATTTCTGATTAAGGCATCATTCATACTGGAGCTCTCAGATGTACGATGCAGTTCTTGCTCTCAGCAGGCTTCCACCCATTGACCTTCAGAAGAAGACCTCTTCCCATTTTATGTTTTTTAATCCTCCTCCACGGTCCTCTGGGTCCTCCAAGAAAGCTCTGCTGGACACTAAAGTCAACGTCTTGGTCAACAATATATTCTGTTGGATCCCCCCATATCTCTTCTGCCCTTCTATGATGGTAATCCCCTTCCCCTGTTCATACCTACGCTGGTCGTCCATACCAAGTAATCGTCTTAACCCATTGCCACATCTGAACAAAAACTGTCGTCAACCCTCCAAGAACTTCATCCGTTATGGGGACTCCCTAATATGGAATCATATACATAAACTGAGCTCTAAAAATGGCAATTCTGATGACACAGCCTGAAAATCGGCCTCCCTCAAGCCTAGCTTAGAGAGAGAGAGAGAGAGAGAGAGAGAGAGAGAGGAGTACTTCGTTGGTTTAAGATGGGCCTGGCCAGTGGTCGAGTGGGGGTCGACACCACAATTAGGTGGGCATTCATCAGGGGCCAACAACCGCCGGGAAACTGGCAGCCCGCCGGGTACCACGATACAATCACCGCCGGCTGGAAGGCGACCCTGATAGGTACGGACCACTGTGACACTCCCGGAACCTTTTGATCAGCAGAGTAATCCAACGACTTAAGCATTTTGGTGTATTTTTCTAATTTAACCCATCATAAAATTAGAATAAGACCTAGTCTTTATATATTTATATTTATACTCATACTTACAAGAGAGGGTGTAATCTTAAATACTTAAATTTCAATGAATTACTTTCAGTGGGATTAACTTAATGATAGCCTCATAATATACAATTTATCTATGTATATTTATTTACATTAAGATTAACTCTAACAGTCTTCCACTTAGATAATATATATATGATAACTTGATATTGTACGTTATATGACTTTGAGTTTAATATTTTGCTATCATTGCCAAAAATATTTCCATTAATCTAGTTCATCATTATACTAATATGAAACTAAAATAATTTTTTTCATATTTTTTACGTGACTAAATCCAATAATAATCATGTATATCGATATAATAAATGACATAAATCAAACATAGATATGTAGCATAAAAATTATATGAAATGTGATTAATACATGAACATTTTCAACTTAGTACTCATTATTTAGAATGGAGATCAAGCAACCACATTTAGAGTGAGAATAATCATAGACTTTATTCATATATGAAATAATCAAAATGTGTTTATAAATGTATGAGGATCAAAATACAAACTCTTACTAAAATTACATATCCTCATGAGGTATTACACCCATATGAGCAATATGTTCATGAAAGATCTTTGGTGATAATTCCTTAGTAAGTGGATTTATTACCATAGAGTTTATCGTAATATGCTATATAGATATTTAGTCACTCTAAACTCTATAATTAATCAGTAGGAACTTAATGTCTATATATTTAGACTTCGTCCAACTTCTATTATTATTGAAAAATATAATGATTAATTATTATTATAAAATAATTTTATTATTATTTCTATTTCATCTAGAATTCATAAATTTGTAAAAAAAAAATTCAGTCAAGTTTCATGATTTGATGCCTCATAACATGCTATAAACTCTACGTAGAAGAAGCTATAAGTGTCTACTTAGTATTTTTCCATGATATAACTTTTCTAATTAATAAGTAGATATAATCCGTAGTGTTTCTTCTACTATCAATGTTCTATTAAAATTAGAATATAAATACTCAATGATCTCCAAATAATCTAATTTCCTATATATAAGCATATAGTTCTTTATTTTTTACAAATACTATATAACCGTTTAGTTGCTTTCTGATGATTCACATCAGAATTGCTTAAATATTTGCCTAGTACTTTAATTATGTATGTAATATCTAGATGTGTCCATAAGTTTTCTTATGATTGATACATAAAGAATATTTTGCATCTCTTTAGGCTCATAATCATTCTTAAGGTACTGACTAAGATTAAACTTGTCTCCTTCAGTAATAAAGGTATCATATGGTTTACATCATTACATACTAAATCTCTCAAAAACTTTCACGATATAATTCTTTTGTGAAAACCCTAGGATATTTCAAAGTTGAACTCAATATATTTCTATGTCCAATACAAAAGAAACTTCACTAAAATTCTTTATCGTAAATTTTTATGACAAAAACCTTTTGGTGTCATATAATAAATATATA